AGAAAGCCAATTGCTCATGAAATAGTCTTGATGAAATCAAATTCTTTTGAAAAACGGGCAGGTAGCTGTGCTTGCAGTGTGGACAGGGAAAAAAGAAAAAGGGGAAGACCCCGTTGGGGCACCGAAGGGACGCGTGGTCGCCCGTCAGAGGTGTTCGAACCCAGGGTGGAGGCTGACAGGGAGCTGTGAGGGTCGCTTGGCGGCTGCGTGTGGCTGGAGTCCTTGTCCCCAGGGGGCGCATCTGGGAGGAAACGTGGGCTTCATCAGGGGTGTGGCGGAAAGGGGTTCTGCTCGGAACCCGCCCCCCCCCCCCCCGCACGCCTTGTACAGGATTTTGGTTGACCCAGGTTGAGGGGACCTGGGCCTGGCTAGGCTTCCGATAACAGCTTACCTTGCCCAGTAGTGATAACATGGAGTTTAAGTAATGGCCTATGAGAGCTGACGGGGATGTTTGAAAGGGGGCCGCTGGGGACAGGGAACTGGCAGGCGACCACGCTGCCCCTTCAGCGTTATCCTCAGGCCACACGTGGAGCTGATACCTGTCATTCTGTTTTACTGTCACTAGATTCCAGAGCTGGGACTGGCCTAAAGTGGGGCGGGGGGGCTGCCGACCTCTCGTAGGACACTTGCCGCCAGCGCACTACCCGAGGCCCCAGGCCCCCACCTCTCCCCACAGCCCTTTCTCCCTCCTGACACTGGATGACGGGGACTGGTCTTATTTCATGTTTGCATCGTAACATTAAACTATGTCCACCCGATTCCCAGTCTGATGAGTTGGCTGCTTCCTTGGCACGAGGGGCTGCCTCCTAGTTTGAAAAAGCAGAGTACGCATTCACGGGGTTCTGGAAGATGAGGGAGCTGCGTCCAGCCCATTTATCAGGGGCCTGGGTGGAGCATAGAAGCTGCAAAGCTCAGCAAAGCAGCTCACAGATGGGGCGACGGGATCCGGGGGCAAACGGGTCTCCGCAGGCTGGTGGTCGGGGCCAAAACCAACAAGAGGAAATTCAGTAGTGATTAATGTTAAGTCTTGCCTAAGTCAGAAAGGGAGGGGGCAGGCTCTGCTGTCGTTTTGGAAAAGACATTCATTGTGAAGAGCAATAATAAGCTTACATGTGCTTATTGAAACATTCACTCATTCCGTTTATTGAGATGCGGCGTGTGCTGGCATAGGGGGGTGTGTGTGGTTTTAGTTGGGGTAAAGGTTACCATCTCCGTTGTACAGCTGAGTGTCAGGAAGTTGAAGAAAGTTACCTGGAGTCACACAGCCTTTAATTACTACGTGGGATGGGGTCCATGGTGGGGTATCGTAAAGGGTATGACTGTGGGCGGGAGGGAGAAAGGAAGGAGGAAGAGAGGGAGGGAGGAAGGAAGGAGAGCGAGAGAGAGGACAGGAGAAAAGAAGGACACTTAGATTTCATCAAAAGAAACCTGGGTCACAGGGACCATGTGTGGTCTCCTATTTGCAGACACAGGGCTGTATTCTTGCCACTACATATTAAGGTGAAAAATGCAAACTCATGCGTGTGCAGAGAGAGAAGACTCATGAAAGAGCTGGGCAGTTGAAGGCGGCAGAGGGTCCGAGGAAGCTTGAGAGGTCCTTCAGTCGCAGAGGGCAGAGACTCGCTGTCCTCGGCCCGTGAAGGTGGGGGTCCAGGAGCAGGCTGCGTGTGCTGTAGGGAAGAGCTCACAAGCTTGGCTGGTTGGAAATGACCCGGCGACACTTTATTCTGCTCCCAGGGAGATGTTTTGCTTATCGTTCATGGTCCATCATGCTGTTGCATCAGGAGGAAGGGAGGAGCACTGGGTAGGGGTCCGGCATGTCATCGCTACTCTTTGGAGAAAGAAGAAGGCTTGAGACCGGCAGGAGGGCGGGCCGGGAGGGCGGCGGGAAGGTCCCAAAGCAAAATGCCCGTCTCCACAGCCAAGGAGAGGAGAGAAACGGAGGACTCCTTGAGGTGTCATTTTCTCTGTTTTTTAGGGGGGAAATATCTCACCGATCCAACCAGAAATACCAAATGTCTGCATTTCTAGCTTGCCTCTTTTAGTTATTTAGAATAAAGGTTGTTTTTTTTTTTTTTTAAGTAAAGGTAGAGAAGTTATGGAAAGAAACCTGACTCGAACCATAAACTGAACAGATGGGAGAGTAAAAATAAATTAAAACAATATTGCAAAGGACTCTCAACTTTCACTTTAAAATATATATGATGATGTTTTTCAACTTTTCACATTCAACCTATCAGTGTATCGAGTGACAAAATGAAAAATCAGTTGCAGCTGTGTGTATTTTAAACATTTACCTCAATGATTTGGACTTGCCCACCTAAAAGTCCAGATGAATGTATTAAACTGCTTATTGTAGTCTTTATGAATTCAAACGTTATATTATGTTATAGGCAGGACACGGTTCTATCTGGCGACGGTGACTGTAGAAAATTGAACTGAACGGTGGTCTAATTGGAAGAGTAAACAGTATGGGTTTAATTAGCCCTTATTCCCAATGACAGATTTGAGACATTGCCAAGTCCTTATCCTTTTCTTTTGCTTGACTGTTCCCGAAATATTGCTTCCCCTCGGGGCCGCTCCTGCGCTATAAATAGGGGGCTTGGCACGAGTCCACAGAGCCCACTGTCTGGTGAGACCTGGGTGAAAATTATTGGAAGAGCCCCTCCTTGCTTCTAGTCATTATTTCATTTCACATTGGAAGGTCCTTTTTACAGATCCGCCTCTTAATGTAATTTTTTTTGTTTTTTTGGTTGGATGAGGTAAGTTGGCCTAAGGAAACCCATGTGGTATCAAATTCAGTCGCGGGCCATATGCCAGAGTCTCCTTCTTAAACGCTCCTGTTCCTCAGCGTGGAACTTACCTACCAACTTCTGCCCAACCTGGATTCCTCCATATGTCACGAGAATGGGGTTCTTGTTTGCTTGCTTGCTTGCTTGCTTTCACGTGAAGTATTAAGGTATTTGCTTAAAAGAACAAGTTTACAAGATGCAGAGAAACAACACACACAGGAGGTGTTAAAATCACCTGCATTCCTTCCCCATAGAGGCCGCCCCTGCTGACGTTTTAATTAACCATTCACCACTCACTTCTTTCTCTATGCACGTCCATGTTTGCCTGTATTAGAAATAGCATAGGTCCTGGCCGGGTGGCTCGGTTGGTTAGAGTGTTGTCCTGATCCACCAAGGTTGTGGGTTCAGTCCCCAGTCAGGGCGCATATGAGAATCAACCAATGAGTGCACTGAGAAGTGGAACAACAAATCGATGTTTCTCTCTCTTTCTCTCTCAAATCAATCAATTAAAAACAATTTTTAAGAACAACAACAGAGTCTCATGTGGTTCTCTCATGAGTGCCTTTTGCCCACTCCCCCCCAAAATTTCTTAAAAAAACCAAATTTCAAAAACCATTAAAGTTCAGATATAACAAACCTCCTTTATAGCATCACCTGCCCTCATCAATTTAACGATTTTGTCATATTTGCTTCAGATGTTTTAAGGGGCTGAAGGCAAGAAGACATTCCGTTGGTGTCCCTTTGTGTCTTTTCCTGGAGACTTTCACTCCTGGTCCCGCGTCCTCCCTTCTTGGAGGCAGTTTGGTGTGATTCCAAGCAGCCTGTGGGTTTGCGCTTTTACGCCACATTTTTGCATGTCTAGTCACATACCGACGCCGTTCTCTGTAGGTGAAGGGATAGGAACTGCTAAGTGCGTTTCTATGTTCCCATGATTCATTGCATCGGTCCCTTCCTTTGTAGTTTCTACCCTTGTTGACATACGTAGGGCAGTCTTTCCTGTATCTAATCTGTCATTTTTCTAGCATTTTATGGTTTTGGCATTTTTAATATCAAGTTCTGACAGATCTGGAATTCATTTCAATGCACTTTGTGAAGATGCGATCTATTCCTCTTCTGTAAGCCACCCATCGCACTGAGTGTGGCCCCGCGCTGCATCCGGACGCTTGGGGGTGTGGCAGGGCTCGCCTTTTAAAATTCAGTGCTGGGGACCGCTGTCGCCGCGCCAACTCCACACTCATTTAATTGAGGCAATTTCCCCCTCATTTCCGTTCTTCTGCAGTTTTTCTTCTTGGCTCTTGTAGGCATTTACTCCACCAGATGAACTTTACAATTGCACTGTTAGGTTCCAAAAAAATTCCCTTTGGGACTTTGATTGGAGTCGCTATAAATATATAGATTAATTTGGAGAGAATTAACATTTTATAGGATTGGGTCTACCCACGTAGGACTAAGGCATGTTCCCCCAGTTGTTCACGTGTATTTTAGGCCCCTTCGTAAAGCTTTGTAACTTTGAGTAATGAACATTGCTTTTTAAGGCAGCTCTATCTATCACTGTATCTATCTGTACGTGTTTTTACCTTGGAACTCCCCTTTTATCTTTTCCCTGGAGTATCCCGACATACGTCAATGGTGGCAAGTCCAGGAAACAAACCAAACCCAGCTCATGAAGGATCCGTCCCTATTTTCTTGGACCTCTAGCGCTTTATTGACTTTGCTTCCTTGGAATGGAGCCTCTCAGGAGGTTCCACAAACCCTCGTGGGAAAGGGTTTCCTTGGAGTTAGCCCCAGTCTGGCAGATGGCGCACCGGAATTTCAGGGCTGAGAACGCCTTAGGTACCAGCTGAGACCTTGCTGTGTAAGTTATAAAATAATAATAATAATAATAATAAAATATTACTGATATGTAGCCAGTTTATTTAACTCTCCGGATGCTCACGTTTCAGATTTAAAATTGAGCTTAGAGCCATCTGGGCAGAGAAACAACAACTAAACAACCTTTGTAAGGTGGGGAGTCCTCAGATGCCCCGATTTTCCATGCACAGCGGCCTTGGGTGGTCCTTGTGAATGCCGCTGGTCCAAAGCAATGCACCTTTTAGGCAACTTTGGTTTCTGTGAACAGTTTAGAATGAGACTCTGGAAGAGCCAGGGAAGGAGTGGGCTGTTTCCACACATGTGCCTGTAAGGTGTCGTGGGTCTTCTACGTTCTAGACGTCAAGGAACACGCGTGCGGACGAAGACAAAGACGGCAACTGGGACGCGTGGGGCGATTGGAGCGACTGCTCGCGGACGTGCGGCGGCGGAGCGTCCTACTCTCTGCGGAGGTGCCTGACCGGCAGGTAAGCGGCGGCGGCGGCCCCGGCTCCTCCTCCTCCGTGATGTCAGGGCCTCGGACGGGCTGGGGCGAGGGAGGCGCCAGGCCGGTCAGGCCCCGCGATGGGTGTGGCATCTGCTGCTGGAACCGCGGCCAGGCGGCAGCGTCCCCTTTGCGCGGGCGTGGCCACACCCGTCACCAGCGGCTCCTCGCCCGCGGGGGCCGGGGCTGTCAGACCCTTGGGTCTGGAGGGCGGGAAGGCCTGGCCTGCTCAGTCGCCGGTCCGCAGTCCTCACGACATGGGGTCACCTGAGGGTGAGGCGTCCCGCATGGAGACCAGGGTGGGGGAGGCCACACGTGAGCATCTCTCTGCGGCCTCCAAACCTGGGGTCTGAAAAATGTGCCGTCAGTGGTGAGACTTGGGTGGGAAAGGCACGTCGTCTCTTCGTTGGTCGTTCAAAGAATAGTATGCGCTTGGTTTCGTGGGAAGGAATTAGAGGAGTACGTTAAGGACTATATGGAAGACCGCCTTTATCCTATGGTCCTATGACCAAAATGCTTATCTGGCCATGGATGCTTCTATTAATTTTTAGAATTACTTGACTTTTGCCCGGGCGATCTTCCTCACTCTAGTAAAATTACTGTAATGTTGCTGAGTGATGGATCTCGGTGTGTGCGTGTGGATTTACGTCTTCTCTTCCTGACAGAGGCCAGCTGCTCAGCAGGTCCCACCTTCTCTGCACAAGTTTGCACAGGACACCTGGGCAGAAGGAGAGGAAAGGCAGGGGGAGACTTAGCTCCGCCCGGGCTGCAGGGAGCTGGGGTCGCTGCTCCCTGGTTTGGCAGGTGTTCGCAGCTGGCTCCTTCTCGTGATAGGCTTTTCCGAGACACTGCTTCCCCCTTGCCCCCGGTCCTGCGCCGTCTCCTGCCTGCAGGCCCCTGAGGTGCGCCCCGCGCAGTCCCCTCCCTGGGGTGACTGCCCTTTGCTCAGTCCTTGGACAGCGAGGCAGGCTCCCTGCTTCTCCTGTCCTGTGTCTGTTTGCCCCTCGAGTCTATCTGGATGCGTCCCCGAGACAAACCCTGGTGGGCTCCCCCGCATGCGGCCCCCACCCATCTGGTTCTCCTGGACTGCGACACAGTCTCTGAGGTCTGGGCTCCTCCGCTTCCAAGGCCCCTGCGGCTCCCGTGTCAGCCCTGACCGTCCTCAGGGGCCAGCTAGACACCAGCCACGCAGGGGACATCGTCCCATCTCCGGACATTTCTTCCCCTTGGTTTGGGGTTAGCAGAGGAAGGACCCCTCCCTTCTCATTCTTGGGGGGGGGGGGAGTCAGAGGTGGGACGCCAGCACCGCTGCCTCCAGGAAGCCTTCCAGAGTCCTTCTGCTGTCTAAGCTCCCGCACCCAAGCCTCTTGACCCCTGGGTGTGGGTACGGCGTTGAACGATGGTCAACCCAACTAACACTGAGCCCGCCCTGCTGATTCATCTGCTCCAGGGGACACGCAATAAACAAGTGTGTGACCAAATTATAAGTAATTAGAAATGACACGGGGACTAGAGCCCTGAGCCGGAAGTGGCCCGTGCCGAGGGTCTGACTGCAGACAGAAGCCGGTCGTGGAGGGGACGGGAAGGAGACAGGAGCGTGCGGCGCCATGGCGCTGAACGGAAGTCTTTGTGCTGGAGGAGGAGAGGGAAGGGAGAAGGCGGGGCACAGAACCCGCCTCTCAGACTTGGCATTTCAGCTACAGGTAAAATGTCCAGAAAGAGTATTTGGAAACAACATCATGGTGTCAGATTTTTATTCAGTCAAGAAAGGGCAGAAAGAACAACTCCGAACTGTATTGTGAGTCTGCATCCCCGAAGTAGCACTCACTGAACTCTTTCATTTTTTTAGGATTTACATAGTCGTCTTTAGTCTATGTATATACAATTATTCACCTGTATTCTGCAACTGGGTTTTAGGTCTTAGGATCCCCCAATTCACCCATTCCCAGAGCTCATTTAATTTGGACAAATATCTGAGACTAGAAAACATCCTCACCTAAATAATCTTTTTTTAAAATTAGAGAATAGTACATTCTGTGGTCACATTTACAGAACAAGAGTTGTGTGGTAGTAAGTCCTTATCCCAGACCTGTGGACACTCACTCATTCTCTGTCTCTGGGAAAAAACAGGGACAGTAACATCATTTCTCTGCATAAAACATTAAATTAGATTATTTCACAATAAGGGCTGCAGGTTTGTAAATAACTCACTCACTCCTGCAGAGCACCTTGAGGCACCCCCGAACCTCACACTCCCATCCCCACGCTAGGAACGTCCAACATAGTTTTGGACGTCCTCCGAGGTTACTAAGAAAGAAACCTACTTTCCTTCGAAAGCTCATCGGATCTTTTATCCTTGAAGAGCCTAGAGACTTATTAAATCTTTGTAAATACTGAGTTCTTGTGGTTGATTTTTCTTGGAAGAGGAACATGGAGGTGGTTCCATATAAAACCAAACAGAAAGCTACCCCACGGTTTTCAGGAGCATCTGGTGCCTTTCGGTGCCTTACCTTTTATCCGTGTGCTTCTCTACCCTTGCAATTTAGGGGAGCGGATGCATGTAGCTATTTTGCCCACTTATCTCTCTGTGGAGAGAGTTATTGTAGAGACTGATCACATTCCAGCACAGTCCATTCTTTTGCATGGCACGCCCTGTGCCTGCCAGTGTCTTTTTCTAGGGCAGAACTTTGTCAGTTGATGGCCTCGTCAAGCACCAACCAGGGGAAACACAGGTTTAAGGTAACTACTATTTTTAAAAAATTAATACATTGCTATTCTTTAAAACACATGCTTCTCCGTGTTTAAGACACTAGTTTTTGAGTCTGTATATCATCGGATGAATGTAATAAATTACAGTACTATAAACTCCAGGGAAATTTTATTAATGTTTTTAATGTGTCCTCCTGTAGAATCAACATATGTTTTTTATATATTCATCAATTTATAACTTCTAGAATCTTCAGTTTCAGGGTGTGATGAATGTTGTACTGGGTAGAGAATACCTAATTGTAAAATGATGTTCTTGCATTTTCATATACTCCTGATAACCATTAGCTCTTGCGGGTCATAATTAGAATGAAATTAAACGCTTGGAAATCATCTGTCTGCAGCTCCATTGCTTTGAGCCAAAGGACTTTTTTCCAGAATAAGCTGGCAGGTTCCTGCTCGGGGAATTAGGACTCCAGTGTCCTTGCCTTTAAAACTGCCTGCATTTCATTTTATGCCTGTTTCACAAAGTGGCCATTCCTTGTCCCCTTCAGCTGGAACCCAGTCGTGCCACCAGCTGTCTATGGGCCACCGTGCGCGCCAGGCTGGAGGACGTGAGGTGGGACCCTCGAAGGGACAACCGGGGTCTGGGTTACGGACCCTTACTACGGGCTCGTTAAGGGAATCAAGAGAGAATACGTCCTTATCCCAGGATATGTTCACTGATTTCAGAGAGAGACAGAGAGAAGCATCGATAGGTTGCCTCCTGTACACACCCCGCCTGGGGATCGAACCCGCGGGGCCCTGACTGAGAATCAAACCCACAGCCTTTTGGTGTGTGCGATGACGCTCCCAGCAGCTGAGCCACCTGGCCAGGGCTCCATGGATCTTTATATGCACATCCGGGGCCGTAGTAGGTTCACCATAAGACGTAGTTGCAGAAGGAGTGAGTCCATGTTGGTACTTTACGTTTTGAGGATTCGTGAAGTAGAAGGATCTCTTTCAGTGCCGCTTTGCTGCCGTTGCCGTGGCGTTTACACAGGAGATACACGCATGTGTTAGGTTTAGATTTTTAGGATCCACACCCGGGATGCAAGGGACTGCCTCACCGTGTGGCCACAGCGGGCGGCAGCGGGGTGCAGCTTGCTGTCCCAGGGCCTGCACAGCGGGGCAGAAACTTACCCGTACACGGTCCTCAGTAGATACTATTGTTCGTTCCTTCGAGTTCTCAATTCCTTTTTACAAAAGTAGTTTTGTTTTTCACTCACATAGCTAAACTGAAGCAATTACTGAAAGTGCATCTGAAAAATCATTTCTGAAGTTCTCGTACGCTGTTAAAGAAAAGGCCGCCCTTTGTAAGTTTCAACCGTTTTTGTGTTCCAGTGGGCAGAGCAATTCAAGGGTTCCCTCGCCCGGCGCCTCTGTAATTTGCCTGCCCCCTTGAAATTAGAAGCAAAAGCTTTTGAGGGTTATAAGTCATCACGATACAAAAAACTTTTGGCTATCACTTCCCGAATCTATTAGCTGCTTTCCTCAGTTGGGGCTGGTCCAACATAAGCAGAGCACTTAAAATTGCCCTTTCACTTTCTCTGTAATGTATTTCCTTCTTTTATCCACACAGAAAAAGCACAGTGAAGTCAGTCGTGTAAGTAAATGACCTTGTGTTGCTTCCCAAGGCAGGGGAATCTCTTGCCTTTGACCCACAGAAAGGCTTCTCGGCCCTCTTAGCCTCCCCACCGGCCTCCCAGATCGGTGCTTTTGGAATGTTTAAAATTGGACGTAGCCTCATGGAGACTTTAATGCGTTTTAAAATCATGTACCTGTGACCAGTCACGGGGGCGGGAACACACGCCGGTAGAGCACGCTAAGCCTGGGCCAGCCGACGGCGATCGCCTAGGGAGCGGTTCTGACCCGCGCGTCAGGAGCACGCGCTGAGAAGGAGCACATGCTTGGGCACTTCGTCTGTGTCCCAGTTCAGAACGTCTGGGCCCTGTCATTTGGGTCCCGCCTCTGCAGGCAGCTGTCATGCTGTTCTTTCCGCTCTGCAGCTTCCTTCTCCCGTGTGTCTTTCAGAACAGAAGACAGGAGGAGGCTGGGGACGTGCTGTGTCAGGGACAGAAAGTCCGGCGGGGGCGGCATGAGATGTAAGGGAGAAGGGAGAGATTGAGGATTGTGAAAAACGTCTCAGACGGTCACACACAGAATCACCGCCACAGGAGAGGAAAATTAGTCGCAGGGAGGATTCTTTCTGTAGGAAGTTTCTGGGGAGCACAAGAGAAGGTCAGGGCCACGAGACATACCTAAGAGGACACCAGAGATCCAGGAGCCGAGGCAGGGAACTCTAGCTCGGAAACCAGCGGTATTTTTGGAACAAGAGCTGTCACCAAAATCATCGTCTTGAGAATCATTCGTGGCCACTGCCAGCGAAGACCTCAACTATCCCTGTCAAAGGGGCTCACCGTTTTTGGCCAAAATCGATGAAGCACAACTGGAGAGACTATACTTCTTACGTCAAGTGCTTAAACACATACACACAACAACAACAACAAAACCCTGTAAGTGTTCCGGCATAAAAAGGAAACACATGCACAAAAGAATGAAAATCAGACCTCCTCTTCAGTCTTCGTGTTGAAGGCCAGCAAAGCCCGTCTATAGCGTTTGAGGAACATGAAGGTTCAGTAATACGCCAGCGCTGTTCCCTGCTTAAAGCAGCAACCAAATAATACGCAGCCAAGTGCTAAAAACCCACACGTGAAGAACGCCTGTGATAACATGACGGGGAGTTATGTTGATGAGAGTAGGTCTGGGGGTCCCCAGCCAACTTGGGTGAGTTTCTTCAGTGAGGGAGGAAGAGAAATTGTCCTCTGCTGGTAGCTTTTCCTTCGTTTTCCTAGAAAAAAATGCATACATGCACACATTGTACACACATAATACATGTGTGTTAGGGGGGCGTGGCCCCGTGGTGAGAGCTGCGTGTAAGTAATATTAGGGCATCAGCAGGGGCCCTGGAGGAGAGAAGGAGGAGGGATCAGCTGAAGAACAGGGATGCGCGCCCCCTGGGCACGGGTAAGGGCGTGTGGGCCGCCTGAGGGAAGGAGGTGCTGCGCGCGTGGCCGGGGCGGGGGGGGAAGGGGGAGGCGTTGGGACAGCTGTAAAAGTATAAACAATAAAATATGATTTTAAAAAAGAATGCACTCTCTATTTAAAGTTGCTCTGCTATGCAACTTTGTAGCCTCCTGATGCATGAAGTTTATTCCTTAGACTTTAAACTGGATTTTTGAGAGGTAATACGCTCCGATAAAAGTGTTACCAGTGCCTTTTTTTCCCCTTTAGGCTTGCCACTTCGATGAAATCATTGTTTTCTTTTTTCCCTTGTTTTTTCCTTTAGGAATTGTGAAGGGCAGAATATTCGATACAGGACGTGCAGCAATCATGTAAGTTCTGTAATAAAAATATATCATCTAACAGTCATGCCGTAAAGTTATAATATTGCAGTGTGTACTGTAAAGCCAGTGGTCTCTTGGTGTTCTTTGTGGAAATTTTGAATATTTGTTTAATCAACAACAGGTTTTGTGTATCTCATACCTTCCCTGTATACTACCTTTTTAGGCCATTTCACATTTATGATCTAATTTGGTAGGTATTTAATAATCTCCGAATTCATGGAAACAATACCTAATGCCTGTAAATGCCTTCGGTGCTCAAAGCGTTTTCTATAGAGCATCTCACCCAACCCTGGGAGGCACATGAGGTGAGGTTACTTCTCTTTTGCAAATGAGGGGACTGGGGCTGAGCAAGGTGGAATTATTTTCCAAAGGCTACGGAGGAAGAACACAGACTTGAGTTGGTCTCTCTTGCTCCCAAACACCTGTCCTGGCCACCACACAGTGTGTCAAGGGGAAGGAGAGGTGACTAAAGAAAATCACCCACGAGGATGGGTTTGTGAACGTCACCCTTCTTTTACATCGAGGTGACATCGGTTTATAACGTTACACAGGTTTCAGGTTTCCCGCCCTATCGTGCGCTGCCGGTACACACTCCACCGTGCACACCACTGGAAGTCTTGTGCCCCTCTGGCGCCCAAGGTTAAGGTGTGGTCTTGCCGAAACAAGAGCGACAGAGGGTTTTGGAATGATTCACAGCACACTAAAATCGTCCCAGAAGAAAGTTTATTCGTTATGTCTTATTTATTCCCTACCTACTTCCAAGAAAGATTTGAGGCAGGTTATAAAGGCACACACACAATCAAATACAAAAGTCAGGTACTGACAAAGGGAGAGATGGGAGACATTCGATTCTAAAATTCTGGCTGATAATTGATTAATAATTGTTCGTGGAAGAGATAAAATTAAATTTGAAACCTTATACTCTACGTCAAAATACATTTAGATGTAACAAAGAGTTAAATATAATTGCTGTTCGGGAATATAGTCAATAATATTGTAGTAAGTACTGTGGGACCAGGTGGGTACTAGACTTGGGGTGATCACTTCATAAGAAATATAAAGGTCTAATTGCTGTGTTGCACACCTGACACACATAATACTGTATATCAAGTGTAATCGAAAAATAAATTAAAAATATGTCATTGTTAAACTGTAAAGGAACAAGAACAGTACATTTAAGTATATACCTGTTCTTAGGGCGGTGGGGAAGCATTTCTGAGCTCATTAACTAGGAAAGAAACCTTAAAAGGAAATATTAGTAGAGCTTACTACCTAAAAATTTAAAACTTCTTGACTTTACAAAACACCACAAAAATTAAATGGGGAAAGTATTCCAATATAAGTGACAGAGAATTGATAACTTCTTTGTGAAGTTTAACAGTTTTATCTGTTAAAAAAATAAAAAGACCAACATTCCAATAGATAAACAAGACAGAAAACAAGACATTTTTGAAGAATTAATACAATAAGCAAATATACGTGAAAACATATTGAATCTAAATCATTAAAAGCAAATGCAAATTAAAACAGTGCAGTTCTATTTAAAATTTATTATTGGAAAATTTTTTAGAAAGTTATGATATCCAATCTAAGAAGAGGTATTGAGAACAGGGAACTTATGTAGCCTGACAATATTAAAAATACCTTCCTGGAGGGCAATTCACAGTATTTTTTTAAGAGCCTATGAAACACACCCTTTTTTCTCAGAAATTTTATTTCCAGAGATTTGTCCTTGGGAAATAACCAAGGATTTGTGTAAAGATTTAGGCACAAGAATCTTTGTTATTTATTCTTTTTCTGACTAGAAACTACTTGTCAACATTTGTACAGTGAACATTTGTAATAAGAAAAAATACAAAACAACATCTTGCCTTTCTGTATCTGTTGTCTTCAATTGGGAAATTTCTATACGATGAATTAATTCCCATGAATTGGGAAGCTGGCACTCAGAAGAGTAAAATAACATTTTTTGCCATCAGCATCTTGCTTGGGATGTATCGGATGGGAGGAGTCACCAGTTTAGTTCAAATATCGTTGAGTTATGAAGACTCGCACGAACACTCTACTGTTATTATAGGCAGAGGGAAAAAGCTACGTGGTGTCCTTCCACCCTCCCCCCAGTTGGAGGCAGGCACGTGGTTCCCGTGAAGAGATGGCTGGGGGGTCCAGGAGCAAGACAGGAAAGTCAGATGGATTAAACAACAACAACAGAAACAAATACAAGGTCTCGGAAAGCACAGCAGTTTGGGGCCAAAGTAGCGCCAAATCATCCCTCACAGGGAAATGGCTCCCGAAGGTTGATCACTCGAATCACCTGGAAAAATGAAACACGTTTTGTTCCCCTTGTTTCAGGAAGACAGGCAGTGTGTCAGGCGTATGAAAATGTATGTACAAGGTGGATAAGATAGAGCCAAATGTAATTGCCTGGGAAAAACCGCCTGGGCAGAGAGTGATGGGAATACACAGGGCGGCCCCCTGTATGGGCCGTGGCTGTGGAGGTTCCGGGAGATTCCCACGGCTGTAGGTTCGGTTTGAATGTTTAGACGGAATGAGGTGACTCCCAGGAGAGAGGCGGGGGGAGAGGGAGTCCGGTCTCACGGGACCCTGGTGGCTGTGCTCACCGCCCCCCCGCCCCCCGCTGGCCCATCTCCCCGCGTGACAGGCCCGTGGCCTCTGTCTCTGCCTCCAGGACTGTCCGGACGATGCTGAGGACTTCCGGGCGCAGCAGTGCTCTGCCTACAACGACGTGCAGTATCAGGGCCGCTACTACGAGTGGCTTCCGCGCTACAATGACCCCGCTGCCCCCTGTGCGCTCAAGTGTCACGCCCGGGGCCAAAGCTTGGTCGTGGAGCTGGCCCCCAAGGTGCTGGATGGAACACGCTGCCACACAGACTCCCTGGACATGTGCATCAGTGGCATTTGCCAGGTCAGCCTCCCGCTCCCTCTCCCCCGTTCGCCGAGGCGCCACGCCCGCTCTCGATGGGATCTTTTTCTCCTTTTGTTGGTGTGCATGACAGACTGTTTTTGACCATTTCAATGTAAAAAATACTGTAGAGAGTGTTCCTCACTCTTTAAGTTGTGTTGCTTATTTAAAATAGTTTAGGTTTTGTCCCTGTAGGCGTGAGAAGATCGCAATATGAAACCTCTTGTGATTCGGAGGGGCCAGTGGTCCTCCAACCTGAAAGCTCAGCTGAATCGCTGGAAGGACGTTTTAAAACATAGCGGGCTGGGCCCCACCGGCCCCAGTTCCTGATCCAGTGGGTTTGGGGTGTGGCCTGAGGACTCGCATTTTTAACAAGTTCCTGGGAGATGCTGATGCTGGGTCCAGGGACCCCGCTTTGAGAACCACCGCTTTGGAAGGTTAACATTGCTGGGTTCTCTGAGCCTTGTGAGCCGTGGTTTTACTGAAATTGATTCATTGTCTTGGGTCTTGAGGATCAGTGACTTATTTGCTGAAAAATTCGCACGAACACATGCTGAGCAGGTTTTCAGCGTGAACTTCGCAGAGCAGTGTCGAGTGTGGATGAGGCAGAACCCCACACGCTGCCGCAGGTGTGAGGTCAGGGGCTCTGAGGGGGTGTTCGGGCAGCGCAGGGACGGCCGGGAAAGGATAGGATTCCGCCTCCATTCCTTTACTTTCTGGGGGGGAAATTTAAAGTAGCGAATCGTATTTCACCTCCCCTGTTATGCTCAGAGCAAAAACAGCAGCAGCAACAACAGCAAGTGAATGACCTAACCACGCATTTAGGGTCAGGCTCAGAGATGAACCATAATCTTGCTCCTCCAACTAGCTTCTCCTTCCTTCATCCAGAAAATGAACTCCGTTGCTCACCGCAGAATCCTGGAGTCATTCTGGATTCTTCTCTCTCAACTTACACATCTAATCCCCTGCCAAGTCCTGTCGAGTCTGGCTTCAAAGTCTATTTCGAACCCACCACTGACTTCTTAGTCTCAGCCTTCACCAGCTTCTCTGACCTGAACTATGTCAACACCCTCCTGTCCTGAGGCCTCAGCTTCCACGTTGTTCCCCTGAGAGCCATTCTCCACACAGCAGCCAAAACGATTGCTTTTTTTGGCCGAGAAATATACTCTTTATTTTTATTCATTTATTGTAAACTGTAGTTGACATTCAATAGCGTATTAATTTCAGGTGTCCAGCGCAGCGACCCGGCATCTCTATGCCTTACGAAGCCATCGCCACAGTAAATCTAGTGACCGCCTGTCACCGCACACAGTTACTGTGATAGTATTGACCCCATCATCCCCCGAGCCCCATGATGATCGTCTTGAGCATCAGTTTGTCCCTCCTCCCTCCATGGCTTGTCATTGCATTGATGACACATCCAGGACCCTTGCTGCCTTTCTAGGCTGTTCTGGAACTCTTCTCTTCCCGTCCTCGCTTTTTCTTAGAGGCGATTTTTTTTTAATTTGCAGTGAAATTGAGGGGAAGGCACAGGGATTCCCCACATCCCCCGCCCCGACATAGGCACAGCCGCCCCCACTATCAGCCCGCGCATCCCACGGGGCACATCTGTTCAGCCGATGCACTGCCACTGACTTATCAGTATCGCCCAAACGACCCATAAATGTGTCAGAGTCTTTATTTGTCAACAGAAGCCAGAAGTCTGTGTCTGGACGGGAAACATCCAATTTAGAACAGCACCCTCCTGTTAATGACCCTGCTTTCCTCCGTTAATGACCACATTGCACTCCTGCCGAAAGCAGGCTGGGTTTTCGTGCAGCAGCCGGCAACCCCTGAGCGCACTGGTTTGAACGGATTATTGATTACTCCTGGATAATGTGGCGCATCCAACGTAGGTCAGCGCGGGTCCCTGCTCTTTGGACATCTGAGACCCACATGTTTTACCTAAGCGTGCGAATGGGGTTGCATGGCTCACACATGGTCCCTTATAGCTTCTTACAGAAGTACAGGCGTGTAGACGCGTCCCTCGTTGGCCAGTCACAGTTGACGACCACCCTCGACTTCTCAGGGGCCGGGAGCTGCTGTACCCCCGCAGGCTGGAAGCCACAGCCCCCTACACCCCCGTGGTGGCAGGCACGCCAGCATTCTTTTCTAGTGTAGAAGCCAATTTTCAGAGGTTGCAACAGAACTTGACTCAGAAAATTATTTGCTGCTTGAAGGATTAAGATGGGCTTATTTAGGAAATTCCTATTTTGCTTAATGTGGAGCAATGTCTCCTCCTTAGTATCTTCTTTTAGTTGATCAGGAAATCGTAGGCAGGAACGGCGAAGCAGCCTCAGCTGAAGCGATGGTATGTATGTGAGCATTTATCCCAACGAGCGCTGCTGGTATATTTTAAATATTTGTTTAGGTTCTCTCCAGTCTTGTGTAGCCTGTCTCATGAACGACACTGTAGGACATGAATCTCATCTTATTAATTTATACTCTGCAGCGCCTGGCTCTATAGAAATTCTTGTTTAATAGATGCGAATCTATGCTATTGATAGAGTTGTCCCTTCGTGGTTTTTAAATCATCATAATTAGAGACCTAGACTTGGGGAGATGCCGCAGGTGTCGAAAACACTTTGGGCAGTTTTTCAAAGTTGCTAAGTTGCTGACTATCGATGGGATGGGATCCGAGAGCCAGAATCGAGCAGTTGCTCAGATTCGAGGCCACCCTGGCTTGTACCCGGTGAAGCCTGGGGCCGCCAGACCTCCTTTTTGCTCTTGTTTTTCTGTGATGTTTTCACATGCTTTTTTTGGCTGGAAGATTTGGATGAACTGGAACTTCAAAAAAAAAAAAAACAAAAAAAAAAACGATGAAACAAACACAAGAGCTCAGGGAGGTGTTCGATTGCCCAAGATCTTGCAGGAAGAGAACACTCTTCCAGACAGGCCCATCCCAGCTCCGAAGCCCACACCCTTCCTGGGCAGCTGGAGGGAGGGCGGCGCTTCCTCTCAGGAGACGCAGAGCGCTCAGGGCTCCCAGGGCGCGAGGACAGAGCTTGGCCCTGGGAGCCGTGGGTCTGTCATCGCGCCGTGGCGGGCTGCTCCCGCCGGGCGCAGGGCACGGACACAGCTTGGTCACGGGTTGAATCGCAGCCTTCCAAGCGTGTTCCCCAAGTCAACCGCTTCTACGTGGTGCCGCATGCACTTGTAAATATTAATATAATGGCCCTGTCCCTGGGCTCTTTTTGTTGTCCATCTGCTGATAGAAAAGGTGAGGAAGGTGTGGCATGATGTTAAAATTGGGTGTCAGGTGACCTGGGTTTTAAAACCATTAGTGGCCCTGGCTGGCTGGCTCAGTGGGTTAGAGCATCATCTCGATACCCCAAGGTTGCAGGTTTGATCCCCGGTCAGGGAACATACCAGAAGCAACCAATGCATGTATAGATAAGTGGAACAGCAAGTCCCCTCCCCTTTCCCCCTTCCTCTCTCTCTCTAAAATCAATAAATAAAAAATAAAAACCACTACGGCCATGATATGCTTGCCGTGTGATGTCAAAAAGTCATTTAAACCTCAGCAATGTTCGGAAGCCTTATTTGTAAAACAGACATACAAGGCACCAAGTATATTACAAGGTCACTGTGAAGATTAAATGAAATAATGTCTGTAACGGGTTTGGCCCAAGGCCAGGCATGTGGCAGGCATTCAGTAAAAATCAGCTACCGCTATTAATATTTCATGACTCTTTATAAAATCATATGATCAGGAAGAAAGTATCTTAAAAGTCATTGGAGTCAACTACTCATCGAATAATTTGGCGTCTTCTCCAATTTCGCTCCTGGCCCGTGGTTGAGTACTTTTTGTTGGACACCTTGGACTTTTCCAGGCTTTTTCCTAGTGAGTTAAGTTAGGCTCCGACTGGTAGCTTTCACCATGGGGAAGCCGGCAGAGCAAACATCAGCTCTGCTGTTCCGCACCCCCACCCCTGCCCCAACAGTGCTGTGTGAATTGGAAAATACCTCTAATCACAGGCTTCTGCTTAAACTTCCTTGGAGCTTTTCCCCACCTCTCTCTGAAGCTTTCACTTGATTGCTCTCCTTCCCTTCAGCACCAGACTTGGGGGGGGGGGAAAAAAACCATCTACAGGTGGTTTCGACTTCCCCCAGTTTTATACTCTCTTCAACACCTTGGATATAGGGTCTGCTGCCGCAGCTCCCGATGCAGAAGCCTGGGCACGGGGCTCCCCGGCCCAAAGTGAAGGCTTTACAGTGAAAATCGGTGCAAGCCCTTCCCAGTTTTCTAGTCGCTCCACTGAGAGTGGTCCCTATAGTTTCTCACTTAATCCTTGCGAGATCCTACCTGAAACATGTATTATTATCCCTGTTTTCGTTTTAGGGAAGACGTGTCTGCAAGTTTGAGTTGTTCGACACCCTGCAGCCGGAAAATGGGGGCAGGAGGGGGCAGGTTTTGTCTGTGGGCCGCCTGCCTCCGCAGCCCCTTATATGCCTTTAAACCCCAGATCAATGCAAATAAATAAAGAGGAGTGAGGGTCGAGGAGTCAACTATCATGTTAGTTAATATCGTATCAATGGCATATTTGTGAAATAAAAAGAAATGTAAGACATTGCCCCTTTTCTCATATAAGGAAGCTCACAATTAATATATGTGCATGTACACAAATAACTCACAAAAGTTATAATTCTCAGGAGTCCGAAAGATAGCAATAGAAACGTATTCTGTATGAAACATCTCTCTTAGTCACTCCTTTCCTGTATTTTGAAAATTGTTTATAAAGCCCTGGCCAGGTAGCTCACTTTGTTGGAGCATCATCCTGTACACAAAAAGGTTGTGGGTTCAATCCCCGGTTGGGGCATGTGCTGGAGGCAACTGATTGATGTTTTATCTCATATCCATCTCTCTCTCTCTCTCTCTCTCTCTCTTTCTTTCTCTCTCTCTCTATCAATAAAAAACATATCCTTAGGTGAGAATAAAAAATGTTGCTTGTAAGGAAAACTATATAGACATAATAACATAGAGGTGGGAATCTGTAGGTAGAGGCATCCATAATGATAAAGAGAAGGACATAATAAAATAAAAATATAGACTAGAGAGAGAGATGGATATATAGATGGTGAGATGCAGGTATGCGGAGATTGAGATAAAAACAAAAAAATGCTTAAAATTATGGGCCAAAGGTATACGCATTGAGTTCAGGATAGTGGTACATTGGAAGGAAGTGAGAGAATAGAGCTAGATTTAAGGGAGGAAAAGAGGGAAGAGATGGAGAGAGGAAACGTTACCTGTAAAGTTCTCTTCGTTTTTTACACGCAAAAATGTCTGAATAAAGATGTAACTGGGAGGGTAAGAGTGGGAGTGTGCAGAGACAGCTTCCCTTCTTCCCTTTTAATGTTTTGGGCCCGGAAGAGAATCATGTGATACTCTAGACCAGCTTCATATTATTCATATTTACAAAAGCTGTGTTCTCATAAAAGAGAAGCCACTCGTAAATCTAAGAACGGCACGCTCATAAACGGGAGAGAAACCGCGCGCTGCGCCCAGGCCTCCCGGGGTCCTGACGCCCTGCTCTGTCCCAGGCGGTGGGCTGCGATCGGCACCTGAGGAGCCACGCCAAGGAAGACAACTGCGGGGTCTGCGCCGGCGACGGCTCCACCTGCAGGCTGGTGCGGGGACAGTCCAAGTCGCACGTGTCTCCTGAAAAAAGTAGGTTGCCAACCCCATACAATGTTACCATGAAGCGCAATGTGCTTTAGATCCAATACAATGTTACCATTAAAAATGTGCTTTAGGCTGTCGGTTGCTACAATAACGTCATCCTAAACGTCATTCCCTTGGCAAAACTGTGTGGCCAGTTTCCTGAAGGTCAGTTATCTTCTGAAAACTGTGTATCAAATGTTTGTTCCCTTTGTTTCTTCTAACAGGACCTGTTTCTCTGAACCTTTGCTGACACAGAGCATGACTATTTTTACATATTTGCTGATTTTGGGGGGGCTAACCATGAAATAATAATTTCTTGTATTTTCCTCCCTGTGATTGTTACTGAGTTAGAACGTATGTCATTGTTGTGCATTTCTACATTTCATTTTCAGTCAGCTGCCGAAGGTGCCGACTCATTTTCCCGCCTGGATGTTTTCCTCACTATGGTGTAACTTGCGCTCTCTCACGAAGGCCAGCCTTCTCTCTGTTACAGCTATTTCAGATATTGCTCTCAGTTTGTCATTTGACTTTAAATATTGTTTGCGTGTTTAGAACCAACGGTTTCTAAATTTTAGATAGCCACAAAAATTCCACTGTTTCATTCCAGTGATATGTGCCTTTCTTAATCCTTTAATGTAGGGGTCAGTAAACTTATCTATAAAGGACTTGATAGTAAATGTGTTAAGAGTTTTGCAGGGAATAGGGTCTCTCTCACTTACTGAGCATTCACATTGTGGCGCACAAGCTCCCACAGACAACCTGTGAACACACGGGCATAACCGTGTTCCAATAAAACTTTATTTACAAAACAGGCTACAGGCTGAATCTGACCCTCGGGCTGCAGGTGGCTGACCTCTGTCCTAGAGCGGCCAGCAGATGCTGAAGAGCAGAATCGCCGAAGCTAAAGGAGGAAATACTGTATTTGCCGTGTACAATGCACAGCCATGTTTTTGGCTCACATTTTCAGGGGGGGAAAATCCATTGTTTTAACTTTTTAATTTGATTATTTATTTATATTTAGAAACAAAACCGATGATCATATCCCAGCGTATACATTTGCATATGGATATCGTTACTGCTGTCTAGAGGGACACTTTTAATGCATAAGCCTCAATAAAAGAGTTGAACACAGTTACGTAGATGCAGATTTAGTACTGCCCATGTATAATGCGCCTCTTTATTTTTCCCTCAAAAATTGGGGCACAAGTGTGTGCCTTATGCACAGCAAAATGCAGCAATTCCCAAAAGGAGGCAGTGGGCCGCCACGTCAAGTGCAGTTGGGGGCCCCAGTGGGAGGAGGGCCCCAGCTTCTCTGCGGCAGTTGGAAGACTGTTTGCGACGTCGGCAGGAGTGGCGTCAGTGAGCGGCGGGCGGGGCCCGAAGGCGGCCTCAGTGGGTCCGTGATCCACGGGCAGGTGAGGACGCAGGGAAGGGCTCGCCCCGGACCCCGCAGGCCAAGAGCTGTGGCTCCTGCTGGCCCTCGGACGTGCGGGAATCACACGAGGAAAGACGTTGTCTCACCAGGGCCCACGAGAGATGAGAAACTGAGATAATGGTAATGGAACCGGGTGGAAGCTCAGTGCAATCGGGGCAAGAAAGGAGCTTGGAGACGGGAGAGGGCGGGCGGAGTGTGGCGGCGGCTGGAAGGGGTCTCACCTGCTTGTTTCTCTTGGTGAGGCAGTTCTCTCTCTCTCTCTCTCTCATTGATTTTCAGTTTTTAAGGTGTAGATTCTTCCAAAAGTCAATTGACAGTGAGGCATTTTCCCTCCATGAAAATGCACGTGTTCCCATAAGCTCCAAATGTGTCATTCTGATTTCTTGGAGGCATCTCAGACCCCTGATGCCAGTTCAGAACATTCCAGCTTCAGGGCCCCTAAAATATCTTTGGATTAATTTCTGCAAGAAAAAGCGCCGCCGGATCGTACAGGCCAGTCTTCGGAGGGCACAGTGACCCGGGCCAAGCCGGGGACACCGCTGGCCTGTCGTCCGATTCTGTACGTGGGTACCTAGGCAAAGGCCAAAGGCAGCAGAGGCTCCCTCCTGCCTGCGTGGAAGCTCTGCCCGCCCTTGCTTTTCTCGACAGCCCCTTCATGTCTGTTACTGCTCTGAAGCTGGCCTGCCGAGGCCGGTTTTGGCTGGGATTTTCCACGGGCCATATGGAAGCACTTTCCTAGAATCGTGCCTTGTGTGAAAGATATGTGGGAAGGGAAGCCATGGCTCCCCCCGCGTGTGCATCGCCGGGCCGGCGGCGGCCACGGAACCCCTGCATCCTCACCTTGCCAGGCCGTCCTTCCTCTATAACCTCCTGAGGCCGCACGCGGCGTGAGGACAGCGGGGAGACACTCACGGCACCGCCCTGCCCCGCGGCCCGCGCGCACGGTTGCTCGCAGGCTAGCCCTCCACCGCGCAGCGAGGCGGTTCAAGGTGTAGGAGCCTGGAGCCAAAACCTTTGCTATGAGAAAAATCAGAAACCCATCCAGATACAACACATAAATTTCCTGCGCAGAAGGAGGAGGAGGAGAGAGGCTGAGCTAACAACTGGCACCAACAGCTTTGGATGCTGGAACAGGGGACTAGAGGCCGCTCAGTGTTTAAGGAGAGGAAACTCGAAAAACAGCAACAAGGAGGCATCATTTGCATTGATCTGGAGAGTCTTGGCTTGGCACTTGGGGACTCAGTTTTATTTCCAGGTTTGTCTGTTATATTTTTTGTCTTGTCCCCATAAGGGCACGAGGCGAATAAATAAGTGTGCTCAGTTTGTCTGCTCTGGGATTTTGCACATATTCACCTGGTAGCAACGAAGTGCCTGTGGTGCCTATTGACACGGAAGTGCCTGGGACCGGCCGGGAACGCCCGCACGTCACTCGCCCTCGGACACTGTGATGTGACCCCCCTCTTACAAAGCAGCCCCTGGTACTCCTGACAAAAGTAGAGTCCTGGGCTGGGTGAGCATGGGGCTGCCTCGTGGGGTGATACGTCATATGCTTTCTCGTTATTCCCCGATCCCCAAAATAAATGTAACTTATTCCATGCCAAGGAGGACTGTATCCGCTAGACCCTCCCGTCTTCTTGGGGCATCTCTTTCTCCTTCCCCATCATCTTTCTAGAGCCAGATCCCGAAGGATGGTCCTGGCCAGGCAGCTCAGTTGGTTAGAGCGTCGTCCCAATACACCAAGGTTGCAGGTTCGATCCCCGGTCAGGGCACATACACGCGTCAGTGAATGAACGCATCAATAAGCAGAACAGCAAATTGACACTTCTGTCTCCCCCCACCGAACTTCTTTCTTTCTCTAAAATCAATTAAAAAGAAAAAAAAAAGATCCTGAGTCGTGCAGGAATATTCAAACCAAAGACCCTGCTAGTTTTAATGGGATGTTTCCTCCCAGTTTAATTCGACAAGAGTGCATCAGGGCACGGAAGAACAGCCTGGGCTGCACACCCAGAGCCCTGGGTCCTCACTCTCAGCCTAATTTTTCTCTCGATCTAGTGCCTCTTCTGTGCCCTTTGCGTGAGGAGAAATAAGAGGAAAGTGACACGCAGACCCTGTGGAGAAGGAAGGTGAGGGATCCCGTTCTTCTCAGCGCGGCCGATGGGCCACGGGCACCCTGGCTGCGGCCTCTCCACGAGCTGCTTTGCCCTGAGGGCGAAACCCTCGCCCCTGCGCGCGACCCTCAACGTCTTCATCTAGCTCCCGTGGCACCTCCTGGCTGCCATTCTGCCCCTCGGGAACTAGGCTTCGGGCGTATGGCCTTCGGGAAGATTCTGGAATGCCAGGCACCCTCCCCCTCCCACCTCGTGGGCCTTGGCTGTGGCCAGGATCTGGAGCCGCTCTTAAGGCGGCTGTCCGTTCTTGTCCTTGACCTCAAGTGTCACTTCCTCGGTGAGGCTGTCTGAGAGCAATCAACCTGAAGTCTGCCTTCTCTTTTCTGTTTATTTCCTGCTTACCTCCCCTTTATTTTATTTTATTTATTTTTTGCAAGAAGTAATGGTTTCATATATTTATTGGCCTGATTGGTTGCTCCTGCTAGTCCGACGTTGCAAGAGGAGGCACTCTGTTGGGTGATTAGATGTTGGCAAATTTCCCAGATGCCTCTGGCAGGTGCCTTTGGTGACCCTCTCTGCTTTTCAGCCTCTGTTGTCCCTGTAATAGAAAAGAAATGATGTGCCCCAACCCTTCTGGGTTCTTAGCTGAGACTGTCCTGCCCCCAGAATATAAAAACAGATTAATAGGAGAAAAGTAAATGTAATCATGTAGGTGTGTATATACCAGAGCCCCACAGACTGGTGACTCGAAGTGGCCAACGCAGGAAGCTTTTATACAAAAAGCCAATAAATCAATGAACAGACAAGGGGGTCTGGGCTTGGGGAAGTAGGAAGATGGTGACGAAGAATCTCAGTCTGTTCATACGGCCTTCTTGGCCCTCACTTCCATGTCTGACAGTTACCTGACATAAATTGCAGTCCTTCTGGGCTGAAACGAATGCGTATCGATTCGTTGATATTGTGCGGACCATCCTGTATATCCTGTGTATCTTGCTACTTAGCAGAGCTGTGATCTGTGGCAGGAAATGAGACATAGAAAAAATATGACGGACCGGCTGGACCGGAGCATTTATGTGTGGGAGGGGGGTGAGTGAAGGCAAACTTAATGGCCCCAAGGTCAGCCCAGTGATTGCAAAATCAAACAAGTGAAACCCGTCCAGTGCACGTCCGTACTGGACGCATGAGTTTGAGTTAATGCAATTCAAACGTGGTCTCTCAGGAGAAGGGTTAAGAGTGTCCTTTGGGGTTTTGACCCCAGCCCTCCTGCTAAGGAGCTCTCTGCTTGTCAGCAAGCCACTCAACCTTGCAAAAAAACTTCTGTTTTCTTCATTGTAGAAATGGGTTTTTGTTAGACTGAGGGAGGTCATTTATCTCAAGGTACTGGGACTCGTGGCTGAGGGCATACTGAGCGCTCAGCATGGTTTCAACAACTTCCACTTATCAAGGCCTCCTTGGACGCTCTCAGCAACCCCTTGAAACAAACGTCCTTGTGGTAGCTCTCTCCTTCCCTAGCGGTGACAGGCACAGAGAAGGGAAGGAACGTGCCGAAGATCACACAGCCCATCTAGCCCAGGGTGTCTGGCTCTGGAGCCGGATCTGAACCACTATTCCGTATTGCCTGTCACCAGTAGTTCGTAAAATAGGGCGAATGACGTTAAAGTGTGACGAGGTGGGGGCCCAGATGATGGCACAGGGGCTAACGGTCGTGAGGATCTTACCCCACATTTCAATGGAAACATTTTGGAATAGTCCCATATAATGGAACTGTCAGCAGGGACCAGTTACCACCGTCACCTCCGCCACCACCTCCACCGCCAAATCTGGGGGTTCCCAAATGGGATGGAGAAGAAACCTTTTCTTCACCTTGAATGGTAGGAACCACTGGTTCCTGCACCGCGCGAAACCATCGTGTTTTAAGCAGCCTCAGAATCAGGCGCGCTCGGCCGTTCTATCCGCACATCCGCGACGCGGAGCCAGCGCGGAGGCGCAGACAGGCGCAGGGTTTGCAGTCGGTCCCTCTCCCTCCGGCCTGGTCCCCAGCTCGGGGCCTGGCTCCAGGCTGAAGGGGGTTTACCAGGAAGTGCATGTGTAACGGGCAAGGCAGAACATGGTCGCAATCCTTAGAACAGAACTAACTGGCTCCCGGACCAAAATAACAAAGATGGGTGTGTTTGTATCTGTTGGCAATTTAAAAATCTTAAAAATTCATGGCCCAATGCATCGAAATATATAAAGAAAAAACACCCTATAGGTATATGAGAAGAAATTGAAAGAAGTCAAACTACGATGAGAGAGATTTTAACACGCTGAAGTCAGTAAAAGTTACATGTAGGTTCTCTACAGCATAATTATTCATGTTACATTAACAGGTCCGTGTCAAGCATTGCATTTCGCGGGTACAGACTGTCTCGTCAAGCATTTGTGGACCATTTAACAAACTGATTCTATACTAGACTCCAAAGACAATTGCAAAAAACAACAACAAAAACAACTCAGTAAAACAGAAACTGCCAGAAGAGGCCTTGCCCCGCAGCTGCCCCCGCTGCCGCCCCCGCCCCTTGCCCCCCCCCCCACGGAGGCACAAGTGCCCTCTCCCTTTCCAAGGCCGGTTCACCCCCCCCGCCCCCTCCGCTCCCTCAGGGATCTCACGCCACCCATCAGCCCCTCTCTCCGCTTCACCCCCTGCCCCCGCCCAATCAGGGACACACACGACCACCACGTCTCTTCCGTAGTAAATAAGTACAAGTTTAAAATGTGTGGATGTGCATGTATCTGTGTGTCCCGATGGAGGTTTGTGTGCACATGTGTCTCTGACTCTCCACGTCACCAGCTACCACTCGCCCTTTCACCCACCCTTGCGGACACTTAAGGAAAGCTGTTTGCACGTCGCGGTTCTCCTTGGTCATCGTCATTTATTCCTCAAACCACAGCCTCCTGTGCTCCGCTGAGGCGCCTTCACGAGGCCCATCGACGCGCTTTTTACAGCTGTCACCAAGGAAAGGCTCTTTAGCCGTCTCCGGCACCGCGTTTGGTGCCACGCCCCTCTGTCCCTAACGTCCCCTCCTCCTCCCCGGGGCTCTCCCTTCCTTTCCCGTCGAGCCAGAGCCCTGCGGTCTCCTGCGGAGCTGCGAGGAGACGCTGCCAGGCGTGACCCCCGCCCCCCGCCCGCGGCCCTCGGGCCCTGCAGCGCGCCCTCCCTGCGCCCCGTGTGAGGGCCACTCAGAACAGGGCCGCAAACGCACGCCTGGCAGCGGGACCCCCCGGGAGACTGGGGTGGGCGGCTTCCGGGGCTGCCCCTGACCCTCTGGGTCGGGGTTGCGGTGGGGGATGGGGGTGGGAAGATCCTGTGTTTTCACTGTTTCTTCAGGTGATTCTGGGAGGTAACTGGCCTATCAAGGTATCACCGAGATTCTTCTGTAGATGGTCAAGCTTTTCTGGAAGGTGACAGGAATGAAAGGGAAGGATGTGTGAGGAGGAGAAGCCATTGAAAACGGTTCAGTGCAGATTGCTTGTCTCATAACCTAGGAAAGCGGGGTCCCCTTCCAGGTCTCCCTGTTCCTAGCCTCGCCCAGCTGTCCCGCCGTGTGCATTTCCCTCCGAAAGTCATGTCGGGAGCGTCGGAGGGTCCAGGGCCCTTTCCCCGGCAAAACATTTTCAACCTTTTCTTGAATGTTACTTAACAACGCATTTAAATGAAATTATGTGAGTAGTAGCAAAGTGTCTTATCCGTAGCAGGTGCTTTCCAAGGGCTCTTGGACTGTATACGCTGGGAATGATGCTTCGCACACTGAGAACGCTTCGCACACGCCCCCGGTTTGGCTTGACTTGCGTGTCTTACGGGGCCTTCGGCGCAGACGTTTGATGATGCTTGTCCTGTGTTCTTTCCTAGGGGAAGAGAACGTGATCGCCGTTCCTTTGGGAAGTCGCAGTGTCAGAATCACAGTAAAAGGGCCTGCCCATCTCTGTGAGTGGCATTTAATCCTAATGCCGTTTTATTTCCTGAAAGTTTGTTTGGAAGAAGAAGAAGAAGAAAAAAAAAACCCTTTTGTGTTACTGGGTGTGTGGACAAACATCTCAAGGATTTTGACTCTGCAATAGTCTCTGTCAGTAGGGAAATGATCAAAACCCTGACCTTCTTTGTTTTCATGCCCCAGGAGGAGATACACCCATTTGGGATTAATCCCTCAGGGGATAGGAAATCGTTACAGGTGATATAAACTTTGTACCTAGAGAGTAAACTAGGATTCGGGAGTCTGCGGGAGGTTTCCGCAGGTGGGAGCTAAGCACAGAAGGTAAACGGCATCAGTGGGCGCGGCTCGTGGCGAGCAGCTTTGAGCCAGCGTACCAGGGTTTCAGGTCTAGGGGCGCTGAGTGCAAACGCTGGCTTCCCAAAACACTGAGGCTTGGCACACGCAGGATTGAGTCGCGTTGGGTTGTTTCTTTGGGCAAAGCCGGGCGGCAGCTCCTCTTGGTTTCTCTGGGGTCTCGGGGCTGGAGGAACTGAAAAGACCAAAGTGGGCCTCCTCCTCTCCCGAGCTCTCCTGGTGACCCCAGGCTGGACTGTCTTGGTCTTTTCCAAAGGCAGAGGCGTCTCTGCCAAGCTCCCGGCCTTGGAGAACCTGACTGGGTCCCGCACTCAGTTTGTAAAACGTGAAAAACACCGTACCTGTTTTAAAGTCGCACAGAGCAAGGTCCACGTGGGCAAACGGCTAAGTATTTTGCTGTTCTCCTCCTCCCCAAGCCACCATTTATAATTTTAAATTGTTAAAATTTCTCAGGGCCAGAAGCGTCTTACATTTTTGGAAGCTTTGAAGAGTGTTGGGATTGGGGGGGGGGGGGGGGGTGTTTACGATACAGAACTAATATTCCAACCAGAACTGTCCTTGGAGAAAAGTTTGTATCGAAATGTTTCAATAAAACTGTAAATGTTTAAAGTCACCGATGATATAGATTAAAATCTTGTAAAATATTCTGTAGTCCATTCTAATGTAAATAGGAAGGCAAGAGGATATCTCTGCGGCAGTGCGGGCAAACCGTTATTCGAAAGCCTTTTTTTACCCTCCAGTGTATGACCTAGATGATGACGAAGAGAGTGTGACTGATTTTTCTAAACTAGAATGTGACACTGTACAGCCAGGTCATATTGTCACTTCCTCCCAGGCTTTCTCTGTAAGGAATCATCAGAACTTTTTAAAATAAATCTTAATTGCAAAGGCTACAAATGTTATATTGCCACGGCACTTCGTGCACGCGAAGCGGTTGTGGGGACCAAACATGTTTAATATGTGCATTTTTATGGAATTTATTGGGGCTACGTTGGTTAATTAAATAGGTTTCGAGTGCACCGTTCCCTGACACGTCCTCTGTGTGTTGTGTTGTGTGTGTTCCGCCCAGAGTCTTGTCTCCTTCCGTCCCTGCTTGTCCCCCGTTTTCCCTCCTGTACCGCCCCCACCTCCTTCCTGTCTCGTCATCACCACACGCTTTTTAACCTCCTTCTTTCGGTGGCTTAAAGCCCACGGCTGTGGGCTGATAGCAAAGCTTCATCCGTCTGAGAGCCAGTTTGAGTTTTTGAGAGCAGGCCAGAATCATTCGGACCCCAGTGTTGCGAATCATTGTCGTGATCCTATTGTCAAATAACAGCTTCGGATTAAAAAAACTATGCAGGGTGCCCGTCGTTCCTAGCAACGTTTAGCGTCGCGCGTGACTGCTGTTAAGGAAGGCAACCCACTGTCCGCCCACGGTGAGCGGACAAGGAAAATGTGGCCCGTGTGGAATGGTGTGTGGCTGTAACAAAGAATCAAGTGCGACCCGCGATGCAACGCGGAATGTTTTGGAAAACATCGTACCGTGCGGAGGGCTTATGGGAGTCCCTTTATGGGAAACATCCAGAGCCGGCTACAGATTCGCAGTCTGTGGAGGTGGAGGGGAGATGGCGGCCGCCCCGCCGCCGGCGCGGGGCGGTTTTGGGGGAAGTGTGAGGAGTGGCTGCTCGTGAGTATGGCGTTTCTTTGGGGGATGATAAAAAACCTCCTACGCGTAGATGGCGCTGATGGTTTCATAGCCTCACGGATGTACTGGAACCATTCAACTACATTTCAGGGGGGTGGGTTTTACAGCACGTGAGTTTTATGGCACACCAAAAAGATGTTGTAACAAAACGAAGCAAAAAGAAAAAAAAAACAAAAGAGGCCGGGACGGGGCCTGATTTTCTTAGAGGTGGTTCCCAAGAACCCAGCTCCAAAAGCGGTTTTAAAAGTTTGAAAGACAGAGTAAGTCGACAGTGAACGGAATAAGTAAAAGTGAAACAACGTTAAGTAACGGCAACAGCTTTGGGGCAGAGCGTTTGTTCGTGTGCGCGTGTGTTCGGGTGTTTTAAGGGTAAGTGTATACTCAAAGTTGGTGCTGTTCCAAAAGCAGGGCTCTGACACGGCGCCCTTTCTCCAGAGATGACAGACGGGCGGCTGCGGGTCCTTCCCCCACTGAGCAGCCTCGCAACTGAGTCTAGGAGCGTTCCTGACGGCAATCCTCTGCTGACGCAGCATTGGCTTTGTGGATAAAGTGCTTAGTTAACATTTCTGGGCTTCTAAATATAGATGTCTGTTTATTTTCTTGATTTCCACAACTGTTTTCTTCATTTTTATTTCTAACAAAGATACGGTCCTGAAATCCAGCTGCCTTGGCAGGAATCAATCATTCTTTTTAAAGATCTGTAGCCACTAGCACCCTCCAAAAGGAGTCATTATTAAGAGTCGAGAACACCTAGGAACGTCAGTGTCAGCCTCTCCGCTGCGGAAGGGAATTTAAATTACAGATTGTCTCAGCGGTGCCTGCAAGTGTTCAGGTCCTGAATGCCCTGCCCCGCCCCGCCCCGCCCCGGGGGCGGCCCCCGCATCTGGCCAGCCCGTGGCTCCGGGCCTCCCGCTAGTGCACCCCCTCAAAAGGGAAGTCATGACAGGCTCCTGCCAAAGAGACTTCATAGTAGCGAAACTCCAGCGTTCACTGTGTATGACCAACAATGATCTTGAGAAGCCAAGATGCCACAAATGGAAAACTTCCATCGCCATTGGAAGAATATTGTTTTATTTGCCTCTAAGTCTTGCCTGATGACCACATATGGAGATGGAGAACTTATAAACGTGGACGCTGCATTGTGACCAGAGGAAACATGCTGAATAAGTGCATATCCCATAAAACACAACTCTACTCGAAGCATGACTGTGACGTATTTATAACTAAGCCGTGCCGAGTGCTCCTTCCACGTTGGCCTAAAACCACAGGCGTGTGGCCTTCTCAGAATTTAAGGAGACCTGCTGGGGGTGGAGGACAGGACCCTGCATCTTGAAAGAAGCTTAGCTGCGTCTCCAGGGAAGCACTCATCCTCTTCCTAGACGTCATTTCTCTTCGGAATCACTAGTAGGGTTTCCAATATTTGAAGGCATCAACATAGACTCGAGGTGGGAAGATTCGGGGGAAGAGGGTCTTGATTTCTGATTCTGTTTGTAGCTGCTTGGGGCTACACACCGTGTCCTCCCCGACTCTCTCTGCGCGCCTGTCGCCACCACCACGCTGAGCAGGAGGAGGAGCAGGGAGTCCGAGCGGGCAGACGGAGGGAGGCTGACGCCTTCTGCCCTTCGCAGGGGTTGGGTGTTTGCAGGCTGCCGTCCGCCAGACCGCAGCGCTCGGCAGAAGCTCGGAGAAGCGAAGGGCTTGTGTGGGCAGCGCTGGCTGCACGTGGCTGGGGTGAAGGCATAGGGGTGCTGCAAATTAATGAGCGTTCACACAGAGCCCCAAGCCAGCACTTGGCATTATCGATGTTCTTTCCTGTCACAGAAGAGGCGCTAAGAAGGAGGCAGCTTCACTCCAATGAAAGGGACACCTTTGGAAGAGCTAGTGGCTTCGTTAGTCCACAGCCTCAGAATCCTTTGCGTCCATGACCCCTCATCAGAGTGCTTACCTGTCTGTATTCTCCCACGTCGGACCCCTTTGCACAGTTGGCGTCAGAGTACCTGCGTCTACGTCCTGTATGTGCCGCGGCGTCGGGGACCCAGAGATCCGCAAGCCTCGAGAAGTAATTGCAGTAAAGATCCTTTATGATACGCACGTGGTTTGGGGAGGAGAGGAGCGGTTTGGGTAATCCCGTGCACTTGAGAACTGGCTTTGTTCCTTGTGGTCTCATGTTCTTGTCACTGGAGATCTGGGACCCTGGAGAAGTAATAGACTAGACTCGACGTTAAAAAGCAAAACGCCAGACACAACGAACAGAAGAGCCATCGTTTGCTTTAGAGGAGAGACGTCATACCATTGTCCCTTCCTCCCAGGTTGCCTTCCCGGATTCTGACACCCGCACCCCAGCCTGAACGGTGCACCCGATGAGGCCTGGAGCACCCCGATCCGGGAGTTAGTGCCGTGGGAAAGCCATCACCAAGGGGCAGAACCCATTGCAGGGCCATTGAGTTCAGTCAAGTCGTTTCGGGCAGGACCCTGGTCTAGAAAGTTGGTGCTTTGTGCGTCTCCTGGGAGGACGGATTTTGTCCAGCTTCGCTCTGTGTTTGGCTGTGGCGTGGATGCCCTCTGTTTCTCCTCCTTTTCATCAGAGATGGCTCCTGCATGCATTCCAGGCCCTCTTACTGTCTCCTGTCTCCCGTGTCACTTTTACTGACAACTCTCTTTATAACACGCGACCTTATATCGTCATTGGAACTAGGAAATGAATTTAATCTCACATGTTCCAAAAATCGACTGCGGTCGTGGAGCCCAGGGCCAGCGGGGTTGGGGTTTGTTGGGCCTGAGAGTAGCCAGCGTTCATCCCTGACCGCTAATGACTCCTGCAGATCAAGTAGCTCCTGTCCGGCCCTGGAGCCGTCCCAGCCGAGCTCCCAGCCTGCCTGTCAGGGATCATCGGCGATGTCTCCCGGTACCGGTCATGCTGGGGGTCCCGGGCTCAGATTCCTGCAGCTGCTCCCCTGGCAGAGACAAGCCCTGCAAAGCAAACTACCGCAGCGTGTGGATTGCAGCCCCTCAAGGCCAGCCGTTTGCCTGGGTTTTATCGGCTTCCTGTGTTTAAGTCTGAAGCTGGATGGAGTTTGGGTTCTGTTGTGCCCTTTGTTTACAGTGGTTAAAGAACCTTTAAACGCCAAGGAAGCAAGTGGAGATTTTGCAGCAGAAGAGGGCCTGAGGGTTGTCTGATCTGATTTCCTTTTTTTTTTTTTTTTTTTTGGTCTTCACCTGAGGATATGTTTTCGTCGATTTTAGAGGGAAAGGAAAACAGAGACAGAGAGAGAGACATGACATATTCTTCTTCCCCTCATGGTAGAAAAGGCATGGAAGAGTTGACTAGACCTCATGGGACCCAGCACCTTGTTAGCCTCTTGCCAACGGCAATGAGAAGGTTCAGTGTTTGCAAACTGGATGGATGTATAGATACTGTGTCAGTATCACATGCTATCCTATGTAGTGAAACATCTTCCTGAAATAAAAGTGCTTTTAAGGTAGTTTTCTCATTTAGGACAGATTTTTGGTTGCTAGATGCAGGGGTGGGGGTGGGAGAAATGGGTGAAAGTGGTCAAAAGGTACAAACTTCCAGTGATAAAATACTTCGGTTCTGGCGATGTAATTAATGTGCCAACGTGATGACGATATTTAGCAATACTGTATCGCTTATCGGAAAGCAGCTAAGAGAGAAACTGTTACAGATTCTCACCACAAGAAACAAATTATAACTATGAGGTGAAGAGTGTTAACTAGACTGTGGCGATCATTTCACAACAGATACAAGTATCAGATCATGATGCTGTGCACCAGGGACTAATGTGATGTGATATGTCAATTCAATTATAGCTCTCATTCAAACTTTATTTTCAAATTTTAGTTATTGAATCCAAAACGCTCCAGGGAAACAAAGGGGAGCACAGCTTTAACAGCCCTGGAGTTTTCGTCATAGAGAACACAACAGTCGAGTTCCAGAGAAGCTCGGAGAGACAGACCTTTAAGATTCCTGGGCCCCTGATGGCTGATTTCATCTTCAAGGTAGGCTGACCCTCCTCATAAGCTTCAGGCACCTGAAGCTCAGCACATCTTAGATTTTAAAAACAATTGTGTGTTCAGTCCTGGCTGGTGTGGCTCAGCGCATTGAGTGCCAGCCTGTGAACCAAAGGCTCACCAGTTCGATTCCCAGTCAGGGCACAGACCTGGGTTGCAGACCAGGTCCCCAGTAGGGGGCACGTGAGAGGCAACCGCACATGGATGTTTCTCTCCCTCTCTCTTTCCGTTCTGTTCTCTCTAAAAATATATACATAAGATCTTTTTTAAAAAATAAAAACAATCGTGTGTTCAGTAGGAAGTCACCAAATGATTGCTTTCACACGGAGCGCATCCCTAGTATCTTCTTCTTGGCCTCCATTCCAAAACATTGTTCCTCTTTCTCAAGTGCCGGCTTCCAAACCTCCACCGTGAAGAAACAAACGCCACTTTGATGGGGCAGAGACTGTTTTGGGATTTATAACCTTCAGTTTCTGCTCCGTATTAAAGCTCTAGGTGGGGTTGGGTGATGGGATCCGCTGCTACGTGCTCCGCGCCCTAAACCAGCTCTGCACGCGTGCGCGTGGCTGTGCATAGGGGAGCAGTACAGACAGTGGCTCCTTCCTTACCCGCTGCCTTGGTTTGCCCAGGTACCGTCCCGCAGGGAGCCCTTGTCCGCGCACCTGTCACAAGGCGCCCTCAGAAGACCTCCTCCTGTGCCCACCAGCCTGCGCCTGCTCTCTGGGTGACTCGGGGTCACTTCCACGTGTCCCGACCTCGCGAGTCAGTGCCTGTCTTGACTTCCGTGATTGGGCTTTCTTTGCCTAAAATTTTGCTTTATTTTTCTTACAGTTTCCTTGTGTCCAGTGAAAGCCTCTAATGTATTGTTTAATTTCTTGAACTTTTTTCGCCGTAGCATCTTAGCCTAGCTTCTCAAATTGACAGTCTGAGGCAAAAGCCATGTGCTAACACTGATGTTTAATGACCAGGGACTCGAATGAGGTATTGCCCGGCCCCCCAGGCAGGGGAATAAGATATGGAACTGAGGTCAGAATTGCGGGGGATGGGGCAGGGGAAGTCAGGGAGCAATGCACTTTTTCTTTTTTTAAAGTTCCTATCCGTTGATGCCTATATCTGGACTTCTTGTAATTGTGTTTATCATCTCTATGTGTTCCACTGTTTTGACTGTTGTTAAATTTCATCTTGGTTGTATACCAAGTTATCTTTGAGTTTTGCTGTATCTGGCAGAGGCGAGATTGTAGATAAAACTTGAGACTGGGCTCCTCTGGTGCCTGTCGGATTTTAGGTCATCGTTTTCTTTCTGTCTGGTAACGTTGAGGATTTTTCTTCATCCTTGTTGTTGTCCTTATTAGAAATGTCTGCTCTGAGCCTGACGGACGATTTTAAACCGAGGGCTCCTGTCTTTTCAAGGTCGAGGAAGGGCTCGGCAGCTGTATGATCGGATCTTGCCTCTCCTTCTCTCCCTCGTCCATTGTGAACGCCAGAGGACGCTAACGGGCATTTCTGGGTCTCTCCTCCATGGGCTGAATGTGGTTTCCCAGCTCTTCTCCTGTGGCCTTCTGGGACTCCTCTTAGGTGCGCTCAGTTGCTCAGTCTGTTGGGAGAGAGCCTTTTGCTTGGGTCCAGCCGCCTGGCAGTACACTCGCCTCCAGCTGTAACTTGGGGCTCACTCTCGTTCCTTTCACTTACACCCCGAAGTGCGCACGTGCCACGCTCTGGGTGCACACCCTTTAGTGACTGTGGTTGTGCTTTGAAGGCTTTTCAGAAGGATCCGCTTAAAGACGTTCTTCTTAAAAGTGTAAGGATCTCATTTATGTGCCAAGGTGTAGGCAAACCCAGCTTAAGCCTCCATCCCTGCTCTTGGAGGCATTCAAAGCAAATATATCTGGAAGAAAAAAAAGGGAAACAAACGCACAAAAAAAAGGCCGCCTACATTTCTGCGACCTCATTCCCAGACGTGCAGGTATCTGGAGAAAAGACTCCAAGGAGTCCGAAGATACTCTGAATCCCTGTGTGCGGTAACTCTCGGGGGCAGGTGTGTCTGCCTGGCTGAAGGGCGTGCACCTCGTTTTGGTGGCCCCAGAGGGGTTATCACAGCTCTCTCTGTCCAGACCAGGTACACGGTGGCCAAGGACAGCGTGGTCCAGTTCTTCTTTTACCAGCCCATCAGCCATCAGTGGAGGCAGACCGACTTCTTCCCCTGCACCGTGACCTGCGGAGGAGGTGAGGCTCGGGCTCTGCCCACGGATATTCAGAGCCCTGCATTAGGAAGCGCACGTGGGCGTTCGCGGAGCCGACTTCCCCGGGGGTGTGGCCGGAGGCACCTGGCAGTGAGGCCCCGCGGCCGAAGATCAGCAGTGGCTGCGGGAAGAGAAGGGGGCCGTTGGGCTGCGTCGGGGGCCGCTGCAGCCCAGCCGCCTCTGCACCCTGGCGGGCCCCCAGTGCGTCGGCTCCCCTGCAGGAGGGCTGCCTGCTTCCTTCCTCTCCCTGTTGGTTATCTCTGCGCTGTTAGGGAGGAGGATTAACTGGGCCTCCTCAAATTATAAACACACACGGGGGCTTCTTGTCTCCTCCTGGGAGTATGTTTCCAGTTAGTACAGAGATTCTTCTTTGATGCAAGGAGCTCTAATTGCATTTCTGTTTTTGTGTTTTGGGGGGTAAATTAAAACACACTCATAAAACCCGCAAGGAAAGCATTAGGAAAATTTAATTCTGTTGGTAATCACATCGGCATGATTTGTATAAATGCCGTGTTGGAGCGTTCTTTATTTTTGGGGGGTGGCGGTAATCAGGAAAATCAGCCCGCCCCTCCCCGGAACTTGGACCAGCCTCCCTGGTCTCGTCTGTGATCATCTTTGTCGGACTTGGGAGATCCGTCAGGAGAACGTGCCGTTGGACATCGCAGACTTTATGGCAGATACTGGCATGTTAGTGACATTTTATTGATACTGGATTTTCGTTCTTGTGGTTTTGGTTTTGCCTTTTGTAATGCACGCCAGTCGGCCTGGCGCTCAGCTCGCGTCCCAAGCCACGGCCCGTCGAGCGCTGTCTAGTGGTTTATAGAATCCGGTTCCCCTCGGCCGTCAGGCCTGGACGTGTATTTTTAGACCTTGAGACCAATTGGCTGAGGCTGAGAACCGTTCCGCCCCCCGCCCCCCAGAAGAGCTCATTCGGGTTTCGAAAAATTACCTTAAAAAAATGACATTTACGTGGTGACAAGAAACCGGGAACCTGGTATTTCAGCAGACAGAGGTGTCGCTGTGCCCGCTGTCTGTCTAAGTTGATGGCACGCCTCCGTGTGGGATGCTCGCTTTCCACAGAGACAGTGCAGATTGAATTCAGTAGAGTCAGGAGCAGGTCTCCATGCTTTTGCCCTGGGACAGCCTGTCAGGCAGAGGGAAACGTAGGGGGAGGAGGGATTTTGTTCTTCCCTGTGGCACGAACAATGCTTCATCCCCTGGTAGAGATGGCAGCGGGCATTGGAAGTGCCCGGGAAAGCCAAAGAGTGCCTGGTACCCGCGGGTAATGGGATGTTCTGCAGCAGACAGGAGCGGCAGAAGTGTAAGGTTGCCTGAGAAAAGGAGAGAACAGAACAAGACTGAAAACACAGTAACAAAAACATACCACGAGGTGAGCAAAGTAGCCAACAGAACAAGATAGAAAAGCACAGTATCGGAAATGTAACCGCTGAGTGAGGAATGTGGAAAACAGAGCAAGGTTGAAAACAGTATCACTTATTTAGTTACAACAGACATACACGAGACAACATCGTGGAAGACCCGTGCATGTGAAGGGCGTGGAAGAAGTCAGCAGGGTGTCTGGAGGGGTCACAGGGGAGCAGGACAGGGACAAGGGGACCGTAAGGAAATGTGAGGGGCTTGGGCAGTTCTGTGACGGCAGTGAGACATGGCAACGAACTCAGGACAATAAATGAGTAACCTTCTGCACCCAGGTCTAAGCATGCTTTTAAAAGGATTTAGACAGATGTAAGTGCTGACTGTTACAATCAGTCGTTCTCAATCTTTTAGACATCTTAGAAGAACCTGAGCATCTTTATTTTAAAAAAATACTGATTCCTGGGCCCAGCCACCATGGTTCTGGGGACCCTGGGACCATGGAGGGACCTGGGTGCCTGTGTCCATTCAGAGACCCCGCGCGGTTCTGAGGCACAGCTGGGGCTGAGCATCCGCGAGCTCAGCTCCTTAGAGATGGGAAACGGCGCGCGGGGAGTGATAATTTCGCTGAGCGAACACGAAACAGATGCGACGCTCAGACTCTCTGTTTCTCCCGTGGTAGGTTATCAGCTTAATTCGGCGGAGTGTGTGGATACCCGCCTGAAGAGGGTGGTTCCTGACCATTACTGCCATTACTACCCTGAAAACGTGAAGCCCAAGCCCAAGCTGAAAGAGTGCAGCATGGACCCTTGTCCATCCAGGTTTGCCCCGTTGCTCTTTTACTTTGAAAAGACACGCATCAGCTACAGCCCCGAGCACTCCCGCCTGGCCGCAGAGCGCGCCCTGCCGGTGTCCAGCCGTGAACCCACGTGGGCCGCTGTGGTCCCGAGGAATTGGGCTCCCCCGCTCCCTCCGTCTGAGCTCCCTCTCTGTCTGTGGGCGGTGTCCCTGCGCTGTGATATTTAACCCTTTATCATGAACCTCTCTGAGCATCAACTCAATTTACACTGTTTAAGATTTCTTCACCCCCATGCCATGCCTGGTCCATCTGCCGGTCACAAGGGCCTGTAACCCACCATCTGAGCTTTTACACGGCATCACCCATGCCCGCGTGTGGACTTCTGAAGTGTTCATGTTAAATTCAGGAGGAACGATGTGCAAGGGTCACACATGTTCGTGCCAAAGCAGGAAAGCTGTGCGTAGACTCCCCTGTAGCATAATTTAATACCTGCTGACTTGGATTGCCTGGGGAAGTTTCCTGGCTTCGCTGCAGTATCTTAAAATAACAGCCTGGTCTCGAGTCCCAGAATCCCCCGGCCCTGCCAGCTGGCCGAGGCGCAGGTGTGCGCGTGGAAAAGGAAGTGCGCGCGGAGGGCTTCATCTCCTCTCACTAACCTGCCTGTTTCCTGGAACCTTGTAATTATCAATAGAGGCCTTTACCAGGGACGCGTTTCTGTGAGAGGAAATGGTTTTCTGAAGACCAAGCTACAAGACAGTGTGGTAATATTATCAACGTGTTTTATCAGAGTAACCTTTTTAAAGGTTAAGAAAGGCATAGATAGATTGATCCAAATAAGGAGAAGCTTTCTCCTTTGATTAATACATGTCACTAGGTCCCTTTCCTGTATTTTCCTATGGAACTGGGAGTGGCGTATGTCGGGGATGTTTCTGGAAATGAAGGAGATGGAGGCTGAACTTGGGGAAATGGTTCACAGCACTTTGCATGCTTAGCTTTCAATTCGAAAGAGCTGCGTCTTTTGGGATGTCAAATTGGTATTAGTCAAATTAACCAGCGCGTTCATTGCTTCAGAAATGATGTGATCACCCTGGTTTCATTTGCAGTGACGGATTTAAAGAGATCATGCCCTATGACCACTTCCAGCCTCTCCCCCGGTGAGTCATGCCGTTCCTGTTTGTCCTCCGCTCCAAGTTGCTTGCAAAGAGCAGTTGCGTCTGTAGCAAGAGTCTAGGATGTTGGAGGGATAGACCACAGACCCTGTGCAGAGAGCTCCGGGATCACAGGCTACCGTGCAGTAACAAGAAAGGCCTTTCCGCGAACTCCGTGGAACAGGCTGCCTGCAGCGCTGGGGTTCACCACCCCTGCCGGTGCGGGGCGCGCCCTCCCTGCCTGGGGCCACGGAGGGAGCTCCCGCGTTGCCGGGGGTCAGCATCTGAATTCCCGTTCCCACCTAGATAACCAGTATGGTCCTTTCTGACTCGGACTTTCTATGACTCTCGCGTAATAGTGCCCTTTAGTATTTTATAGTTTAGAGACAGCTTGTGGATGCTTGCGCACTCAATATATTCAGTTAATTTGACCCTCACCAAGGTCCCATGGAGGAGAACAAGGGCAGGTGGATTGTCCCCACTCGACAGTAGCCTCAGGTTCAGAGGAGTGAAAAACCTATGCCTGTAGATGGTGCGTAGCCGTGAAGATTCAAGTCTGAACCCTCCAGGGTGCCTGTTCTTTGAGCTGAACCACACGTGTTATCCTTTTTGCAGCCGTATTTGCAGCCTTGAAACAAGCAGGCCAACAACCAATAAATAACGTGCTTTCACTTGTTTGCTTTTGAGCTGGGAACATAACCCTTGGACGGCGTGTTCGGTGTCCTGTGGAGGCGGGATTCAGCGGCGGAGCTTCGTCTGCGTGGAGGAGTCCATGCACGGGGAGATACTGCAGGTGGAGGAGTGGAAGTGCATGTACGCCCCCAAGCCCAAGGTCATGCAGGCCTGCAACCTCTTCGACTGCCCCAAGTGGGTCGCCATGGACTGGTCTCAGGTGAGCCAGGACCGGGGGCCGCTGTTCCTGACGCCCCAGGTTTCCATGAACATTGGCTACCGTGAACCAATTGTCATTGGTTCTTTTTTTGTTTTGTTCACATTTCCCTGAAAAAAGGTTTGGAAAATTACATGCCCCTTCATCTATATTCAGATTGATATCTAAAATTAATTTTATCACAGGTTTAAATTAAAAAACCCAAAAAGGTCATTTCTAATATATTGTGAGTGCTGACATTTTAAAATCATGTGTGAAAGCATTTTTTTAAAAAAATGTGTCCACTAGAATGTAAATGATTTCTATTCTTGCCATCTTTCATTTAAAAAACATGTGAACAAGTTCTTGAAGAATTTGCGTATTTTGCATTTTTCCCTCTTGAACTCACATTTTCAATCCACTCTCTTCACAGGAGTTTATCCTCATTAATGTACTTTTATGCTTTAAAGTCTTTTAATTGATTATTCCCCAAGAAAATATATAGCAGTTAAAATTAATTTATTTTAATTTCCTGTGGCCAAAAGGCTCCAAGTATTAAAAAATGTGCCCTTGGATTGAGTTGTTATTATAATATTTAATTTTAATACATAATCGAAAAGCATGAATATATTTTAAATTTTGGTAAATAATTGTTACACATAAGAAGTAAATTTTTGTCTGAAATTGGTATTTCCAGAAGATAAGTGAGCCTTAAAAGATTCTCCATGGTGAGAACAAGACACAAGATCACGATAGTCGTATTCCTACCTTTACTGTTGATTTCTCATTTCATTTCGTTTTGCACTTACACACTGGGATAGCTCTCTCCCGTAGGTAAGCAGACTGAGCTGGAAGGATTGTATCAGAGCGTGGTCGTTCTCTGAACTTCTGAGTTCCGTGCCAAACCACGCTGCGATCTAGCGTCAAAAGCCAGCCTTGCTTCCCCGACCTGCAGAGCATGTTTACAGCTCTTAGGAGCTGTGTCCGTATGTTTTATGTTGGCTTTAGAGCCGGGACACTGGCACCCCGCACCCCCAGAATGTCAACACTGCATCACCAAAAAATCACATACACGCTCAGGGAGGAGAATCTGCGAGCTCTGCAGATGTGCTCGGCTCCACAGAGGAGCTGGGAAATGGAAGCGCGGACCGTATCGCCGGGGCTGCGCCGAAGGAGGCACGGGCCTTTGGATCGGCCCCTTCTAGTCGAGTTACACCTTACAACCGTATTTCTTTCTCTCTGGGAGACTTCTTTTCTTTCTCGGCCAGTGTAAAACCCCCTGTCAAGATCATCTGTATTTCAAATTGATCAACGTAGGGTAGGTGGGTCTGTTTCCCAGAAGTAGGGCCTAACCTCACACCTCAGCCAATTCTTACAGTGTTTGTTTAGCGGTCGTAAGAGCGGCTGGAGGAGATGACCGACCGAGGTGTCCCGGCGTTCTGCCCTCCGTGGGGGGCGGGGGGGGGGGAGTGCACCCTGACAAAGGCCGCTGTCGCCTCTGAAACTCGCCTGTGACCATGCAGACAGCCTGAGGGACTCAGGCAGAACCTCTGAGCTCTATGACGCTGTGGCGAAGTCACGCTTTTGGCAACAGGAGTCTCTGGGGCGGAATTCCACTCTGCCCCTCGGGAACCGTGTGACCTTGGGCAGGGTCCTTGGATTGGGGGCTGTGTCCCTCTGTTCGGTGCAAGGTGTGTGCGGGGCGAGGGAGGCCACACCTGCAGGACCCTGCCTCTCCCGGGGGCGGATCCAGAATTAGGGACTCCTGAGCGCAGGCTGTTTGTAGGTGACTCGTGAAGGAGAAAAAAAGAACAGCCCCGGCTGGTGTGGCTCAGTGGATTGAGCACCGGCCTGCGAACGGAAAGGTCCGCTCGTTCGATTCCCAGCCGGGGCACAGGCCTGGGTTGTGCGCCAGGTCCCTGGTTGTGAGAGGCAACCAATCGATGTTTCTCTCCGTCTCTTTCTCCTTCCCTTCCCTTCTCTCTAAAAATAAGTAAATAATATCTTAAAAACAAAATCTTTCTTAAAAAAAAAAAGAATAGAAAACATAGATGTTGGGTATTTAAGTGAATGTTTATTTAGAATAAGAAAGTTAAAACATTTTGAAAGTTGGCAACAACCCTACTGTGAATTCTGGACTTGAGTTAATAATAATGTGGCAGTAATTTTGGTCCATTGGCAATGATATGCATCCTCGCCAAAGCAGGGGGTTAATAATAGGGGGAGTGGATGCGGGATGAGGGGCCTTGGGGAACTTTGAACTCTCTGCTCCATTTTCCTGTAAGCCTAAGATGGTCCTAAAAATTAAGTCTATTAATTTTTTTAAAAAATGCATTCACTAACATGTAGCTAGGTTGAAAAGGCATTAGATTTCTCACAACATGAAAATACTCCATTCATGACCAAGAGTACCTTCTAAATGAAAAATAACTCAGGAAAAAAACTGGCAGCACAACCATCACATATATTCAGAAAAAATAGCACCCTGTTTTTATTAATTTGAACCACTTGATATGCATATAGTATTTTTTTTTCCTAAACTTTTTGACAATAGCTTTGAAAGACCAAAGTCTGTAGCTAGAAAAGAGAGAGGATCCCCTGGCATGGTCGATCCAAATTTGGTATTTTAAATTGAGAGTTTAGAAATTTTTCTTTCATCTTCACAAATTGTTTTGGATAATGTCATGTAAATTTTTAATCAGATTTGAGGAAACCAAAGCTTCCTTCAGAGTTGAGCAGAAAGGCTTGAGGGAATTCCAGTTTTCCTGGCACTCTGGCCTCATCTTCTGTGTTTAATAATCCACGTAGACCAGCAATTTTCACCCTTTTTCATCTCACGGCATATGTAAACTAATTATGAAATCCGGTGGCACACCAAAACAATATTTTTTGCCAATCTGACAAAAAAAATTTTTTTTTTTGCCAATCTGATTTACAAAAAAATAAACAGTAGTGAAAATTCTTGCGGCACACCCGTGGAAAATCGCCGATGCAGATGGTGGTCTCTCCTTTGCACAAGACGCAAAACCTGTGTGGATCGCCTCGCAAACAGGAATTTCATTGGCTCCCCTTTTCCTCTTTGAAGTGCACCGTGACCTGTGGCCGCGGACTGCGATACCGGGTCGTGCTGTGTATCAACCACCGCGGACAGCACGTGGGCGGCTGCAACCCACAGCTGAAGCTGCACATCAAGGAGGAGTGTATCATTCCCGTCCCGTGCTACAAACCCAAAGGTAGGTGTGCGGTGCATCTTACGGTTAAATCCAATGGTGTTTCCCAGCTCGCGTTCTGACACGGCAGTGTTTACATTCCAGCTGACTGACTCTCTAATGAAATGGCGTTGCTGACAGGTTACGGTAGACCGCGACAGAGAAGTCAGATGGCAGGACTTCACAGATCTGGGGGGAGAATAGAGCTCCTGCTGGTTCAGCCCGTGCAGAGTGGTTCCTGTCTGTCTACGTTTCTGCTCGCATTTCTCAGTGGATGTAAACTCTTTTGATGCAGTCTCTGCCTTGAAGAAAAAATGGGAAAGATGACAAATAAGAAGAGCAGTAAAACTCCCCCAAAGTTCTTATGGTTCTCTGTTCCCTGGTAGTTGTATGTGCCTCCCGCTACGATGTGTGTTTCTGGAGGGACGTCGTCTTCTCGGGTCCTGCGGTCTGCTGTGGCTTGAAGGAAGATGCTCCGCTCCCAGGCTGGATCTGCAGATCCATTTAGAATTTCTTTCGTAGTCTTACTTGTTCCCCATGCATTGGCTGAAATGGGTAGCATCTGTGCGTGGCATCACCTCTCGGTGACGCGTTCCTCTCTATGCATGACTGCGTATTTCCCTAGACGCCTGTAAGGTATTACCGGCCCTTGTGACATGCACTTTCTTTCTGGGAGTGGAGGAAGGGTGACCCCCACCTGTTAGAGCCCAGGAGTTTTCCTTCATACATTTGGAGAGGCCGGTACGATTCTCCTTTGTTCCTGATCCATACCTGTCATCTCGTAATGAGCCGGTTGGCAAGCACTTATTTGATGACATCCGTCTCCCAGGGAAGTCGTTGGTTGCTGTGCAAGGGACGAAGACTGGTTTTGCGCCTTCCTCGGTGACGTCGCTTCTCCCTTCCTTCTTCACTCTGCGGTGTCTCCACGGCCACGTTGCTGGTGTCTGTGGTTTCCCTGAGGCAGCCCCAGACTATCTCCTTTCTCACCTCACGGCGAGGTTGTTTCTTCCTTTACATCTCAGGAGGGCCCAGAGGACAGACCCAGCTTGCCCGGCATGGGAGCTCTCGTTGGGAATTGCCTCCCCAGCAGCTACGACAACAGTAAGAGTCTGAGTAAACCAGAGCACGGACTCTCCGCCTCCCAACCTTTATGCAATTTGTGTTTCTCTATTAAATTCTTCATTCGATGGACAAAAAGAGCGAGTGGCAGAAGAAAGCAAGCTGACACTGTTGAAGTGAGAACTTTAATATGCCAACAGCTCGTGGGTATGAATTTATAAGAGGCATTTTATGTTAACATGGAGCATATATTCAACTAGGCCATGGGGTCATTTGATTCCTTTTGATTAGGCGTTAATTCAGAAATTCTATGATGATGATTTTTGGTTCCGCCCAGAAGCCCCCTCCTGTCCTGTGCCAAAGGACGTGACCCGCGCCAGCCAAGCGTGAGCTCTGTGCTGAGGGCATCTCCAACAAGGCATAACGCCTCCGACTCCCTAGTGATTAACAATAATTAAGCTTGTTGTTTATGTTCTTTTCTTAGAAAAAAGTCCCGTGGAAGCTAAACTACCTTGGCTGAAACAAGCGCGTGAATTAGAAGAGACGAGAATAGCAACAGAAGAACCAACGTGAGTCCAAGGACCTTTTATGGGAGCGATCCGGGCAGCCCGTGAACATGATATATGTAATTTTTGTCCTTGCTGGAATGCAGTGATACATTTCAAATCCAAGTGACCTGGCTTTGCAAACTCTAGAGAGCCCGAGCTGGCTGGAGGTCTCCTCTGTTTCACAATGCAGCAGCCCTGCTTTGGCAGGATCTGTGAGAAGCCCAGAAAAGAACAGCACTGGTTAGCTCAGGGTGCACCCAGGCGGTCCTTTACAGTGGGGAACCCGGGGCGAACTCCCAGATCTAGACGAATGTGTCGGGTTTCACCAAGGACCGTCCCAGTGCTAAACACATGGTTAGGCCATGGCCGGTCTCTATGAAAACAGTTACCTGGAAATGTGTCAGGGTGACCCGAGAGGTTATCAGATGACACCCCAGAACTGCGATGCTGCGGGGCAGCAGGGGGACAGGCTGATGTTGAGTTTGGCGCCTAGAACCGCCATTTTTGACTGTGTGCCCTCGCACAAGTCTTGAATCGCTCTGTGTCTCCCTCTTCAGGCCGGGTTTAATCTCCCCGCGGTCCCTTCCAACTCAAAAATCCAGTGGCTTCCATCCACATGTGATGTGAGACGTCTGGATTGAAATGGTGTAAGTGGGAATGCAGAATTAAGAGTCAATCAAAGAACTGCCCTGGAGGCAGAGGGAGAGGAACCGGAAGAGAGCAAGAGGTCAAAGGTGCTCTGAGCCCCGGCCAGGCGGCTTAGTTGGTGAGAGCTTTGTCCCCAAAGGACACACGCAGGAGTCAGCGAGTGAGTGTATAAATGAGTGGAGCAAGCAGTCGATGTTCCTCTCCCTCCTCATTCTCTCCCTGTCTCTCTAAAATCACTAATCAATAAATAAATAGGAACAAAACAAAGGCGCGGTAGGACTCCTAGGAGTCGAGAACGCCAGCACCGCTGGTAGACTCACGTAGTGGGACCGCGGAGCCCACGTCAGACACGCGAGGTCTGTGGGCTGTTTCCCAGGAGGGCGCCTCCCGGCGCTGGGGGTGGGGGCCCCGGGGCCCCGAGGCCTCTGTCCTCCTCAGCGCTGGGGCTGCCTCTCTGGCGCCCTCCTCAACGGGCAGGGCCCCTCCCCAGCCACTGCACGGTGCGCCGTCTGCAAGGTTTCCTGCCGTCGAGCCCAAATACATACGCCTCCTTCACATTTCTGCTTTCTGAAACAAGGAAAACAAAAAACCCCCAGGTCTGTGCGCCATCCGTGTGACGCATTTTCACAGGTTGGGGGAAAGCCAGGTCCCGAGCGTGCTGTCTTTCCCACGCTCACCGTTCGTAGCCTTCCCAGTGGTTCTCGTGGCAGGTGATTTTTAGATCCCTGACCCCGCTCAGCGCTCTTTTCAGAACACACTCTCGTGGGTCGGTGTCTCTTGGGCCTGTGGTCCCGCCCAGCGGGGAGCACCCCCGGGACCGTGCCTCGAGAGATGTGGGCTGGGGCGTTGGCCCCCACGCTCGTGACACGGGCTCTTGTACACGGGCCGCAGAAGACGCTGTGGGCGCTGCGAGGTGAGTGGCGAGCGTGGGGCCCACCCCGGACGCTCGGGGATCCGCAGGGAGACGGGGGCCCGAAGGAGTGCCCGGAGGAGGACGTGGGCCCAGGGAGGGCCCCTTGTTACGAAGGCCAAGGAGGGGCGCAGGGAGCGAGGCTCCCATCTCGCAGAGGGCCACGGGGCAGCCGCGGGGGCTGAGGGAGGGTGGTTCTGTTCGTCCGGAGAGCCTTTTCCAGTGAATTCCAGAGCAGTGCCACTCAGAGGGTAGAGAAGTAAATGTGGAAGAGACTTAAGGCATAAATTCCCAATCAGGAGGACATGGGGCAATGGCCGTCTGACTGGAACGCATAAGCACTGGGAGTCCAGTTGATCCGGAAGAGAGAAAGAAAAGAGTGGTTGATGGTGTGTCGTTGGCTGTTGTTTTATTGCTTTTCACTTGAGGGTAGGGCAGTCTTACACGTATTAAAAAGATAGCAAGGATTTTAGACAGGTCGTTTGACATCCCTGGGCCTCCCAGCGGTACAGGGAGGGGGGTGGGCTCGCCGCCCCTTGAGCTCTTGTCCAGCTCTGAGCTCCTGGGATGCTGTGAGGGGAGGAACCTGTGGAGAACAGGATGCACTTGGAAGGGAGCGTGCGGATGCCTCACCAGCAGGGTCATAGGGTTTGCAGTCTAGAGAGATGCGTCCTACCAGGATCTCTTGTTCCCAAAACAAAAACTTGTCCCCGCGCCTCACCAACTTCCCGTTCTCCCAGCCCCTGGGGATCTCTGTTCTACCTTTGGTCTCTACAGACTTGTCACTGGCATTTTGAGCAAAGTGCCCCAAGAGCCTTTGGGGGTGCCTCTAAGTTTGGGGACCCCTGGATCAGATAGCGTCCCTTTCAAGACCTAAAATACGGTTCAATGTATTGACTTGGAAAAGGGTGATACCATGTAGCTGCAGTGGGTTTGGGCCCCCTCCTCATTCCCAGCCTGCGTTTTCGGTCAGCCCCACCTGACCTCGCTGGCGGCTCCTTCCTCTGCACATTCCCCAGGCGGAGCTACGTGGCCTTTCCTCCCGCAGGTAGGGGAGCCCGCAGCACCTGGGCCCTGGCCCGGGCGGCCCCTCCCTCCCACCTCCGCCCCGCCTGCCTCTGTGGCCTCCAGCAGTTTTCCTGTATCACTCGCACGGCTGGCAGCTCCCGGCCTGCCCCTGGCTGCCTGGTGTGAAGTTTATAGTTTCCTCCCTCCCCTTCTCTCGGTTCATTCCCTCGATTTCCGAGCAAAACCGCAACATCGCTCAGCTTCCAGTTCATCCTTTTATTACCACTGTCTTTTGTGGTTTGGGGATGCTTGCTTGTTGACAATGAAGGAAAAGATGAACATAGCCGTGTTTCCAGTCCCCCAAGGCGAGCCTGCCAAACCCGCCCAGAGAAGATAAATATTTCTGCTCCTGTGGTTTACCGTGGCCCGGGCTCTGAATTTACATAGGGAGCGCATGTTCCAAAGGCTTCCCCCGCCCCCCGCTTTTTTAAATGAGGAAAATAAAAATGATAGCTTACAAAGCTCAGCCAAGGAAACTGCTGTGTTGACCTTCTTCGCTTTCAGCCGTGGAATGTGTTGACAGTTGATACAGCTCCTCGTTGTTTTAAAAGTTCTTCCCCAGAGCCTCTGTCATTTCGGTGGGGTGGGACCGTGACGCCCCCTCTCCCATCTCCCACGTCCGAAAACCAAGGAAATAGGACAGATTGAGAGCGAATGCTTCATGCGTTTCCTTCTCTGCTATTTTAGCATTTCCATTTGTGGAAATCATAGTGGCTAAAATCAAATTAGGTTACATTTCGGGAATCTGTTTTACTAACAAACTTGGGACTCACTCATAGTGAGGGCTTGTTTTGTGCCAGACCTTTTCTGAGTGTTCCACGTGGGTTAACTCATTTCCTTCTTACACGGGCCCCATGACGGGGCATTATTATTTCCTCCGTCCAGGGAGGAGGAAACCCCGGCACAGAAAGACAAAGACACTGTCTGACATTTCAGAGCTGGTCGGTGGCAGACGGTGACTCTCTGGCGGGGGAGACTGGGAAGAGCCCCACTTTTATGTCAGGTGACCCGACTCAGGCTTTGCCCATCCTGGGGTTGGTGTGGTAGGGCGGACAGAGAAGGCAGCGATCACCTGCTGACACTGTGAGGTTTACAGATCAGGGACGGCTTCCTGGGGGAGAGGGGCCTGTGCGGCTCTGAGGTGCACCCGGCGTGTGAGGAACCGCGTGCCGGGGGCGGGGGGCTGTGTGCGGGCCAGTGGGGCCCCGCGGCCGCACCGGGGCGCAGAGGCGCTGAGGGTGGAAAGAGGGGTGGCCGTGGCAGCAAGCAGGCAGCTGGGGAAGCAAGCAGGTCTCAGAGGCAAACCTCCGACGACGCATCGCGGATTTACATTTTTTTAATTCCACACATCATCAGCGATGCCATTTCTGTTAACGTCTCTGTTTTTAAAATGAGTGCATTGACAAAGCTTTCTTTATTCCCAACTTAATTCCTGAGCTCCTGCCTGTAGTTATTAAGCGCTGGGATGGGGAGCCAGGAAAATCGATGTTTCTTTGTGGGGCTCGTGTACAGCGGTGGTGTTTCGAGTTTGCCGATGGGGTGGGCCCCCGTGGATGGCTGTAATGAGGCTTTGTTTAGGGCTGGACGGCTCCGGGAGACCTGTACAGCCCTGTCCTTTGAGATTTTTTTAAATCCTCACCCGAAGATGTTTATTGATTTTTGGGGAGAGAGAGGTTGCTGTGAGAGAGAAATATCAATCAGTTGCCTCCCATACGTGCCTGGACCAGGGATCAAACCTGCAACCTTTCCGTACACGAGACGATGCTCCAATCAACCGAGCCACCACTACGGCCCATCTTTCGATGATTTTATACATCAAGGCCAATCAGAGTCTGTTGCAGACTCAGCGCTGCTGTGTGGCACGGAAGCAGCCATGGGCCATGGGCGAACAAGCCACGGTGGCTCTGTTCCAATAAATCTTTGATTAGGGACCCCAAAATTAAAATTTTATGTATTTTTCACATGGTACAAAATATTATCCTTTCTTCCCCCAACCACTGAAAACTGTAACATTCCTCCCTAGCCGGCAGGCCACACAGACACGCGTGGGCTGGATTTCGGCTTTGGACGGGGTTGGACAACCTGTATTTAGTGGGTAATAATTCAGGATGAGAAATAAATACTTCATGCAGCTGGATTGTGCAGGACCTTCAATGTTTTCTAAGAGCCTCAGAGGCTTCGTGTATTTATATGGTACATGGAAGAGAATGGTAAAGCCTCATCTGCTCTGCAGAAAACATTGCTCAACTTACAGTTTAGTTTCTAAATACGTATTTGAGACAGTTGACTCAACCCCTGCATGTTAGCAAAGGAGAAGCTCGGTAAAGGTTTGTTGACTAAATATCGGTGGAAGTCCGCATGTTATAAAAGAACTCAGATGAGAAGTTATCACTACAGAATTGTTTCTTTATTACCATAACATAATGGTGTTATGCGAAGCCCAGAGCACAGGGTATAGAGGTCTGCAACTTCTGTAAAGAGTTGCAGAACGGGTGTAAAGCTTAATTTCTCTTTGGGGAGAAATTCTCTGCGTCGCTAATAAGATTTGCAAATTTCCGAAGTACATCGTTGAGCACCCACAAGGCGTAGCATTCTGAGTGGGTTGGATTTCGCCTGAATGACGTCCTTGCTCCCTACGCAGAATGCTTTTGCCGCTCTTGCTTCCGGGGCCCGCTCGTCACGGTTGCCTCCCTGGTTCTCCGCAGGTTCGTTCCGGAGCCCTGGTCCGCCTGCAGCACCACGTGTGGGCCGGGCCTTCAGGTCCGAGAGGTCAAGTGCCGCGTGCTGCTCACGTTCACACAGGCGGAGACGGAGCTGCCGGAGGAGGAGTGTGAGGGCCCCCGGCCGCCCGCGGAGCGGCCGTGCCTGCTCCAGGCCTGTGGGGACGGCCCCGCCGCCCTCCAGCCCGACGCCTCCCTCCCAGAGCCGGACAGCGAGATGACTTACCACTGGGAGTACGCGGGGTTTACCCCTTGCACAGCGACGTGTTTGGGAGGTATTGGCTCCTTTGCTTCAGGGACAGTTATGTGTGTGTTGCTATTGGTTTGAGAACTTACTAAATGGGTTGAGCCAAATATGCAGATGAGCACAACTGTGATTTGAATAACTGGAAACCGTGCCTTTCCTTCCGTTTATTTTTTATTGTGATTATTCTAGAAAGAGAAAGGATAGTGGGACTGTACCTTGATCCCGCCCCCCTCCCCCAAATTATGTTCTTTGGCCTAAACAGCTGAATAGTGGAGACAGGGAACAAAGTCACCGATGATGTGGGATAAACGGGAAAATGCAGAGCTCATGGGCTGAGCCAGCCTTGTGCCGGAGGCGGCCTGGGGTGGCCGGCTTGGGTGCGGCCCACAGTCAGATGTCGTCCTCAGGAACCATTTGGGTTCGTGGCTGCTTTGAAATGCTCCCATGGAGAGAATTGTGATATCAGCGAGTACTGCCTTCCCGAGTTCAGTTCCCCTCCTGACATATACATACATACATATACACACACACACAGACACATACATATACACACGTATATACGCATATCTGTATCTATAATATAAAATATATATTTAATATAAAAACATTTACGTGTGTGTGTGTGTGTGTATACGTGCACCCGGATGACATTGATTAATGCAGGGTGCCCCGTGAGCGGGGTGGGGCGCAAGCCAGCCATCCTGCGAGGGGGGAAACGGAACACAAACCGAACTGGCCCGCTCCCTGGGGAGAAGGGTTCCCGACGTGCTCCATTAGCCATAGCCGCTCTGTTCTCCTCGCATCTCTTCCCGTCGTGACTGGCCTCTAGCTGTGGCTCCTTCCAGCTACTCTTGACATAATCGGTCACTTCCTCTCAGGTTCCATAGATGTTTATGGCGCTGTTCGTAAGGCCAAACAGCTTTCAACGACCTTTAATCCTTACCAGCTGTTCCCCCAAAGAACTCACCTATTCGGAGTGCTATAAAGCCTGCATTTGGACGTCAAGAATGATATCGTTCCTGTGCACTTCACTGGGTCCGCAGCACACACCTTACGCCTCCTTCTTTTTCATGACCTGGGAGGTCACTCCCTCGCAAACGGACTCATCAGCAGAGAGAAAAATACGTGTTAACTCTTCTTTCCACTCTGGCCCTGGGCCTGTAGCTGTACAATCTGTACATATTTATATATAGGCGTCTTGTCTATTTCTGAAAGAGCATTATAATATGTTAACATAGCATTGTACGAGGCAACCCCGTGTGAAGTTAGGTCTATTTTTTTCCTTAATGGATTTATAGTGGCTCAAAAGATGAATTGGAGTTCTTCCATACCTGTCATGAATCTTAAATCTAGGAATTACCTGTTTAAAAAGATTCGAAGAGCTCGTTCCTACACCTGCCTAAATCCAGTTCTCCTTTTCCCTTCTTGGGGGCAGCACTGAGGGGGAGGCTCATGGCCCCACGTTGACCATCATTTTCAAACCCGCCCCTCTGCCCACTTACTGTTGTAGTCGACTCGAGGTTTTAATTTTTAAGTAAATGCCATAATTTAGATTTTCTTGAGAAAAAAGTCATCCATTTCATGAAGATATTGCGATTATTATCGAGTTGTTCATCCAGCCTCAAGTTGCTTTAAGCTTCCCTCTTCTCTCTGTTCTTTTTTGTTTGTTTGTTTTTTGGCCACAACGAATGTTTGATCTATTTACTCTTTTTGACCTGAGATTTTGATAGGGAATGACTTTCTAGAAATCCTAATGGCAAGATTTGGAGGGCTTAGTAGTTCGTTATTCATTTACAGTTGGACACTATTATGTTACAATTATTACAGTTCTGTTACAGTTATTACAGAGAGTGTTACAATTTCTGGCTTTTGGAAATTATTGCTGTTTCTTTGTAGACGAGCGTAGGATCGATATTTGTTACTATTCCATTAAGTGCTTAGAGAGGGCATGTTACATCTATTTCCGGGGCCTAAGGCTATTGGGTGATTAAATCAACATAACTGTTTTCTTCAAATTACTTTTCCACATTTATTTCACCGCTTGATGTATTGAGTACTGGGTGGCATCGGAAAGCCCCTGGCAGTAGGTTTTTCTCATTGCCTTGGGTGTTTCTTACTGGGCCTGCGTGTTCTGTTGTTTGGCATGTTGAATGTTCAAGACTGGTTTGCCAGGCACCCAGCTCACACGAACCTTAAACCAACGAAAGGGAGCCTGTTCGCTAATGATTGGCTCTGCCTCTCCTCTTAGAGTCTGTGTTTTTACCCTTTCCTCATTAATTTCTTGATGAAGTCTTTGAATTTTTTTTTTTTTTTTTTTTTTTTTTTGCCGAAAATATAATAACCGTCTGATCATCACAGCGTGGCAGTCAGATGGGCAGCGTGAGGCGTCCCACCTCCCCTAGCGAAGGGACTCGTTAGAAAGGCCGCGCTGAGATTGCCACGCTGGATTTACGTGACATCTTCTAATGCTTACGTGTAGTAGTGCCCGCATTTTGTTAAGTCCAAAACGAGGTAAACCTGTTCTTATCGTTTTTCCTTCCGTTTCTGAAGACAGAGGTTTGGGCGAACCTCCTGAAGCGAGACGTGTCACAGTCACAGTGTAGGTCCAGTATTTGCGACGGGAGCTGTTCCTGTGGCCGTCTTTGGAGAACCCGCCCTGCGTCACTAAGCATTCCAAATCCTCAACTAAATTTCCCCGTTCTTTTGAGTGACTTTCTTTAAGACGGAGAAGATTGCCCTGTTATGAAATGCCACCGAAAAGGGTTGAAATGCGACAACTTTGGTGCTTTGAGGTCCACCTGCTTCGTCTCCAGAAAACACTCCAAAATAGTCTCTGTTCTTCAAAGAATTTCGATTATGAAGTAAAACATATGTGCAACGTTGCTTGATTTTTCTCAGATTAGAAATAAATGCAGCCGGCCCTGGCAGGGAGGCTCGGCCGTTCGGCGCATCATCCCGTGCGCCGAAGCGCTGTAGGCTCAGTCGCTGGTCGGAGCACGCACAGGAGCAACGGACTGATATTTTCCTCTCATGTGGATGTTTTTATCTCTCTGTCCCCCTTCCTTCCTCTCTAAAATCAATACATATATTCTCAGGTGCGGATTAAAAAAAAAGCAACTTGATGGAAGATGCCTAGAGACTTGAGATGGTACCCTGCCATGGTCAGGAACCTAAGATTACAACCCAACAAAGCAGGAGAAGATGGAGTCGAAAGAACTAAACATCACAAATATATATATTTCATATATACTTTGGCCCATCCTGCATTCTATAAAATATTGTTTAAAACGGTTGAATCGAAACATGGCATTTGGAAAAAGAACCACAGTATTATAACATAACGGAACACACATTCTTGCATGAAACTGAATACATTTGCATATTTCTGCTAGCTGCTGTTACAATTTTTATTTGATTTTTTTCATCAGAAGTTTGATTTATATTTTATTGAGCTCTGAAACCCCAATAATCCCTCCTAGCCCAATGGACGGAGAACAGAGGTGGAGACATGGGCGTTGGGGTTAGACAGACTTGGTGTGGCCTCAGGGGAGATACAAGCCAGCGAGAGTTTATAGCTGAACACGGTGTGGGCCCTGCTTTGGGAAGCCGGCTGGCGGCATTGGGTCCTGCAATCCTCAGAGAACTAAAGAGAGACTGCTGAATTAGGAGGGAAGGAGCCTAATTTTTAGTTTCTAATTTACCACCTTTTTTTTTTTTTTTTTTTTTTTTTTGCTGTCTTAATCTCTCTCTCTATACCTCAGTCTCTGTACTATGACGTGAACAACGTAGGCACAATGCCACTCTTCTTTTGGCCTTACAAGATTGCGGGGGACTCAGAGAACCCACTTGAAAGCTCTTTGCCCACGTCAAAGCCCTTCCCCACTGTGGGCGGGGTAGGGGCAGGCATGGCATAGACCTATCACCAATTACTGCCATAGTGACCAGGAACTCAGGCCATAATGGAAACTTTAATAGAGGTTATACATCAAATTTAGCACAAATGCAATGATACAGAGAAAATGTTACTGTTTCGCAGCTGACCTGAAGGTTCCTCTTAGGGAAACTACTGTGTATGTTTTCAAGGAACACATTTGAGGGACCTCCCAGCTTCGAGTATGGGTGGAACGTAGACACGTTTGGAGGTGGGACAGGGAGTCAGGGGTGCTCCTTAATGTTTTGCGGTGAGTGTATTTGGGGGAGAAGAGGTAGGGGGCTGAGTTTAAAAGGCGCCTGAGAGAATATCAAAGATGGGGAGGCTTGAGAAAATGAAGGATTATTTGCTCCCACGCACACCCTGAAGTGTAGGCCTCGCCGCCGCGGTAGAGTCCAAAGGGCAGTGGGTGAAGAGCCAGACGCCCTGAGACTCGGTTTTCTTTCCTTTTTCCCATCGGAGTCACTTGCGTTTTCTCTCCTCCCGACCCCCAGGCCGCCGAGAAGCCGTGGCGGTGTGCTTGCACATCCAGACCCAGCAGACCGTCGACGACAGCCTGTGCGACGTGGCCCACCGTCCCCCGGCCATGAGCCAGGCCTGTAACACAGAGCCCTGCCCGCCCAGGTAGGTGTGGTCCTGCGCCCCGGCAGGCTGTGTCCGAAGGCCGCACCCTCTCCCACCGCGGGCGCGCCGGCGTGTGGGGGCTGGCCTCGCCAAGACTGGGCCGCCCGGCCTCCTTCCGGCCGCTCCCCTGCCAGGGGCGTGCGCCGCCGCGCCGATTCTGCCGAGCGGGTACCAGCAAGCCCCGCCGGCTGGACTCCTGCTTGCGGGAACCTCGAACGAACTCACCATGGCCTGCCGCCGGCAAAACCAAGCGGCCAACGGGTTTGTCCTCTTCCTTCGTCGGTCTTGTCAAGGGCATGTCTTGGCCTAAGGCCCCTCGGCGGAGGGCGGCGTTGAGTGGAGTTCGTCCATGTGTGTTCAGTGACTGAGTCATCTCTCGTCGGTTCCCTAGAACCGACAGCAGCGGGCTATTGCCCTGGACCCCGGAGGGCGGGGTGTGGTGAGGTACCACCTCAAAGAACAGGGGAGGAAGGCTTCCTTTGGTCTCTGTGGTAGGAAAGGTTGACCTTAAAAGTTCTTTGGCTTCCCGCTTCAGTCCTAAGGTCCTGGGGAGGGTAGGTGTTCCCCCAGCTTCTCTGTCCCTGCGTATTGCTGGCTGTAGGGGGCGGGTCATAGCTCAAGGCTTCCCACGCAAGACCTTCAAGGACCCGGCCCCGAGCCGCCCTTCCTCTTCTCTCCTTTCCCTCGATTGTCTTGATCACCCTTCTGCCATCAGGCTGGCTTCCCCTGCAGTGGCTTTTTTTGGTTTCAATTTTCCTCTGATAACACGGACACGTCATTGTTGGCAGCTTACGACCCAGTATTTTATAAACCTGTCCTGTGCCTTCTGAGCGGCCGCTGCCTTAATTGAAGCCTGTGTGCCCAGAACTGTGTGCCGCTCGGACCCTTCTGGACACATGTGCGGAGTGACCGTGTGACGCTCCCGCATCAGGCCCTTCCGGTGCGGATTAAAATCCACATCCGTGACTTTGGCACAGTCTTAGTTTCCCGGGGTTGCTGTCACAAAGGATCACACGCTGGGTGGCTTAAAGCACAGAAACACACAGTTGCACAGTTCTGGAGACTAGAAGGGCAAAACCACAGGGCGGTTTGCAGGCTGGTTCCTCACGAGGGCTGGGAGGGAAACCTTGCTGCTGGGAGCCTCCAGCGTTTCTCGGCCTGCGGGTGACGCTGCGGTGTTTTCCTGTTGTCTCCCTCCTGCCTGTCTCAGCGCCCGAATTTCCCCTTTAAATGAGGTTGTCACTCTTGTAGGATCAGAGCCCACCCTAATGCCTCGTCCTAATTGGATGATCTACAAAGACCCTATTTCCAAATAAGGTCCCAGCTGCAGGGTCTGGGGTCAGGTCTTCAGCATCTTTTGAGGGGATGGACAGTTCAACCCAAAGCAGCATAGAAAGTCCTTCGTGACCCTGGTTTTAGGTTCTTGGACCACATCTCGTGACACTGCCTCTCTCGCCACACACGCGCGCGCACACACGCAGACACTCACCCCGAGGAGCTTGGTCGGTCGCCGCAGTAACTTCCACCACGCCCCATGCTCACGCTCTGTCGTGCCTCCTGGGTGTTGCGCAGCCTCTGCCCGGAGCCGTTCTCTGACATGGAATGTGCTCATTCTCTCCCATAAACGTAACGATCGGCCCCCCTCTCGGTGTGTAAAGAAGCCCAACAGGATGGGAAATGGGATCCCCGCCTGAGACATTCAACCGAGGGGAACGCCTCCATTCCCAAGAGAAGTCACGATGCCTCAGGGACACGGGACTAAACCACGGCCAGGTGTCCCTCTGTCCAGGAATCTCATACACGTCCTGAGCTCTCTGGGCCTCGCTCCCTAATCGGAATAATGACGAAAGATGCGAGACTTCGGGATCTCCCAGGTCCCTCCCCGCGCCGACCTCTCCTCACGGAGTTCTTCCAGAGGCATTTTCCATTCGCACCTGCAGAACCACGCCTGGTGGTCGGGCGATCGGCCTCGGGTCTCCTCGTGAGCAGCTCTCCCTGCTCCGGGCTGGTTTTCGTGCTAAGAACAGCAGCCTTTGGTTGGCCTGCCCAGGAGGTCAAGGCCGGGTGAGTTTGGTCTGCACAGTCGTCCTGCCTTTGCTCAGCAGATCAGGAGATTTAACGAGGCTGGAAACCGCTTCCTCAGGCCGCCGCCGCTGGGCGTGTGCTGGTTGCCGAAGTGCCAGCCGTGGGCGGGATGCCCTGCCCTCGCCACGGGGCCTCGGCGGGAGCCGCGGCACGTTGTCGCCGGCATCAGCGCCGTCTCTGCAGAGCCCCCAAGCTCAGGCTAACAGAGCACCCAGTATGTCTTGGCCACGTTGCAAAATTAAGAGTCTGTTTTTATGTGAAGGGAAAGACTATTCCTCATTTCAAAGGTGCAGCTTTAATAAACAATTTTGAAGGTTGAGAGTTATATTGGGAAGAAAAAAAAATAAAACCCAGCAGAGACAAAACGTTGCTGCCAAAATAAAGGTAAGTTTACAAAAATGTTTTAGGTTCTAAAAACCAGTGGTGTAGGAATAACAGGAACGGGGTGTTGCGTAATATTTTCCGTACAAATATTTACTGACTCCAAGGGCAATAGCAGTAAAATATCGCCCCAGGGAGAAACTTACCGCGAGGCTGGGTTGCACCCTCAGCGCATCTCTGTTTACCCAAAGGCAGAAGGATTTGATGGACAGGCCCGGGCTCTCCAAGGTGGGGCGCTGCATGTTTATTTGCTCTGCGGGACTGCTCCCCTGGCCTGTCCTCTAACTGCTGAGTGTCTGCGATGTGTGGAGTGTGCTGTGTCCAGGGGGAGCCGGCAGCTTGTGGAAGCCTGCGGGGCCGCGCAGCGGGCCCACTGGTCTGAGGAGAGCGCCAGGGAGGGAAGCAGGGAAGCCAGATGCAAGGCTCCTGTGTTTTCTGTACCAACTTGTCGCCCAGTTCTTGAGTTAAAAAAAAAAAAAAGGTTCGGATTCCGTGGTTCATTGTCTGTTAGTAAGACATTGTTACCCATTTTTTGGGTAAAATGTTTCATTTCCAGTCCCTTGTGCCTCTAACTGTTCTGGTTCTGTACTTTTTGAATGGTGATCAGCCTGAAGTCGCTCACTCCAAGTGGCTCTGGAACATTTTAAATGACACGGGAATTCAGCTGCTTCTTGAAAATTTATAGGCTGTCAGGCACAAAATTAGCAGGATCTAGTCCCTTTCTTGAAAAGAACTTTACGTATTTTCCTAAAGAGGTATCTATTTTGTCTAGGTTTTCAAATATATTATTAAATTCTCTTTTAATTAGAGTTTGCATCCTTGATATTCCAGGGGCTTACAGAACTATTTTCCAGCTTAAAATCTTTTTTTGTTTACATCCTTCTGTTTTTCTTATAGCTCTTAGCTCCCACTTCACACACATTTATGCGTCTTATGGTCTCCATAGTTGTGTACTTATTATGTCTTCACTGAGAACTTTTGCCTTCGTATATAAAAATTTTAGTTTCTGTCCTATTATATTTCTCTTGAATCTTTCCTCTACTTTAAACAATGAAACATTTATTGTAGAAAGGAGAAAAACGGAAAACCACTTTTAATGCTGTTTCTTTTACAGAAAACTAAGTTATTTTTGTCTGATAATGAGTGTTCATTGTATGAAAAAAATCACAGGCAAGAAAAGAGAATAAACCTCCTACAAAGTAGAGATCATCACTGTTAACATTTAGGTGCATATCAAGACTTTTTTCTACCTGCATTTACAAATGCATAAGGCAATAGGATTGTACTCTATTTCATGACCCGCTTCTTCCTAATAAAAGTATATTATGAATGTTTTTAATGTCAATATACACCTACTTTATATTAAATAAATAACATTAAATTTATATTAAATAAACTTAGATAAATATTAATATATTAAAGTATATTAAAATAATAATCTACTTTGTTTTAATGGCCATTAGCATTGTGCTATGTCAATAGCCAATCATTAAGATTGTCTCCCCTCCATGTTGTAAAATCTAATTTAATATTTATTTATTGCTAATACATATGACACTGGAACAAACCTTTTCTTATTGTACATTTCAAACATTTTGTGATTGTTCCCTCATGATATCCCTACAGTAACTAGTTAAACATTCGTGTTCACGAATAATGGAATATCCACAAGTTAAAAGAGCTGCAGTGGATAACTGTCCTGTCAGTTGGGCCGAGCCTCTCGGCGATCTCACCGGGTGCCGGCGTGGGTGGGGGCGCCAGCGTGGGTGGGGGCGCCGGCGTGGGTCCCCCTGGCGGGGGTGTGAACGGAGGGACTCTCCCGTGAAGGCAGTTTGGAAGTAGGTGCCAAAAGCAGCTGCCCTGGTTTTTCGTTTTTACAGATGTTTCATGAGAAAACCTGATTTTTCCAAGATCTTACTGGAAGGGAATCCCAGTGTATGTGTATGTGTAGTAAATCCAATCCTCACATAAAAGAATTTTTCTTAGGGATATTCCAAATAATGAATCCAGGTGCCCTGAAAATGTCCTGAAGTGTGCTTTTCAGCATTGAAAATTTCTTCTGACACCTACATAAATCATCCCTGCTTTGAGCTCTACTCAAAACCAAACCAAGATTCCGTTATTGATACGGGATGGCAGGTTAAGATGGGGAGAAGTCAGCTTCCTCTCCCTCTGGACTTTTCCCCAGTGCGTAAAATCTTGAACCACGACCCCGACGTTTCTCTTGTCTCTCAGCCTCGTCCCTCTCTGTGTCTTTGAGCTGCAACCGTTGCTGGAGACACTGCAGCTGTAGGTTCTGTGCACCAAAGGTCGAGCCTGGAGCTCCAGAGAACCTGGAACCGTCCACGTTTAGACTGTGGAACGTCTCCTTGTCAGACAGTCCCACATCCTCCCTTGTTCTTTGGTACAGGTGGCACACGGGCTCTTGGGGACCCTGCTCAGCTACCTGTGGCGTCGGGATCCAGACCAGAGACGTGCACTGCCTGCACCCCGGGGAGCCCCCCACCCCCGCCGAGGAGTGTGGCGAGGAGAAGCCCCATGCCTTGCAAGCCTGCAACCAGTTCGATTGCCCGCCTAGTTGGCACATTGAAGAATGGCAGCAGGTACGGCCGCCCACTGACCCCCCCACCCAGCAGACTCATGCGTGCGAGGGCCCGGCATTGATCCCCGACTCCTGTGTCCTCAGTGTTCCCGGACGTGCGGTGGGGGAACTCAGATCCGGAGGGTCACCTGTCGGCAGCTGTTGACAGACGGCAGCTTTCTGAACCTCTCAGACGCGTTATGCCAGGGCGCCAAGGCCTCATCTCACAAGTCCTGCGCCAGGACAGACTGCCCGCCTCACGTAGCCGTGGGGGAGTGGTCGAAGGTGAGGGCCATTCCCGGCTTTACGCGCCCTGCTTCCTCACCCTTCCTTTGTGCCAGCCGCCAGGTCTTTCCTTCCCAGGGTGAGAGCTGGGACCAGTGTGTGGACCGGTGTGTGGTGAAGTCTCCTCTCCCTAAAATCATACAGCGCGTCCCGGCTTTAACTCACAGTGACCCGGGCTGAGATTGCATGTTAGTGGGGAGCTGCTTCCTGAGCGTCCCTGAGGTGCTCCTATCTGCCTTACGCTGTCCTTCAGTCAGTGGCCGTGAGATTGCTGATTGGTCCCTCCGAGCCCTGAGCAGATAGATGCGCTTCTCCTCAAGAGTCTTTGCAGAGTCGGGGGGAATGCAAGATGGCATGGCAGTAGTGGTCGCTGCAAAAGCACAGAGCTGCTAACACAGGACAGGAGGATCATTCACAGGGTAGGGTTTTGCTGGGAGAAGAGACAACAAAGGTAGGACCGGAGGCCCATCAGTTCCCGAGGCAACCCTTCTTCAGGGCCGGGGCAGGCTGGTCACACTCCAAGAGGCCAGGCCAAGCACGGTCAGGACCCCTTCCCGGCCCCGCCTGGGAAGCCTCCGCCTGGGAAGCCTCCACCTGGGAAGCGGAGCAGGTGCGTGGGCAGGCAGGGCAGCTGGCCCGGGTCGGCCTTCAGAACCAGAAGCCAACCTTCAGATCCGGGCAGGCCAGGCGCACGGGGTGCCAGCATTTGGGGCTCCCTCCTGGGTTCAGGGTTTTCCCCGTTAGTTGAAGGTTTGCCTCTCGTTTCAGAGTTGCTTTGTTTCGGCAAAGACTCGGCCACCAAATTGCCACCCTCCCTGCAGCTCTTTGCCACAAGTCCCTCTGCTGCAGGGTGGCCCACTTGTGTGTTCTACACAGAAACAGGCCCTTCACCCCGGCCCCAGCCAGGCTGAAGAGCCACACCAAAATTCCCATTTTAAAAAAGATCATTTAGTTTTACAGAGAAGGGAAGGGAGGGAGAAAGAGAGGGAGAGAAACATCCATGTGTGGTCGCCTCTTGTGAGCCCCCTACTGGGGACTTGGCCCGCAACCCAGGCAGGTGCCCTGACTGGGTATCGAACTGACGACCCTTTGGTTCACAGGCCGGCACTCAATTCATGGAGCCGCACCAGCCAGGGTCCAAAATCCCCATTTTCCACAGAGCCAGGCCTCTGGCCTGCGGCTGCAGGAATCCTCTCTCCCCAGCCTAGCTCTGTTCCTGGCATATTTGGACTTTGCTCATTCAGCGGTGCATTTGTTTTCCTTGATTTCCTTAGATTGAAATTTTAGGCACAAAGGAGCTTTCCATTCTTCCCTTGCTGTCCGAGTTCTAAGAACAGAGTGTTGTTCCCAGATGGGGGTCTTCCGGGATCCGTGAGCTCTTGCAGGCTGTTTCCACTCGCCATGCTTTCACGGAGCCTGCGACCGTTTTGTTTTCATTTATCATTCTAACTTCATGCTGTTCCTGGGTGCTTTTAATTTTTTCTACTTACATGACTATCCGGGGTTTGATCCCTGATCTGGGCGTGTACAGGAGGCAACGGACCCACTTTCCTCTCTCACGTCGACATTTCTCTCTCTCTCTCCCTCTCTCCCCACTCTTCTCTCTAAAATCAATAAATACATCCTCAGGTGAGGATTTAAAGAAAGAAGCAGAAAGAACCCACGGGCCCCTGAGCAGAAAAGGCAGAGAGGTGACAAAAGTTCCCTCTGTGGCCTCGTGTTCTGGTGACATCCGTGCAGGAGTGCGGAGGGGCGGGGCTGACACACTTCCACGGGAGAGGAGGCGCGGCCGGGGGTGCCCTCTCCCCTGGCGGCTCGTCAGGGGGCGCGGCAGCCGGTGCGGAGGAGGGCGTTACTGTCGGGCCCCCTTGGAAAGCGCTGAGGGCCAGAGGACCCCGGGGACTCGGGCCGTGCAGGCTCCGATCGGACGACGGGAGAGCGACCCTTCAGTCCGGGGCAGGATGGGCAGTGGCAGGCCGGCAGCTGCGTTTTAGAACAGACCCCAAACGGCAGAAATCTTGACATTATCTGAACAGTTTAATGAAAACTGAGCCGTCTGGAGGGGAGAGGTGGGAGGGGACGGAAATGTGCTTGTTTCCTCCTCCTCCTTAACTGCGGGTCAGTAGATGTTCTTGAAAGGTAAAAGGTGTCATTAAAAGGAACGACCCGAGTCTCTTGTTGGTTTCTTTCATTTTCTTTCTTAATTTGGGAGGGTTCTTTGAGAATGAACCACTTACGGTGGAAAAAAATAAGACATTCAGCCGCTCTTTTAATTTTACATTAGTTTTTTCCTAATACACCTAATAAAGTTGCCAACGTACCTAATATAAATTTTCTAATTACCTAATTAAAATTTTAAATTGCATGTCCACAGCATGATTATCAAATATCAATGAGCATTAAATATTAATGTTACTTCACGTAGAGTAGTTTGGGTAGTTTTTCAAAAACTTTCCTTTCGTACCTTTCTGTTTCTTGAATTCTTGGTCTTGGATACGTATCTTTGTTAAAAAAGCAAAGTCATCGTACTATAGAAAAAACAGCTAAAAAACAAATTAGAGACTCCAGTTGCAAGGCCAACAAACCCCTGCGCCAATAGATTGCAGGGAATTCATTACTATCCCAGAAAGAGAAGAGAAGGAAGGGAGCAAGGCAGGGGAGGACAGGGAAGAAAAGGCAGGGGACTCTCTATGTTCTAAAAGACAGCAGAGCCCAGGAAGCGGCTTGCGCCCTGGCGCACCCACACGTGACGTCCCCTCGTCGTAGGCCGCGTTTGCTCACGCTCCGTGTCATCCCGTTGTGCAATTCTCGTTGCAGTGCTCGGTCAGTTGTGGCTCGGGAACCCAGCGAAGAAAGCAGATGTGTCAAAGGCTGACGGCCAAGGGCCGGCGCGTCCCCCTCCCTGAGACCTTGTGCCGTGACCTTCCGGGGCCCCCTCTCGTGAGAGCGTGCCACATGCCCGCGTGCAGCAGTAAGTGGGGGCGGGGGGGCATCCTGCGCGTCTGTGTCCCGAGGGCTTCCCCTTCCAAGTGTCCGCTGAATATTTCCAAGCTGAGGGTCAAGCAAGCCAAGCCCGAGTCAGAGTTGTTTTCAGCTGCCAGCAGGATAATGTCGGAGGCCAAGATAAAGGTCTAAGAAAAGTCAGTTTGAAGGACTGTCCGCCCGCAGAACAAATGTGTCTTTCAGGTTTCCTCACCTGGATCGCTACCTCCTTACACCCTGCACTTGACCGTGGTGTTTTCCACTTAGAATTCATGAGTGTTCCTTGTAGAAGTTAAGCCAAAATACTTCCTGGGTGTTGTTTTGTTTTGTTTTGTTGGCTACTGATATGTTTGGACTCATTCTGTAAAAGAAGGCATAAGCATTTTTAATTATCCAAGTATCTCTTCCTGCATTGACTCTAAAACCAGAAATACCTTTGGCGTTTAAAAATGGCAGTATGGATACTTCTTCAATTAATTAAGTTATAATTAATTTTAATCACTAAGTTATAACTTACATAAGCTTGGCATAAAGAGTTCATAGTATGGCTTCCTAATATACCAAAGCTGATAGATATGTAGCGTTTGTATATTCACTGTGCATGGGAGAACATATGTTTACATGTGCCTATGTATGTTTTATGCAGGAGGGTGACAAAGGAGTTGTGTGCTGTCCCTGCCGCAGCTGAAAGTGAGGGAGCGGAGGTTGGGGGGAGTTGGGGGCCACGTGCACTGGAAGCGCACAGCTTCTGGGCCTGTTTCTAGCTTTATTTTTTTTCACTGTCTTTCATTATTTGCCTGTAAGAGAACATTAATTACCTCGGGTACCGTCCTGAGCTTATGGTAAGGGGGGAAAAAATCAGAAATTAACTATTATGTTAATGCTGCTTAGGAAAAAAATATATACATGAACTCTAAGTTGACCCACAACTTTCCTGGAGAAACTCGCAAAACAAAGTAGGAACCATGATAATAACTCTTCAAAAAGTGATAGCGTTTGTGGGCCCTTATTATGGAGAGTTCCTTTCGTGCATCAACTCATTTAGTCCCCATAACATTTTGAGACCGAGATAATCCCTGTTGAGAGACAAGGAACCCAGGATTTAGAGAAGGTATGAGACCTGACCGAGGCCCCGGAGCTGCCAGTTGGTCCCCTGTGCTGTTGACCACAAGGCGGTCCCGTTCCTGCGCCCACGCTCTCAGCCACTCTCCGTGCTGATTCATGGACGACGCTAATGTTTTTTCTTGGGAAGTCTTTGAGAACAAACTTTTAAAATTTTGAGCTTCCACGCCCCTGAGAGTCCAGGTTTAATGGTGTCCTGGAATCCAGGGCTGTCCGCGGCATGTGGCGCACTGTCATGCTTTGAGCGGCTTATCGATCTAATTTTTATTAATCGTGGATGATTTTATAGCAGTGTGGCTAGACCATAAACTGCCTGAGAGGAGAGTGAAATTAAAGTAACGCTGGCAGCTTCCTCTAAAATAACAGAATAACATGTGGGACCACATCGTGGGTTCTGAGGGCATGCAATGTGGTACAAGATGAAATTGTAAATTATTCTGGCATGCAGTGGGGAGCGGAGGAAAATGATAAGTCTTACGGAGGGGGGAGAAAAGCAAGAAAAAGACAGTAATATTTCTTCTTCACCCCACCCCATTCCCTGGCTTGCCAACATGTAGGTCATGGAAGCAGACAGGAGGCTGCAATGCACGCTCCCAGCACAGCCAGCGCGCCCTGAGCGGGGCCTCTGCCCCAGCCGCAGCTGGCCTCCCCGTCCCCTTCCTCTGACCGCCGCATCAGAGAGCCCGGCAAGAAGCTTCCATTCCCCCATCCCCCCAAGCCCTGTGGTGTTCTTCCCACTGTCCTCCCCGACCGGGCGCCCACGCCGCCCCGTCACACCTTCCAGTGCATCGTGCACAGACCGATGGGACACTTTCCGCCTCTCCTTTCTCCAGGACACTCATTGGCTCGTACCAGCCTTGGAAGGTTATTGTCGAAAAGCATTTCTCACGGAGATGTTGGTTGGTGTCTTCCTCTTTTTCTTTTTCTTTTTTTTCCCCCTGCAGAGATGAAGACAAAGCCTGGTGGGCGGGGTCCTCAGATCCTGGGTGTCCAGAGAGTCTACATTCAGACGAGGGAAGAGAAGCGTATTAACCTGACCGTTGGTAGCCGGGCCTATCTGCTGCCCAACACCTCTGTGATCATTAAATGCCCGGTGCGGCGGTTCCAGAAATCGCTGATCCAGTGGGAGAAGGACGGCCGCTGTCTGCAGAACTCCAAACGCCTGGGCATCACCAAGTCGGGCTCCCTGAAGATCCACAGCCTCGCGGCCCCCGACAGCGGTGCCTACCGCTGCGTCGCGGGCTCTGCCCAGGAGACTGTTGTCCTCAAGCTCATTGGAACCGACAACCGGCTCATCGCGCCCCCGGCCCTGGGCGAGCGCCCCCGGGAACTCCCGGGGATGGACCCCAGCAAAGCCGACGGCTTGGGAGCCACGTGGCACAAAATGAGGCAGATGTGGAGTCACAAAAACGAGCTTTATCGGGACGATGGCCAAGTGAATAACCAGCCTTTCCTCCGAGCGCTGCTGGGCCACTGCCGCAGTTCTGCGGGAAGCCCCGACACCTGGGAGTTGAGGAATAAGCAGTTTGAAGCAGCTGTCAAACAGGGAGCCTATAGCATGGATACGGCCCAGTTTGATGAACTGATAAGAAACATGAGTCAGCTCATGGAGACAGGGGAGGTCAGCGACGACGTTGCTTCCCAGGTGATATATCAGCTGGTGGCTGAGTTAGCCAAGGCCCAGCCGGTGCACCTGCCGTGGAGGGCCACCCAGGAAGAGGTGCCCCCCGCGGCTCAGCTAAGAGGGGACACGGGACGTGAACCCCACAGCTCGAGTGTGAAAACCTCAGGCAAGCTGACCTTCAAGCCAAAGGGACCGGTTCTCAGGAGGCCAAGCCAGACCACCTCGATTTCATTTAATAAAACGGTCAATTCAAGGATTGGAAGCACAGTGTACATCACAAAAAAGACGGCGGTCATAAATATTCTGTGTGAGCTCGTGACCCCCAGTGAGGTCACCTACACGTGGACCAAAGACGGAGCGCTGTTACAGCCCTCAGAGAAGTAAGTAGGGGAAGAGCTCAGTGTGCCCTTGTGCAAGGCCTTGTTAGTGGTTATTCCGGTTTTCTCGAAAGCATTTTCAAATTCCTTCTCTTAAGAATGTGTTTCCAGCAGGATTCTTTAGGAAGGAAAGTAAAAAAAAAAAAAATGTAAGGATGTGTTTTCCACATAGGCATTTGAGTTTTTAACGTTGAATGGCGCTCTTCCTCGACTCACACGTTGTAGGTGTGATACAGCAGTGGATATGTGAGACTGAGTTTAGGTGTGCATCGTCTCGCTCTTTGCAGAGCACTTACCGTTTAAAGAGAAAAGCAGTGTAAGGCCAATGTAAAAGGAGGCACACTTGCCGCTGTCCTATACTGCATAGGCACTGCAAATCAGCCTACAGTGCTCTGACATATCTCTGGCACGGCGGGGCCTCGTCTGAGCAAACATCAGCCCCGTGAGGTTGGTGAGGCCAGGGTTCATGGTATCCTGTGACATCACTGAGAAACAGAATCCCATGACTAATTCCTGACCAGTCAGAACCAGGGACCAGCTCTGGCTGGTGTGGCTCAGTGGATGGAGTGCTGGCCTGCAAACCCAAGGGTCGCCCGTTCGATTCCCAGTCAGGGCACACGCCTGGGCTGCAGGCCAGGTCCCCAGTAGGGGGTGCGTGAGAGGCAGCCACACATGGATGTTTCTCTCCCTCTCTCCTTCTCTTCCCCTCTCTTTATAAACAAATAAAATCTTAAAAAAAAAAAAAGGAAGAAGAAGAACCAGGGACCATATCTCCTGAACACTGCCAGCGATGTTTGGATATGACACAAACATTAGCCTTGGCAGAAAGATTAGGTGTCTGAATAGTTTTCTATATCATGCCATGTTTAATGTCATGAACTCCAAAACTAGAAGATACGACAGTTCAACAGTTTTTGAGCTGGTCAAAACAAAATAACAAGCCATATGTTATTTTATTGTGATCTGCAAATATATCACAATGCATTTATTTCATATAAAATAACAGGGGATAACAGAAGTATTCATCCCTTTTGCACTCTTCACTGTCTCCCAGTCTTGCTACATAAGACTGTAGACATTTTGCTTTTTTAAGTATGCAGTTAAGAGTGCAAGCCACACCCTCTGTGCCCCTGGAGGCTGTTCAGAAGCACAAACAAAACAGCAGATGTTAAATTGTTTTGTGGACAATGAGGCGGGTTAAAAATGCACGTCTTTTATTGTGCCTTTTGTGCGTTGAGCCTAATGTGGGATCCTCCAGAAGAAAACCAGGTATAACTCAGTGTTTTCTAATAACCTACTAGGCTATGTCTTAGAAGGAAAAGATAGAACAAATTTAATTTTTTAAATTGTTTGCCCTGGTGCGAAATGAAAGGTTAGAAGTAGAATAAACCTCGCAGATCCATAACCTTAGCAGTTCTCAAATCCGTTTTGTCTTAGGGCCCCTTGAATTGACTGAGGAGCCCAAAGAGCTTTTCTTCACATGAATTATATCTATTGCTGTTTACCATGTTAGAAATTAAAACCCAGAAGCACTGAAAACATCTTTCTGTTAATCCATTTTGAAACAACCCTAATCAGCCAGTTACTCATTCACATAAAATAACGTCATTTTTGAAAAGCAATATTCTCAAAGAATTTACTGGTAACAATGGCATTGTTTTACATCTTTGCAAATTAATGTCTAGATTAATAAAATACATCTGGATTCTCATACTTAACTTCTGCATTAAATCTGTTGGGATATGTTTTTTGAACTGAAGCTTCTAGAGGAAATTTGGCCAGAGCCAGAGATATTAGTTGGATAAAAAAAGGAATAATTTAATAGCCATTTCAGATAATTGTGCCTTTTCTTCTTTGATACATGAAAACTAGGAAAGTGGCATTTTACCCTTAAAGGCTAGCAGGATTGTGAAAGCTAAAATCATATTAATGAAATTTTGGTATTTTGTTACGATGAAATGTATTTGTTTATCTTGTACTCTGAATGGATCTTTTACTTACACAGATTTTATAACCTCCCATGGGTCATTTAGAAAATATTGGATCTTCCAAACATTGACAAGCTCCATGAAACAATTTTAAAAGTGCACATATTCTATAACATTGCTACCTGTCTCATCAGGAAAGTCTTTGAGCTAACAAGGGGGAATAGGAATTTTCTGAAATTCTAATCTTTGCTTGAAAGTTCAGATTTATCACTGGCCATGAATTCTGTCCGTTGAGTTCCTGGAGTTGGCCAGCTCAATTTTGTTCATTTAAAGACGTGTTTGCCAATCACCCTCGTCCAAATAACCATAGTTTGTCCGTTAGTCATTCTCTCCAGAAAAAATGGTATTCCCTGACAACCGCCGTCCAAACCCTCACACCGATACTCGTGCATCGTGTGGACTTCCCATTTTGACATACAGAATATTAAAAACATATGGACTCAAGGGTCGTAAAATTAGTGAGTTTTACTGCTTCATTAAGAACGTCCTTATGGGAAACTGGCTTTATTTTTTTTCCCCTGCAAGTGTGTGGAAGGCAAGAATGCAGTGACGGCTGCTACACGTTGGCGCCGCTGCCTCGGCCCCTGCTGAGGCGCCGGCAGGTTGGCCCACCTCTGCTGCTGCTGTCTCTGCAGATGTCAACACGGTGACATGGCAAGTGGCACTTACTATGGCCGTGAAAGTAGTTTTGACCTCACGGGCCCCGGGGGTCCACAGACTAGCCTTTGGGGGCTGCTGCTCTGGCTGAGCAGTTCCATCTTAGATACTGTGAGGAAACACAGGCTGAGGAAGTTGAAGTGATCGTTGACCGATGGCCATCCAAGTCCCACAGGGACAGGAGAGCAGGGTCAGCTGAAGTACATGTTGGTGGAATTGAGTTGATTTTAAATAGTTTGACTTGATCAACTGGGATTAACATTTGTTTCAGAGGCTGAGACGCCTGGAGGTCAAGTAAAGGAGAGGTTTTAACATGGCCCTTCCTATTCATATGTGTTCCTGCATACTTTAAGACTCAGCCATTTGATATTGAAACAATTCCAGGGGGCTAGTTAAAGTTTTGTTTTATCTTACCTGGCTGGGTAGCTCAGTTGCTTAGAGTGTCATCCCAATACGCCACAGTTGCAGGTTCAAGCCCCAGTCAGGGCACATCCAAGAAGCCACCAGTACATGCATGAGAAAGTGGAACAACAAATCGATGTTTTTCTCTCTCTCCCCTCTTCCCCTCTCTCTGTAAAATCAATTAATAAAATTTTTTAAGTTTTTGTTTTAATTTTTAAGAGAGTAAAAGAATATGGCCCATTTTTATTTCCATCGTTTCCAAAGTTACCTCATTAATTTGTCCAACTTGTATTTAATTCGTCTACATGACAGAGGATCTCGCCTTTAGATATATTTTTCTGTGTGTGTTGGGATATCCACTTGAGCAAGAAATCTCAGCTAGAAAAGGAAAGCTGTGGGTGGATTTACTGAGGATGGTCCCTGTGGAAAGGTCACTTTGTCATTAAGCAAAGAACAAGGTCATGTGGCAGAGGCCAAGGTCAGGTCCCTCAGGAACTCCGTTTGCTCGTTCTGCAGCCCAGGGCTGGCCCGGGCTGGCCACGTGTGTGACTCCGTCTCTCGTGGACTCAGCTGTACATTTCGGTGACTTTCACTGCGCTGTCAAAGTGAGACGGGCAGACTGAAGGAATTATTTGAGAATTGCTAAATCACACAAACAAAGATGAAATAACTTAAGAAAACTCGGTAGCACACTTATTTTTCAAGGGTACTTAACTAGCATAAACTTTTGTTCTTTTTTTCTTTTTACATTTTATTTATTTATTTTTAGAGAAAGCAGAGGGAGGGAGAAAGAAAGGGAGAGAAACATCCATGGGTGAAACATCCATTGGTTGCCTCTCGAATGCCCCCTACTGGGGGCCTGGCCTGCAACCCAGGCATGTGCCTCGACTGGGAATTGAACCAGTGACCTTTTGTTTTGTAGGCCGATATGCAATCCACTGAGCCACACCAGCCAGGGGTAACTTTTGTTCTTAATCAACTGTTCCTTTGTAGGGATTTGACAGCGAACTAGAGTCCAGCCCCACTCATAGCTAGGTCTGCCACACTCCCGTTTTGGTCCTGGGAAAGTCAGCGGTTGTGATTTCTGCCCACTTCTGTACCTTTTCTATGTGCGTTGCAGGGGGCTGAGTCTTCCTAGTACATAGACTCTGAGCCATTATTCCTTTCTATTCGGATCATTCATACATTTTGTCGTCCAAGGTTCTTGAGAACTTGCTGTATAAAACTCAGTGAGAATGCACAGCTGTGAATAAAATTTGGTCCTTGGTCTTGAAAAGATCACAATCTAGTGGGAAGAAATTGATTTTTCATCAAATAAATATATGAACCAGAGCAGAAGGAGCCCCGAGGGAGTGGAAGATAACTCTGGGAGTATTGGGAAAAGCTTTAGGGGAAATTGCATTTGATCCAGGACTCGGCGGGTAGGTCGGTGTTTGCCGGAGGGAGGAAGGACATTCCAAATAAAGTGAACAACATATGCAAAAGCTCAGGGCGATGAAAGGTTATGGAATGCTCTGGAAACCGTTAGAAGTTCATTCTGGCAGGAGCATGGGGCAAGCAACATGAAGTAGCAGAATATGGAGACGTGGCCCAGTTCCCGAAAAGACGTGTAGCCCTTAGCAGTCACAACAGCCCTGTCCTGCTGAGACCCGTCCAGTGGGACGGGCCTGCAGAGACCGGAGGGGACGGGCAGCTGACCCAGAGGTTCTAGAAGCCTTTCCAAATTGTTAAGAAAGAAAGAAAATTAAAACAGAACAAACACTCTTTCCGGTTCCCTGAATAATTATCGCACTTGCTGGGATGCGCCTGACCAGCTCGCGTTCTCAGAGTGGCACCTCCACGTGAGTGGCCCTCAGCCTGGGGAGCCATGAGGGGCTCTCACGCAGGAGCCCTGGTTCTGCGCGGGGCGGTCGAAACCCAGTCGCGTGTGGCCTCCGTGCGGTGGCCTGCTCAGTGCCAGGAAGACGGTAGCCACTGCCAGTCCAGTGTGAAAATGCTAATGGAAAAATCCCCCCGTGCCGTTGGTTAGGGAGGATCGGGGTGGCTGGTGTGTCTTTTTAAAAAATGGGGTAGATGAAGCACGCAGTCCATCCCCGAAAGCCTCCGCTCGTGCAGAGGAAGATAAGGAGGCCGGATCCGGCCGCCCATCCAGCGCCGTCTGCCATGTCAGCGCGTTTCAGCCGAGAGGAAAGACTTTTCCACCCTCTGGTCTGTGTCCTTTTCTGCCTACTGGTCATCTGTTGGGGTCCGTCACAGCTGGAAGTCTGTAACCTGGCTCTCCTCCTTCTGCGTGGCTTGCTGTGGCCCTGGAGCAGTTAAATGTGCTACTTGACTGCCTCTTCTTCCTAACCGCCCCTACAGGATAATCGTGTCCGGAGCGGGGAGACTGCAGATACGGAGCCCCACGGAGAAGGAACAAGGGCTGTATGGGTGCTCGGTGGCGAACCGCCTGGGCTCCGACGCGGAGAGCTCTCCCGTGCTGCACGCAGGTACTGCCGCTCTCAGAACCCGGCACGCCGGGGCCTCGGTTTTAGCAAACTGTAGAGCGGAGGTTCTCAAACTTCGGGGAGCTGCAGAGCTCCCTGTGTGGGTGGTGGAATAGACCCCGTTCCCAGAGGTTCTGACCCAGGAGGTTTGGGATGGAGTCTGAGAATGTATGTTTTTAACACGCTCCCAGGTTACGCGGATGCAGCTGGCCTGGGGGCCACACTTGGAACACGGCTTCTCTAGAACTCTCTTTCTAAGAATTGGGAATGAACACGACAACATTTAATTGGTGGTGCTTTTCCTTTTAAAGAGCCACCAGCCAAAGAAAGAGCATAATTCTCCTAAGATTGCTGTAAACCTCCCAGCCGCAAACCTACCAACGCCTCCGCACGCTTGAAGAGAGGTGCACCTGTACATCAGTGTGTACCTTCCTGGCAGCGCCGTTTTAATAGTAAAGTGTGCTTCCAGCGTGAAGGACCATTTTAGGTGGCAAGGTTGTAAGCAGCGCCTCCTTGTGGCCAGCTCTGTTCTGGGATTAAAAACAAAGCAAGAGGGCCTTCTTCCCACTCCTGCTCTGTGGCTTCTGGTGTCTGTGGCTTCTGGTGTCTGCAGCTCCAATGGGCTGGAATGATAAGAGGGACAAGATCAGGGATTAGAACCCAGCACTTGGACACGTACGTGTGGGGCTTTGTAGCAGACACCTCGTGTCTGTATGTGGAGGCGGTTGGACCCGTTGCAACTCTGTGGCCTGACTCCCAGCCCTGCCCCTGTGTTCCGGATGGAGGCGGGGTCTTCAGGCCTTGGTCTTCCCGGCTTGCTCTCCTCTGAGCATCACCTCCTTTCCAGGAAACTGATTCCAAGGCTCTAAAATTCCTACGAGGAATAGAAGTCCCGCTTGCAACTCATAGTATCCCCTTCAGTCAGTCCTAGAACCATCCGGATCCCCGGCTGCGCTGGCGCACAGTCCCACGAGGGCCAGAGGACATGCTGTGGCGGCTGCAGCCCCCTCCCCGCCCAAGAGCTGCTCCCAGCTTTCCAAATCTCAGGACAGCTTCCCAGCGCCCTGGCCCTCCAGCGGAGAATGGAACATTTGGTCATGCAGCCATGACTGTTCCGGAATCCTCTTCCCCAGAATACATGCGAACCAAAGAGCTAGCTAACCGTCCTCATTCGCCCGTGCTCGGTGCAGCGGTGAGGAGAGGATTTAAGGAAATATGGCCTCTCTCAGGTGCTGATGGGGGAGTGGGGGAGGGGTGCTCTGTCGCCTTCCTCCCGGGCGCCTGCCCACACGCTTCTGAGTGGCGCTGGACAGCCAGACCTTTCTCTGCCTCCCACCCACAGGCCTCCCAGCAGTCTGCGAGTTGTTTGAGGGCAAGAGTGGGTGTTTTCCAACTCTCTCTCCCAGTGCCAGCTCGCACCACATGTCTTTCCGGAGTGAGTTCATAAATCAATCTGTTAAAAGTACATAGTTCTCAAAAATTCAGGGAAGTAGAAGCCCTTGGCTGGGTCCCTGATTCTTTGTGACCTCGTTTGTATCATTTGCACCACGCAAGTTTGATGCGGGGTTTCCTGACCCAGTTTCCTTCTTGGGATGCCAGGCCCTGGTGTGATGGATTGGTCCTCGCGCAGCTCTCCTGAGGCCGCTCTGCAGACCTATCCCCTGGGCCTTCTTTTCTTCTGAATTCCTCCTTTGCCAGAGTATCACGTGTACCAAAGAGGGATTTGGTCGTAAAACCCAAATATCCCCATAGTCCATATACGGTTGTTGCAATCAGTGCACCTTCGTAGGTATCTCTTTGACTATGTCCATCCATCTGTCCCTCCATCCTTCCACCTGTCCGCTGAGCACCCCCAGGCTGCGCGAATCCCTCCCATCAAGGTGTGGAGGGGACCAGGACCCTCCCTGCTCTCGACAGCTCATCGCCCCTGCCAGGTGCAGCTCGGGTTACCAAAGAGCCCATGCCTGAACCTAACGTTGTTTTCTGTTCCCTTTGAATGAAGAGGCGCCTGTCATCTTGTTCCTGGAAAGAAACGTCACCAGAGTGGAGCGCGGCCCTCTGTCCGTCGTGGTTGGGGGCACCGTGAGGGCAGCCCTGGGCGCAAACGTGACCATCCAGTGTCCTGTAAGAGGTGAGTGTGTTCACTTCCAGCGCGAGGGCGCGTGGCCAGTTGCCAGGAGACGCCGAGACCTCAGCGTGGCCATCTTAAAAATCGGATTTCCCAGGGAAATGGCAGCGGGTCTGTCTCTCAGGGGCAAGCTCACGCCAGCTCACAAGACCAGTGTGTGAAACAAATGTTTTTAAATTCTATTTTAGAGAGAGAGGAGGGGACAGAGAGAGAGAAACATGAATCGGTTGCCTCCCATACACACTTTTATTGGGGATCAAACCCGCAACCTTTTGGTGAACAGGATGACACTCCAACCAACCAAGCCGCCGACCAGGGCAAAGAGGATGCTGCTTTGTTCCTTTCCAGTGAGGACTGTGACCGCCTGACACACTGTCATGTTCACTCCAGAAAGACCAGAAAACTCTCTGGAAGACTCCCTGGTCCCCCAGTTCTCACAGGGCACCTGTAGCTGCAGCCTCTTCAAACGAATCTCCCAGGCAGGTGGTGGCGGGCGAGGGTGCCGTCTGAGCAGTGGGCTTGTTTGTCGGGAGTCAGTAGACACGTCCTCCAGCTGGACAGAGTCTGCGCTAGGCAGGGCCAGGTCAGGGAGTTGGCAATGTCAGGGTCCCCAGGCCCTGCCGCTCTGTCCTGGACTCTCCCCGTGGGAGCCTCACCTGTCTGCCCCTCTGTGCGTCTTTCCGCTTTGTTTCCAGCAGCGAATAAAGCTCCTTTCTAACAGACTCACTCCTTCCTTGATAGAAGTAACACCTTCGGTCTGACCTCGCCTTCATCTCGGGCCCTTCCGCCCCTTTAAGCCACAGATTCTCACGTCTTCGCCCGGACCTGTGCCTTCTCCAGACTGAGGTCAGCGTCCGGTGCTGCACACGTGTCCCCTGCGTACGGGCCGGAAGGGCTGTGTGAAGAATAGCTTCCGTCTGTTTCTCGGAGACACGGTGAACTCCTCAATGGGAAGAGCCACTCTTTAAAGATGACCTTGCGTGTGCCCTTGAGTTAACTCTCTGCACAACTCTATCGCCCTGGCCCCCACGTTCCAATGAGGCAGCTGTAGTGGTGGCCACTTAGGACGAGTCCTGCCAGGGCGTGACCCCGAGCGCCCCGACCTAGGGGAGCCTCTGCTGCTGCTGTTAGTCCTGCCGTGAAGGTCCACATAACACAAGGCTCTGAGGACAGATCGGCCAGGCTTCAGGCTCTGTCCCCGCCCCCGAGGACCAGCCACTCTCCCTGCTTCCAGAACAGCTCCTTTGGCTCCACAAACAGTGGAAATTTGCTAACCCCCGAGGTATTATTTTTCACCCCTTGGAAGCCCCTGCCGTGTTTGGACTATACAGACGTTTGAAAAAAATTCCCTCCAGCCTCCCAACTGACTCCACCCACAAATATGTGAGTTTTCTGGCAAAATGCACCGACCGTTGCCGACCGGGCCAGCATTCTCTGGCCGCGGCGAGGAGGGAGGCAGGACGGAACTTTCCATTGCCAAAGCCACAAATGTCTGGAGCTCCCTCAGCCCTCCACCTGCAGAGGATTCTGCAAAATAGATCTGACTTCTATTAAGAGAAACCTCAACATTATTTCTAAATTTCTTACTTTCATGATCGTTTAAAATCAGGCTTTCAGGGGGATGAGCCGCGGGAAGGGCTGTGGTATCGTGTTTGCTGTCGTGAGTCGGGGATGGGTTGAGTGGAAACTGGTTTTGTGAGTGAGGCTTCCAGCATCAGCGTGTGGCCCAGCGCTGTCCTGCCCGCCCCCCCCACCCCCCAGGCCCCTGCCATCTGCCCTGCATCGGAGCTCCGCCTTCCTCCTCCACACTCAGCTCTTACTAGAAATGGTCCTGGGATTTTTGTTTGTTTGTTTGGATTGTCTTTTTTTTCTTTTCCTTTTTTTTTTTTTTTTTACCTGGCAGGTGTTGCCTATGGACTGGACCCCAGGCACGCATCAGGAGTCCTTTCCTTTTAAAAATAAACCGGCCTTGTTTTGAGTTCTGTGCCATTTTAAATAAACCTGCAGTGAACTTCCTGTGTTCTCTTGTGGGCAGAAGCTGGAGCTAACTTAGCTTTTTACGGGGAGGCATCTTCTTAAAGGCAGGTGGGGAAGCTGATGAAGAGGCAGAAAATGTGTTTTCCAGCCCGTCCTGTCACTAGCTTGTATATGACGCCACCTCTGACATAGGAAATGTGCTATGTTAATAGAAGAGAAGACTCTTCATTCTACAGACAAGAGCATTATCCCCTTCGCAGACCTGAGTGCTGCTTTATAGAATTATATTTTCATATTGCACACTGAGACGCTGCTGGTAAATCAGTAGCATGTATAAATTTTATTTTTCAGTTGCCCTTCAGACATGTTTCACTACTAACTCCAATGAGTTCAACTGGTCATACCTCTTAGACAGACTCATAGTTCTCTGCTGCAGGCAAGTACATTTGTGCTCACCCGTACGGCATAGACATGCTGACCGATCATCTCTGCTCGCTCGGAGATGGCATCTCTAATACCTCTGCTCAGTAATACGACCGGCAGACCTGTATTTCTAAAGGTTAAAAGTTCTAACTCGCAAGAGTTATTTGTCTTGCTCTTAAGGAAAAATAAAAAGTTTCTTCTAAATATGGGAGGGGAAAAACGTTTTAACTGCACCCTCTCTGCCACCTTCTGGTGAGAAAAGAAAGTTCCATACGAGGAAGAGGACCAGTGAGTGTCCGCAGCTGCGTGTTCCTTCCTCGGGGCCGATGCGTGGTAAGGACAGTGTTTGTCTGCCCTGTCACTTTCTGGTTGCTTGGGCTTCTGGTTCTTAAGCTCATGGGAGAAGCAGCTGATCTCTCTCTTTGCTCTGAAGTGTTCTTCTCGCGTCAGACTGAATTATTACCTTTCTTTACTGTGTTTAATAATTTCCCTTATGGGGGAGGATTTGGAGAACATTCTTGTGGTGCAGCAAGAGTATGCGGTTAAATTCCTAAACGTAGCCTCATCTCTCTGGCAATTATTTCCCCCCGTCCAGTGGATATTGGTGTATATTATATAGTGTGGAATTTAGTGCTAGTGATTTAACATCTTTGTCACAAATCCCTCTGACCACCGACCGCCCCCCCCAAAAGAACTCTCTCTCCAGAAAAGTACATTTACCCACAAAATTTTGCATATAATTTTCAGAATACTTAAAAAGAAAACCTCGCCTGGCAGGCTGGCTCAGTTGGTTGGGCATTGTCCCATACACCCAAAGGTCGCAGGTTCGATTCCCGGTCAGGGCATGTAAGGGAGGCGACTGATCGATGTTTCTCTCATCATAGATGTTTCTCTGGTCACTGGGTGATGACTTAAAAAAAAAAAAGAAAAAGGAAAGAAAACGTGAGACTAGCCTGCTTACTACTGTTTTATGAACTGAACATGTTGGTATTTCTACCATGTTCTAAGTGAAAGCTCACTTATTTTCTTGATCTGTGGTTTTTGGAATTTTTCCCCCTCTTCTATGTTTATCTCTTTTTTTAAACCATATAAAATTCTTGAAATAGCTCAAATTATTCTTAAGTACATTGAAGACCTCTTCTCCCACTCAAAAAGGTTGCCGCCCTCCGCCCTTGCTCCTTTTTTCCTACTTCTGCCTGTAGTACGGAGGCCTTCCCAGCAACCGCCTGTCCTTGTGCTGAGTTCAGTCAAACGATCCATCACAGGGGCTTGGAAACTCCATCCATCCGTTCAGCACGCATTTGCTAAGCCCAGTCTAGTATTTTAGTGTGCAGATCAAGTATAATCTCCTTTCTGTAACTGTATAAACAAGGAAACTAGGATATAACCAATGCAGAAGTATAAATGTTTACTAAGGTGCCTCGGTTCCACGGGGAGAGAATAGTTAAGGCTTCTGAGGGATTGAAGAGGCTCACTGAATAGAGGACACTACAGTCAGTTCACGTGGAAGGAAAAGAGAGGCCGTTTGCAGCCAGAGAAAAGGCATTTATGCAGAAGAAGCGTCAGAACACGAGAGATCCTGGCTTGTTTGCAAAACCGCAAGCAGATCTGGGTGAGTTAACACAGAGGGTGTGAGGCAGAGTGAGAAGAAGTGGACTTGGAACCGCGGACTGTGGAGGGCAGTGAGTGTCTTGCCGAAAACGCTGGACCCCTGGGCTGCTTTTAGCTGGCAGTGGAGAGACAAGCAAAGTGGGCAGCAGGGTAGCAGTATGGCCCAAGCGGTGTTTGGGAAGGCACATTCTGCTTACTGGGTGGATGGAACATTAGAGGGGAAAGAAACTGCAGAAAGGCGCTGGTCTGCTTGCTCAGCTGGTTAGAGCGTCATCCCAATATGCCAAGGGTGTGGGTTCAATTCCCGGTCAGGGCACATACCAGAAACAATCGAGCACTTCAATAAGTGGAACAACAAATGGATGTTCCTCTCTCTCTTTCTAAAATCAGTCAATAAATTTTTTTTTAAAAAAGAAACTGCAGAAAGTTATAAACTACACTCAGTGAAATTGCATCAAGGATCGTTGATTGCATTGTTGCGTCAGTTCCTCAGGATATTAAAATCAGATCCCATGCCTCTGATTTATCCAAGAGAGAGCAGGCATTTCTGGCATTTAACAATGGATGTGTCATTAATTGAGGATCTGGGACATGCATGTCCCCAGGCTAGGGCTTGGTGTTGGCACACAGAGGTTGAATTAAACCTGGAAAGGAACTGTATTGCTGAGAGCTCGGCTGAGCGTGTGCGCTGACAGGCAGCATTTCAGTAAGGAACCTATTGAAAACCCATCAGAGTTCATCAAAAATACCAACAACTTGCCCGGACCAGGTGGCTCAGTTGGTTGGAGCATCGTCCCGTAATCGAAAAGGTTGCAGGTTCCATCCCAGTTGGGGCACGTGCGGGAGGCAGCTGATAGATCTCTCTCCCCTCCCCCTTCTCTCTCTGCACCCCCTTCTTCTTGCTCTAAAATCAATAAACATACCCTTGGGTGAGGATTAAGGGAAAAAAAAAAAGATGGACTTTAAGGATGGGTGGAAATTTTCCAAGCAGTAAAAGACAGCACGAAACACCCCCGAGGGGAGGGGACAGAACACAGGCCATCTCAGTGCCATGGACAGGGAGGCCCCCGGGGCTGGCGGAGGAGCCGTGTTGGCGGCGCTGCCCGCACCCCGGAAGGGCCGGATGCTTTTCTCCAGCAGGAAGAGGGAGAACGCGGCCCCGGGGAGCCCTGGCTCTCCCTCCCCGCCTTTCCTCGGGAGAGGGGAGCCTCCTCATAGAGTAAGCGGGGGTGGAGCTCAGAAAACAAGAGCGGGATCAATGCCTTGAGGGAGGAAGAAAGGGAGCCTCGGGGAGGCAGCCCAGCCTGGAGGTGCAGGAGCTCGTGCATGGGTCTCGGGCGTGGCGGTGGCAGAGAGCAGGACCGGCGTGGAGACCACGGTGCGTGACCTCTGCTGTAGCTTTTAAGGAACATAGCATAGCTGTTTGTTTATCCACGTCCCGATGTTACTTAGACGACTAGAATTGCTGCGCATCTGGAAGGGCCTCCGGAAGGTCCCGGGTTGTTCCCGTTCGGGCTGCCGTTCAGGAATTCTCTGTGCTGGACCCCGCAGTCCTTACCACGCGTCTCTCTGCCTGATTGGCGCCAGCTTTGAGTCTTGTTCTTTGGGGTTTGGAGATAAAATGCACAATTATGATCATGGCCCCTTTCTGGCCTCTAAATGAGACCCTGGAGGACAGTCCAGCAGTGAGCCATGAAGGGCTCGTGAAATATGGCGGGCGGAGCTGCAGAGGGCAGCCCCGCTCCAAGCAGAGCAGGGGCCTGGGGTTCCCGAGAAGTCAGGGGTGGCCGCACCGGGAAAAGGTCTTGAGTCAGCATGAGGAAACCGCTTTCAAAAACCTTTGAGGAAATCCCAGCTGGTGTGGCTCAGTGGACTGAGTGCCAGCCTGCAAACCCAAGGGTTTGCTGGTTTGATTCCCAGTCGGGGCACATGCCTGGGTGGAGGGCCAGGTCCCCAGGAGGGGGCGCCCCAGAGGCAACCACACATTGATGTTTCTCTCCCTTCTCCTCTCTCTAAAAATAAATAAATAAAATCTTAAAAAAAAAAAAGAATAAAACCTTTGACGAAAGACTCTTGATTGTAGAGTTGGGGATAGATGCTATGACCCAGATTGTTTCTAAGTCCTCAGATCAAACGGCCGGGGGAACCTGCTTAGGCCAGTCTGGTGACATCACTTTGCTAGAGAACGGAAAGAACGTCAACAGACAAAGAACGTTGATAGCTCTTCAAGAGGCTTTTGTGAATGGTAAGAGCCACGGCTTTATATTTTGGAGGGAGTTCTGGAGACGGCCCTCTGGATGGATAGTTCTTATATCCAGAAAGAACAAAAGGGCATGCAGTTAACTCAGAAAAGAGGGGAATTCCTTACAGAACGCCCTGCCTTGTGCAGGTGGAGCCTATAATGGAGAAGACGAGGTGCCCTCTTTGTGGCGTGAGCGTGGAGACGTGGTCCGTGACTCCCAGACTGTGGACTCTTGTTCATTCCTCTCATCTATTCACCGTGACGCCCTTTGTGGTTTGCCTACTGTGTATTCAGTTTGCCTCTTATTTTATCGATCGGCAGCATCGTTTCTTCACACACCCTGGAGGGAACGACTGGCTGCTTACACTCTTCGTTGTCTCCTGTGAAGCAACACAGGCTCGCGTCACCGTTGTGTGGCTGGAGGAACCAACCGACCCACAAAATACACAGGAACGATCTCTGTGACACATGGATATACAAATCCGGAGAGCAGTCTGAAGGGGCCAAGGATTTGATAGTAAGGAATATTTCACAGGCCTCTCAGAAATGAAGGAAATTTATTTTTAAACAGTGACTATTTTAAAGACACCCTGGAGGTGCAGATTTTTGCAACGCTTGTTTCCTTGCCCCTCCAGATCTGAACTTTTTTTCCACAACGGTTGCCTTCCAAGAACAATCTCCGCATTGTGGAAACAGAACGTATTGAATATTTCAGCGCTGTATGTCTTGGGGGAAATAGCCTGTCTTTGAGGTTAGATAAATAAGTTTAAACTATTTCTGACATCTTATAGCTGTTTCAACAGAGCAAACATTTGCAATTTTGAAAGACCGCAGAGAGCAGCGGTCTGGAGGGTCCCTTCCGAATTTCCCCTGGGCCCTTCGATGCTTTGGGGATGTTCACACATGGAACAGTGCTTCTGGATCCTTCTTTCCACAGCCCTGAAGACCTCTGCCTCTCTGTTTTCATCTGAAGACGCACCAGGTTTTGTTTTGTGTCTGCCATTTCTTGTACAGGAGGACTGTGGCTCTGCGTCTAAACTCAGCAGCCGAGCCTTGCCGTTGTCAGGGTCAGGCTGAGGGGGATTGTCTCTGACCCCTGCCAGTTCCCGAGTTTGGAAACTGCAGAGCCTTCGGGGACCCTCTTGTGCCCGTTCTCGGTGGCTGACATGACCCGGGCCCTCTGTCTCTGGCTCCGTCTCTCTTTCACCCTCCAGCAACCAAGATGAAAAACTCAGTTTCTACTCATAGCAAGACATTCATTATTACCAAGCATTTGGCCATTTTTTAAATAAATTTAAAAAAATTACCTATTGCTATATATAGAGAGAGGAAAGGATTGATTTACAGAGAGAGAGAGAGAGAGAGAGAGAGAGAGAGAGATCAATTTGTTGTTCCACTTACTGATTCGTTCATTGGGGTTGATTCTTGTATGTGCCCTGACTGGGGATCGAACCTGCAATCTGGGCATGTTGAGATGATGCTCTAACGAACTGAGCTACCCGGCCAGGGCAATGGCAAATTTTTAAAGCAAGACCACATAGATTCAGGGGTTGTGGCAAAGGCATCCACTGTGTCATCTTTTATTGCTTCGCCTGCTCCTGGCTCTCCTTACCCTCATCCTTCCTCCCCTTCCTTTTCTCCCCTTTTGGGGGAAGAAGTTCTTTCAATTCCTCGTGCTCCCCTCCGCGTCCAGAGATGTCACTTCCAGTCTCTGCACCTCCCAGCGTCGACCCAGACAAACTTACTTTGTTGTTCCCTGAAAGGACGCTCTTCTGCAAAAGCATTAGTGAACAAGCTCTGTTTCCCTGGACAGTTTGTGCTGCTCTGGAAGGAGGACTGTTTGACTGCAGATGCGCAGAGAACGATGTAAACATCCATATTAGATATTTTTGTTTTCCAAAGACTCCTTTGTGACAGCCCAACACTGGGGACTCCTGTCTCCCCGGTCACCTGGCTTCACCAGCTCCTCTTTCCTGACCCCTCTTCCGATGTCCCCACTCAACCTCAAATTTCTTTTCCTTCCCCATACACAGCAATGCCACCTGCTTTGGCTCCGACTCCTTGAATTGTACACGTAGACCAATCAGGGGCTCAGTGGACCAGAGCCCTTTGCTGGAACAGGACCCCCACCTGCCATAGAGAAGCCATAGAAACAGAAATAGCTGTTTTTCCTATGATAGGGGGAGATTAAGCCCATTGGCTAGCTGCGGTCAGCGTCCTCAGTGGTTTTCGCCCTACGGTCTGTGCACCTGTTCTTAAAGGAACCTGCCTGTGTCATATTTGTTCTTCTTCCAAGGTGTCCCTCGGCCCACGGTAAGGTGGGTGAAGAGAGGGGGACCTCTGAGTGACAATGTCTCTGGGCTCATCAATGGATCCCTGTGGCTGCAGAACATTTCCCTTGAAAACAAAGGAACCTACGTCTGCAGGGCCACCAACGCTCTCGGAAAGGCGACGGCAACATCTGTCCTGCACCTCTTGGGTAAGCGTCCAGTTGGGCTTGTTCTTAAGCGCCTCCTGGCCGGGGTAGGACCCAGCATGTTGGCTCTGGAGTTGAGTAAACACAATGGACGTGAAATGGTCTTAACTGTTAACTAAGTGCTTTTCTCTTACAAAGTTGTAACTTTCTGCCTAAGCACCTGCTCTGGGATGCAAACTTTCCCGCCCAGGTTCAAGTCCCTTCCTCTTCTGCGTCTGCATCTGCCGCACTCCTGACCTCAGCAAGGGTCTAACAGAACATGCCTGCCCCCTGCTGGCTGGGAGGTCCCAGCTTTATTCCTTGCTTCCCTCTGCCCTCATCGGTCCCTTGCCCCTCTGTCCTCTGTGATTCAGCTGGGTCTTTTTATACTGAAACGTTTTTGATAGAAAATTCACTCCTTCGGAAACCCACAGAGCTCATATCCCAACTGGGCGTTGTTATTTGTCATAACGTAGGTGTTAATTTTCCAGTTTCAAAATTCTTGCCCATATTATTAGAGGGGAAGATTGGCTAAGAACTCTGGAATCAATTCTTTCATATTTTTTTTTCTTCTCACAAATTTTATTTTCCATCCATGCTAACTTAGTTATATATCAGTGCTGAGCAAGGAGACCCTAACCTTAGTACCTCAGGCTTGCGAAGCTCTTCGGGAGGCCAAGCGAGAGAGGCAGTGGTAAGGAAACCAGCAATTCTAGAATCACAGGCAGGCAGTCCTGAGGGTCTCAGCGCCTTATAGCACCAAAGTGGGTGAGTGCAGGACACACAGACACCACTTTTGGACCCCATGCTCGACCACACCAACCGTACTGAACAATAGTGGCTACATCATTTCAACCTTTGAACTCTTGAGCAAGTGTCTCTCATTTGCAGAATATATCCCATATAATACAAGTCTGCAGACTGAGATCTAGAAGCATAGTTTCCAGGCTCCCATCTCCTGGAATACAGGGAGAACAGTACTGAGCTGTCAATCAACAACCCACCTTCTGTTATTTATGACATCATTATCTAGGGGTATGTATATAACGTACAGGGTCTGGCACCAAAAAAATAAAAAATAAATGCCCCGTTTTAATTACAAAATCTCTTACTACAAAATCATAAGCATGTAACTCTGTGACATAACACTATCACACTCAAGCGACACCATAGGACATTTTAGGTGAAATGTTCAAATGAAAACTATAGATTATTACACCCATCTTATTACCCTACCAACCACACTCAAGCAGGCCGTATTGCTGCTGGACCCTGCATTTCTTCTTCTCTTTTAGCCATAATACTACCATTATTACATGCAGTCCTATCCGTTTATTCCACATTTGTCTTAGTCCGTTCCGGCTGCTGTTACAAAATACTGTAGACTGAGTGGCTTATAAACAACAGACACCATTTCCCATGGTTCTGGAGGCTGAAAGTCCAAGATCAAGGTGCCAACAGACCCGTGTCCGGTGAGAGTTGGCTTCCTGGTTCAGAGTCTGCATCTTTTCGCTGAGTCCTCAGGGGACGGAAGGAGTGAGGGAGCTCCCTGGGGCCTCATCCTATTTCTGAGGTCCCCAGAGTCATAGCCCAGTCACCTCCCAACAGCCCCTCCTCCGAAGACCAGCACAGAAGGGGTAAAAAAAAAAAATCATCAGATTCACAAGATGAACACAAAGATTAAATGAAACAGTGAGGTTGAAGTGCGTAATTTAGTACCTATCACCGGGAAGGTTCTCAATAAAGTTGGATAGTTATAAAGATTGTTTTAAGTAAATAATAACACTAGGCCCCACTAAAGATACCATCCCGTCCTGCTTTGCAAATGATGCCACATGCAACTTACGGCAGAAATGCAAACATCAGGAGGAAGAACTGGAGGACCCGTTAAGTCACTTGGCAGTGTGAGGGAGCCGGCGGACACAGCTGGTAGCTATCAGTTGCTTGTGATTATTACAGGAAAATCTGGCACGTTCTGAGATCACACACAGATCTGTCCTCATCGCATCTTTTTACCCCGTGTCAAAGGGGCGGGAAAGCTGTTTGCAGCGGGGCGAAGAGGGACAAAACAGTAGCCAACGGCCGGGGGCGGAGGGGGGGCCGTGGCGTGGGATCGGCTTCCGCTGCCCTGAAGGACAGTCCCGTTTTTACCTTTCCCGATGTCCTCAGGGAGAACCATCTGTGCCAGGCAGGACTAACTTGAAGTGTAGAGTAAGCATGAGTGGGAAAGGAAGAAGGGGTAGAAAGGCCTCTTTAACCTTCCTACTTAAGCCCTAGTCCTTGCTGAGTTGTCTTTCATTTCTCTACCTGATCCACTTCCTTTGAATCCTCACCTGAGGTGATGTTTATTGATTTTACAGAGAGAGGAAGGGAGAGACAGACAGACAGAAAGGGAGAGAGAAGAGAGCGAGAAACATCAATTAGTTGGTTGCCTCCCGTATGCACCCTGATCGGGGATCGAACCCACAACGTTTTGGTGCACGGACAATGCTCCAACTAACAGGGTCGCCTGGCCGGGCCACCTGATCCACTTTTGAGAAGCTGAACCCTGTTCGGGGAGAGGCCACCCTCTCCTGTCCCCCTGGCTCTGCTGGAGGAAGCTGAGGAGGTTCGCGCGCAACCTCCTCCCTCTCCCTGGGGTTTTTCTGGCGGGTCCAGCTGGCCGACTACAGCCCCGGCCCAGGCTCTGGTCCAAGGGCCCCTCCGGGCCGCCACTCCCACCAGCTGCTACACTGCGTTCCTCGAGGGGAAATAAGAGTTGAAGGACCCCCTTGTGCGCCATGATGGCCTCCAAGAAACAGAGGCCGCTCGGCAGAGAACAGCCCGCGGAGGCCCTTGGCCGTGTCCTGTCCAGCCCAGTGTCCTTTCTCACTTGCGGCCGTCATGACATTTCCTTTCCTTCCTGCAGAGCCTTTTTGGAAGCTTGGGAACTGGACACCATGTTCTGCCACCTGCGGCCGCGTGGGAGGCCGAGTTCAGCGACCCCAGTGTGTGATGGCCAGTGGACAGGAAGTGAGCGCGGCCCTCTGCAGCCACCTCCAGAAGCCCCGCGCCGGGTTTCAGCCCTGCCACACCCGGGACTGCCCCGCGAGGTACGTGTTCTGTTTCCTGTTCTGTTCCTGACAGTCATCGGGAGCCTGAGCTCGCGGGTGTACTAGGCGAGCCCGCGGCAGGCCCGGGGCCCCGGAGAGGCTAGTTACAAGTATAGTTCCCCAGACTCCAGTCCTGGAGCTAAAACCATGGACACCCTTTCTATGTAACAGGTGATACAAATCAGTCATTTTAAAAAATGTACGAAATCAAACTCAGGCTCCACCCACCCTGCACCCGATCCCCATCCGGTGCCTTCCAGACGCCCTTTGTTCTCTCGCGTCCGTCCGCCCTCGTCCGATTCCACGGCCACCCTGAGGTCCGAGCCACTGTCCTTCTGGGAGCCTCCTGATTCTCGTCTCCCCCCCTAGCGCGCTTTTTCCACTCTGTAAGCAGAATTGTCTTTGAAAGCCCGATCTTGTCATGAGTGTCTAAGAGTGGTGCATGCCACGTGATGGGCGCTTGGTAAATATTTGCTGCCTGATGGAAGAAATGCGGGAAAGAATCAAGATCCCTCCGGCTTGGGCCTCAGGCTGTCGTTCTGTCTCATGGTGTCTGTCTTCCAGCCTGGTTATGTGATCTCCACTTGCACTGGGGTTTGGTGGTGTTTTGGTTTTGGTTTTGTTTTTTTTTACCCCTTACATGTGCCATTCTCCCCCCTGACTCAGAGCCTTTGCACATTCCGTTCCCTCTACCTAGAACACTGTTCCTTGTCTTTTCCCTTAGTTATTTCGATGCATCTAGTTTCTGGGAAATCTTCTCTGACTTTTACCCTCCAGCCTAAACCAGGACTCTGTGCTCTGTTTTTGTTTTTTTTTTTTTATTTCCTTGTCATTCTTCAAAGCAGCTACTGTAGCCTGTCTGTCTTGGTCTCCCACTGGACTGTCATTTCTGTGACAGTAAATTCACGGCTCCAGCCCCTCTTCCTAGCACGTAGCACAACGCTGGCCCCAGCATACACTCTAAAAACACGCGTGGAGTGAATGAACGAAAGAATGAACGATTACATAGCATAGTCCCTAGCGGATAACTGACCAAATATTTGGCACCAAAATCTACAGTAAAAACAAAATAATAATAACAACAGTAATAGTCGCATTTATGGAGCTTGAATCTACCAGGCCGATTCTGTCACCCCGGTTTTGTGGAGGAGGAATTGGAGGCATGCTTAATGCTGTGCCACTCGTGCTTGGTCATATCCAGAAGACATGACGGAGGTCATCGAACCCTGGGTCCCTCTGCATGGGGGTGGGGGTCTTCACAAGCCCGTGAGCCCCGTCTCAGAACACGGGTTTTTATAGCTGTAAAATAAAATATACTTCATTCCAGAGAAAACCAACGATACAGTTCTGAACTATTAAAAGAATGTGTGTTACCGTAATGGATTTGCTTCTCTGTGAACACCCCGAAGACAGAGATCTAGTTGCACAGTAATTCTGACATGGTGGAGAATATAAATGATATTTGGAGACACCTGCCTCAGTTGTAATGTCCTGTGGATATTTTTATGGGTGACAAAGTCAGAGGTATTGCTAACACCTCTGTGTTTTGAGGCTTTCATTTTTATAACTGAGAGAAATATACCACTGCCGTTAGAGCTGCGTGACAAAAATGTCATTCTTTCCCCATCCATGTCCGTTGTCCCTTGGAGAAGCTCAGGTGAGTGGCCTTGGATTAGGGTCTCCCGCCTAATGACCCTGAGACCCTGGGGACCGCTCGTACGTCTTCCAGGACAGGGTGCCCAGGGCCTCACGGGCGCCCCTTCTGAGTTCAGTCTCCTACAACCATCCAAGTGTGACCTTGGGGTGAGACAGAGCCAGCGCCCCCTCCCAGCTCCGCTGGCTTCTTAGTTCTCTGACCCCAGCCAAGCTGTGTCACCCCGTGGGCACAGGTTTCCTCCCTACGAGAATGGGGAGAACATGACGATTACGTAAGACCACAGAGCGAACAGCACCTAGTTGCTTTAAAAATAGTGTTTTCTCCCTTTTGGTTTCAAAGAGTCAAAAGCTGCCTTTTCGACATTTGCACCAGACTCTGCCCCCGCTTCCCTCCCTGGGGCCGCACAGGCCTCGCGCACTTGCCGGCGGCGCTACCCCAGCCCTCGCCGGTCGTCCCTCCCTGTGACTCGGCTGCTGCCCTGCGTAAGAGGAGCCTGAGAACGCGGCCAGGCGGCACCGGTGCTGCAGCCCCGCCCCGCCGAGGCCGGACGGCCGCCCCCGAGACAGGACACCGGCCTGACGTGCCAGCCCTCACTAAACTCCTGTCGTTTTTGTCCCCAGGTGGTTCACGAGCCCGTGGTCCGAGTGCTCTGTGTCCTGCGGGAGAGGAGTCCGCGTCCGGCGCGTGACGTGCAAACGCACAAAAGCCAGCGGCTCCGCGCGGGTGCTGCCGGCCGTCGCGTGTGACCCCCACGGCAGGCCTCTGGGGAGGAGACCGTGTTCCAGCCACCCCTGCGTCGTTGAACCGGGGGGCCAGGTACAGCTCGCGGGGCTCGGGTTTCGACAGCACGGCCGCCACCATCCCCTTGTTTCTAACATTTTCAAAGTTTTTATTTTTCCCTGACATGCGACCTTCAGCGCTATTTTGTGTTAGTTTCACGTGTACAGCGTAGCAGTTAAACAATCACGTACTTTACAGAGTGATCCCCCATATTTCCAATACCCGCATGGCCCCCCATGTGCTTATTACATATTATTGATGGTATTGCCTATGCTGTAATTTGCATCTCTGTGACTATTCTGTAACTACCAATTGTACTTCTCAATCCCTCACTTTTTTTTTTCACCCACTATGCCCAGCAACCATTGGTCTCCTCTCTGTTTCTACCAACCTGTTTCTATTCTGTTTGTTTGTTTATTTTGTTCTTGAGATCCCACATGTAGGCGAAATCATCTAATACATTTTTTTTCATGGGGTGGGGGGAATCAGATCAGTCTCTAAAATGACTGTCGGTGTCTGATGTCAAGGGTTACATTTGGAAATCAGTGTCTCCGGTGTTTAATACAAAGGTACACTGAGGCCGGGGCCTCTGACCAGAGAAGCTGCGAGGTAGCCTGGTCAGGGGCAGCAGATCAGTGCAGGCTTTGCGAAAAGCAGCAAAGGGCTCTAGCGACGTGGGCGCAAAAGCGCAGAACCTATACCCCCAATGCCGCCTTAACATATGTTATCAGGAACATATCTGAAAAAAAATTTTACAGCACCATATAGGACCCTATATTAGTCTTCGAGGATTGCCACAGCAAAATACCAGAGACCAGGCACTGTCAACAACAGAAATTTATTTTCCTGCAGTTCTGGAGGCTGCAAGTCCAAGACCAAGGTGCTGTCGGGCTTTTGGGAGGCCTCTCTCTCTCTCTCTGGCCTGTAGAGGGCACACGTGAGCTCACGAGGGTGTGTCCCTGCGCTGTGCTTCTCTTCCAGTGTCCTGGACGCTGCCTGGGCCGCGCCGCGAAGATACAGCAGCATCTTGACGTCTGTCAGCACAACAGCTCGGACTCCAGCTGTGACGAAGGAAGGAGGTACCGCCCCGCCCCAGGGCAGCGCGTACCCCCACCCCCTCAGTCAGTGACTGGGACAGCCTGTCTGCCACCTCTCCTAGTTGCCAGCTCGTAGTAAATCACGGCTTCCCACAGCCCTCTTCAAGAGCACACTCTGTAGTGAAATAGGAATGTGTGTGTACTAATGATAGTTACCCATTATTTGGATGTTGAACGTGTAGAGAGAGACACCCTAAAGAGAAAAAAAAAGTAGCTTTGAGATTGGACAGATATGTTCTTGCTCGGTGTACAAAGTTGGTCAAGCCTAGTAATACTTCGTTTAGGTCGACAGATTCGGTCCTCTGGTGTTTTCAGTGAACTACGTGATTCCCCTGTTTAGAAACTGGTTTGTTCGATCAGGAGACAGGCACGGTGGTTGAGCAGAGAATAAAATCCCCTACCTTGTTGAGGCGCTTACGCCAGATAGGAGTTTGCTTCTTCTCTAGTGTAAAAGTCTGACCTGGTCGATGATGTGGTATAAAGAGCTGAGCTCCATGAAGTCACCCCAAGACCCAGGCTCCTTCTGTCCGGTGTCCCTGTCGTCCCAGAGGCGTGTGCCCCAGCCAGCGGACCATAAGGAGAGCGCCTCAAGGGCACGCTAGGGAGCCAAGTTAGACTTCTTTCTCTGATCCTGGGACCTTCGACTGCCCACTCCTATCCTGCAAAACCGGGAGTCACAGGCACTTATGCGTGGGAAGTTCCGATGAGTTAAGTGAAGCAGCCCAGATCCTAGGAGACACTCAGCACGTCGCTCACTGCTCCTCCCTCACCTCCCCCCGAGTCTTGCTGCAGAACAGGGGAGGACTGTGACGTGGGGCTCAGTGTCCATGTTGAGCCACCAAGGAGCTTTGGCAATGCGGTGTCGGCTGCGTGTCCTATTCCCCACGACGCAGTTCAAGCCAGAGCCTTTCCCCTCAGACGGAAAATGTTTGGAGCAGCTGCCCCTCCTCCTCTGCAGACAGGCTCATTTCCTATCTTGCTGAGGAGATAGAGACCACACACAGATTCATATGTGCCATCCAGATGTTTCCTGTTGCCTCTCGAGGATGTATTTACGATGCAAACCCAGACGTGGGTGGAGCTCACTTTGTAACATATCAGACATGTGTTTCGGGAACTTGCTTTTTCTACTTATCCATACATTATAGACATTTTCCCCATCTCAGTACATAAGATTCAGTTTATTCTTTTTCATTGCACTTAATGTCACCTCATTCCATGGCTATGGCCATTTGATCAGTTGAGATTTTTTTTTTTGCTGTTACAAACAAACGCTTCAGTAAACATCTGGAACATATATCTTTATGCACAGAGGGTATTCTTATAAGATAGATTTTAAGTATGAAAATTGATTGCCAAGCATGTTCATTTTGATACTAGATGACGATCAAAATGTCTATACCAGCAGGATATAAGAGCCACCACCTTTGCCATCAGTGTAATATGGGCTTTTCAGTCTTTTAAACATTTTTCTTAATCCTCACTGGAGGGTATGTTTAGTGACTTTAGAGAGAGAGTAAGGGAGGGGGAGAGAGAGAGAGAGGAAAAAAAACATTGATGTAAGAGAGAAACATTGATTGGTAGCCTCGCATACACACGCAAAGCAGGAATCAAACCCACACCCTAGGTGTGCGCCCGACCGGGGATCGAACCCACAGCCTTTCGGTGCACCTGACGACGTTCCAGCCGGCTGAGCCACCTGGCCAGGGCAGACCTTGCATTTCTTTTACTCAATGACCAGCCTCTTGGGCTTCAGCTTCTGGTTCATCTTGGGCTCCCTGTGCTGCTCTTGCCTTTTATGTTCAGGAAGCTCAACAGCTCCTTCTGCCTTCCCTCTGGCCGTGCCTTCTATCCAGCCCGAAGAAATATCTGTGTAGGTGAAGGCTCGCGGGGCTAGAAAGAATAAAAGTCAGCCCAGAATGATTTATGCAGGGAGGGCGGGGGATTTCTTGTGAGGATGGGACCACCTGACATTTGTGCACAACAATTTGGTATCCTTTTAAACATATAGTTTGAGTGTTCTTGGAATATGTGTTAGAACCTTTTGAGGAGAGAAGCTGGTCTCTGTGTAAGGGGACTGCTGAGGAGCACTCGGCCTCTGCCGTGCTGTCCAAAGAAACGCAAATGTTGGCCCCTGAGATTCCTACTCACTGGGGAAAACAAAGGCCAGGCAGTTAGCAGGCCGCTGCGATGCTACCCGCTTACAAATCCTGTGACCAGTTTGACGGTATTAGAGAAACTCTGGGATGGCGTCTCCCCCTGCTGGCTGATCTAGGTATTGCTTCCCTGAGAGCATTTCAGATGATCACAATTTTATCTTACTACATTTCCAGTGTAGTTTCAACACTCCTTATGAAATGTGTGTCCTGACAAAGGGTCTTTTATCGATAGAAACACGTCCCAGGAATCCAAGGGGAGAATGCCGCCAGACCTCAGGAAGGACGGTAACCAAGGCAGGAGCAGGCATAGGGGGCTTTTCCTCCCCTCATTTTTGCGGCTGTTTCTGTTTCACTCTTTGTTACTTCTGAGTGCTGTTTCTTCTTTTTTCCCTGCCTCTCTGACCCATGTGGCAGAATATGGCCACCACCATGCCAGACACCAGCAACTTACAAGTTCTTGGGAGAAAGGCAGTTACTGAACCGGTTCAAGTTAGCGTGCTTTTGTGGCCGTCTTTGTGGGGGGAACATTCTCATGTAATGCAAATAAATGATCCAGGAGCCTGGGCCGACAGAACAAGGGCACCTGCCCCAAAGTGGCCCCACTAAGGTGGCTCCAGGGTAAATACCTCTAAAAAAAATCAGAGAACATCCATTAACTTCCCATCCTGTGTTAAAGGGTAAGGAACCAGAGGTAGCTTCCTGTTCTCCAGTGGCCTCTGATAGGTCTGACCACGGGTCACGCTGTGGCCTGAATGTAAAGGGAAGAGCATTTCTCGTAGCAGACGAGATGGTGCGTGTGCAATTCGTACTCACACCAGAATATCCTTCATGTGCTTGTATAAACAAAACTTAAAGCGTGCAAACAGATTTGAAGTGTTTCGTGAGTTATTCTTCTCTTCCGAGGCCAAATGCATCTTCCGAGGTGCACGCCTTGACTCGGTGTTGGAAGCTCGCGGAAACACGCCGTCCGCGGCCTCCTTCACGGCCACGGTAGCCCTACCGCTCTGCCTAACGGCCAGCCACGAGCAACGCAGACCCGCCTCCTGACACATTGGGCCCTGATCATCAAACCTGTAACACACTGACAATGCGGAACCGCAAAAGGCTTGATGCTCAGCACGAGGTGACACCCACTTTTCCCGTTTCCTGTTTTCTTGTTATTTCCACCTCAGACCCACGCCTGGGAGGAACTGCTCGTCAGCGGCCTGTGGCGTGTGCTGGCACACCGGCCCCTGGAGGCCGTGCACAGCAGCCTGTGGCCGGGGCTTCCAGTCCCGGAGGGTGGACTGCGTCCACGCCAGGAGCTGCCGACCCGTGGCCGAGAGGCGCTGTCTGCCGAGGAAGAAACCGGCCTCCTGGCAGCACTGTGGGGGGCCTTCCTGTGACAGTATGTACCCCTCCCAGGTATCACAATTGCCCCCCAAACCTTGCTCAAAGCAGACCCTCGTGTTGCCTGCCTCATCAGTGTCGCGTCTGAGGGCTCAGCTGGGGTGCACGTAGCGTCTGGGGACATAGGAGAGGAGCTACTTTGGTGTGCGTGCGGCTCAGTGTTCTTCAGAGACACGGCAGTTGAATCACTAGGGTGCCGGGGCTCTGGTGACCGCCTTCTAATAAGCATGGGCAGCTGCTCGCCCCAGACTCCCCTGTGCCTGGTAGTCTCGTCCCTTCGACAGGGATCTGTGGATGGGGCTGAGCAGGTAGCAAATGTCCGGAAGTTATGTGGGAAATTGGATGGTATGTGTACTTCTGTTGGGGGAAGGTTCGTAGCTTTCATCAGTTTTACAGGAGGTCTGTGACCCTGCCAAAGCTAAGCGGTGCTGCTCTGGGCGCCGAGAGGGGCAGCCTGAGCCAGAAGGGCGGCAGGGTCCCTGGGACCAGGAAGTGGTCCCCCCACCGCCCCGCCTTGCTGAGCACTGAGTGCGGTGCGCCCCCCACCAGCACGAAGCAGCGGCCCTGACCAAGCGCTGTTTCCTCTCTGTGCTCAGCGATCTCAGTTTATGCTTTTTGTAACAGCCAACGATTTTTAGCGAGGTCTCTAATCAGCTTCGTGTTCAATGCATATGAGTTTGTTTTTGTTTCGTTTTCTTTCGTTTCCAGGAAACTGCACAGACACAACTTACTACTGTACATTTGTAAAGCATCTTAACTTGTGCTCGCTGGACCTGTACAGACAAAGGTGCTGCCGGTCGTGCCACGCAGGACAAACCTCTGGAGGGGGCGGGACGCTGCTGTGAAGATAGAGCAGAGACGTAGGAGCGCCTCCCGCCATGGAGCTGGTTCGCAAATGTGCATTTCTTCAAAAACTCTAGGCCCTGCCGTCCCACCCAGGTCCAGGCACAGTCACCGCGGTTAAAATTTGGTACTGTCATTTTCCCATGGCCGGTCTTTCATTTCAATTCTGTTCAGTGATGTATTCCAGGACTAGGCAAAACGCCCTAGCAGGCCCACCGTGGCACATGCGACAGCATCGTGTCCGTCTTGGCAGGCGGTCACCAAAGGCCACGTGTGCGACGTCACATGCTGCTGCTTCCCGTGAGGTGTAGACTAGTGTCACGCAGGGCGTCCTGGAGATGGGGGAACACCGCGACCGATGGCTTCCTCCTCTCTCGACTCTCGACTCTTGACTCTTAGGGTTTCTGCGGGTTTATAAGGCATTTACATTTTAGAAGCTCTGGCCGGTAGTTAGTTATTCACACGTTGGCACTAATGGGATTTTTATGGATCCTTAAGCTTAGTCTGAGAAAGAGACGGTCACTGTGGACAGGCTTGTAACACTCACTGGTCCAAGGATCATATGGGGAGGTCACCTCGTCCTTGCTCTTAAAGAACCTGCGGGCGAAAAGGGACGCTGTTGCTGCCGCTTGCACAACTCTGCACGCCCGCCGGCGGCCCAGCAAGACATCTTGGAAATCACAGCAGAGGGAAAGTTAACTTCTACTGATTTTGAAGTATATTCGATGGTGTAAGAGCTGTGAATGAAACTTTTTCTGAGCGCTATTGTCTTGCACACAAACAGAAATTCAAAGCCGTATCAGACCTAATTTATCATCAAGTGGTATTCCTAAGGATTTTTATTTTGGAGAAATGATAAGAAAGTAATCTCAATATGAAACACGGTAGTTGAAAAAAAATTGTTTATGGTACATCATTGTTCTAATTGGAAGTCATTTTTCATCACATCCAAAGTGAATTAGGGTGAGGCCGGAAGGTACTCTTAGGAGGGGGGTCGAGGTAGGCTTTGGCAGCTACGTCTAGGGCTCGTTTTTGATTCAGGATGGGTTCGGTGAGAGGGGAAGTTAAGCGAGGGGTGAGGCTAGAGTTGGCGTAGGGACTTAGGGTTGGGGCCAGGTCAGCTCCGAGTCGGCTGGGGCCAGCGGGGCCGGCGCTGGTGCGGGTGATAATGTCAGGGTTTGCGGTCCGTGCCGTGGCTGATGAGTGGGGTCTGGCAGTACATCGCATGTTCTAAAGGTGGTTTTGTGGTGGGCCCCTCCCCCGTGTGCTCCACCAGTGATGGCGCCCGATGTCCTACACACCGAAGGCAGTGTCCCGGCTTCGTCATTCACTGTCCCAGCGGCCTGCCCCGTGCTGCCTACGGCCTGCTGGCAGCAAAGGTCCGTGAAGCAGGTTGCGCAGGACCTCATCCCCGGTCTCCCGGAAGTGAATGCTGCGCGGGGCTTGTCTGCGGACATGCTCGCTGGGTCTCTCTACCGTGTCCCGAGGGCCGGTCTCCGGTCGCACGTCAGCCGCGCTGACACTGTGATGAGCACTACTGTAAGTGGAGGGGTGGCGGCTGGGAACGGACGGGAACGTGCATTGGACACGCCAGCCCGCAAGTCACTGAGCATCCATCAACACTTGACTGCTGAAGGTTTTTAAATTAAAAGAGAGATCATCTGTAAAATACTCTTTGTATATACTTCCATGACTTAAAGGTGCAATATTTTATTTTGTACAGTATGTAATAAAGACATGGGACATATATTTTTCTTATTAACAAAATTTCTTATTATATTGATTCACCTTTGTATTTAAAGTCACTATTTTTCATTGGCTATTGGACTTTGTCTCATCGTTCAAAGGACATTCCTGTGTACTGTATTTTACTACTGTTTCTGCAACAAGAAGAGTAATGTTTCTCTTTCATGATCCTTAAGTAATTCAGAAATAAATTTACTTTGATTATTCAGTGGCATCCTTATAAATGCAGGTGGCTTATTTGTGTTCTGTTTTTTGGTAGCCGTGGGTCCTGTCACCTTGGCTGCCTCGTTGTGACTCCAGGGCCAGCCTTGATGGGTGCACTGCTCCAGGCGGTCCTTTGTCCTCTGGAGTGCGGGTAACAAGATTCAGGGCAGATCACCCCGAGATCCCTCTAACTGCCCGAACACCGTATCTGTGTTCTGTGAGTCAGAGCGGGAAGAGAGTCAAGGGGAGGCGGGCGGGAAGGGAGTTCTGGATGGACAGCCCGAGCCGGGGCTGGAAGCGGCTGGCCGTCCGGAGAGCAGCGGAGCTCACCCCCTCGTCTTTTCTCCGCTGTGAGGCAGGCGCGTAGGGACTGATGCGAGAAGTCTGCGCCTGGAGACATTTCCCACCTTCCAGTCCTTGGTGTCTTGCTTCAGGATTAGCAGTGAGTCAAACAGACAACAGTCATGGTCTTGGAACTGAGGTTCCCACTCATTTGCCAAAGGCCTTGGAGTGGCCAAGATCACTTATGGAAAACAAAAATCAGTCGTTTTACAGTAACTTCGGGACCATGTTAACCTCATGTGGCTGAGCCACACGGGAGATAAGCAGTTTTACGCCTCAAATGTCTCCAACGTAAGCGTTCATCCTTCTTTTTCTCCTCCTCACCCTCCTCTCTCTCCCCCTCCTCCTCCTCCTCCTCCTCTTTCTCCTCTTCCTTCTTCCACCTCCCGCCCCCCCTTCCCCACCTAAGGGCCACACACGTTCTACGGAGTGGAGAGCATTATCAGGAGAGAAAGGAACACTTACCAACTTCATTTCCAATTCAGAGAAATTTCCCTAATCACTAATGGAGTATCTTTCCACGTGCTGACTTCACTTGCCATCTTTTATCAGTTGAACTGTGTCCCCTCCCTGCCAAACTTTGGAAATAGGATGTTTGCTGGTGATTAGGATGTGATGATTAGGGTGGATGATGTTCGTGAAAGTCCTATGTCTGTGAACACCAATAACTGATGTTTTTGTAACTCTAGGCACAGATGTGTGCATACAGGGAGAACACCCCGTGAAGCTAAAGGCCGAGACCTGCAAGCCAGGGCGCGCCAAGGACAGCGGCAAAACCGCAGACGCCGGGAGAGAGCGACAGAGCAGACCCTCTCACGGCCTCAGAGGGAGCCCGTGCTGCCGGCGCCTGGGTCTCAGGCTTTTTGCCTCCAGAACTGTGAGACAGGACGTTTCTGTTTCTTTACGCCACCCAGCTCACGGTACTTTGTTACAGCAGCCTTAGCAGCAATACCTACGTCTGGATATATTCTTTGGCAAAGTATCTGTGTACCTCTTTTAGCCATTTTTTCCTAGTGCTGAGTTTTAAAAGTTCTTGATCTATTCTGGATATAGGTCCTTTGAAGTGCGCGTCATAGGTCAAGAAACAGGGCTCAGAGAGGGAAGGTACTTCACACAAGGTCGTGCCCTGGTCTGTGGAAGAAGGCAGAGTTCCCATTGTGCAGACTGGCACCTTTAATGCTTGCTGGCTGTAAGCCCCTCCTGGCCGCAGGGCCTCCTTATATTCTGCTGTGGCTACAGAGGACCTCTCAGTGGGACCGTGGGGAGTGATAACGAGACAGCCCTGGCCGCCCCAGGGCCCAGCAGCCCAGCTGCGGTGCTCACGAGCAGGTTGGGAGGGGCGGGAGGCCTGCGCGAGAGTCCCGAGTCTGTGGCGTGGGGTGGAAATGGGCATGTCTGTGTAAAACATCACTGAGTACAGAGGTAGGAAACCGAAGTCTTGTCCTGGCTGGGTAGCGCAGTTGGTTAGGGCATCATCTTGATATACCAAGGTTGTGGGTTCAATTCCTGGTCAGTGCACTTACAACAATCAGCCGATGAATGCCTCAGTCAGTGAAACAGCCAACTGGTGGCTATATCTCGCTCTCAAATCAATCAATAATTTTTTTTAAAAGGTAAGAATATCAAATTATGTACAGGTTAACCTAGGTAAGACTTTATTAAAAGCTCTATTTTCCAGAGGAAGATTGGGTACAGAAATGACTTCATGAAAATTTATTCCTTTATTGATGCTTTATTCATGTTGCAGAGAAATATAAAATCTTACCTATCATGATTTTAAGTACTAAGTACAAAAGTAAATTAAAATAAACTACTTTCAAACAATTAAAAATATTTTAACCAAATGGACTTATTCTCAATTAGGTATAGAGTGTGAAACAAATATAAAGCAACAAATGATTAAACTTTAGTATAAATCCTATTCTCCTATAATGTAATAATTTATTAAAAACACACACACACAGTAACAGTTTAATTCAGTAGGAGGTTTTCAGCATTTACAGATGCAGTGTGTGCCTCCACTTCACGAGGACAGGAAGGGCATAGGTTCGGCCCCGCGCTGAGCCCGGTCCCTCTGAACTGCGGCTCTGGGCGTGGCAGTCGGGCACCTAAGGACCTGAGGGGACCCTGAAGGTTTCTTCAGAGCTGTCAGTCATTCCTGAAGTGACTCCAGCAGGTGCTCTCTCCTGCCTGGAAACACTGTTGTTCAAACCATGCCGCCCCGCCGTCCCCCCATCCAGGCTCTCCATTCTCTGTAACAGCCGCTCGGGTGGCTGTGGAAACCGTGCCGCTCACGAGTCCGACGCCAGTGTGGGCGTTCCACAGTCCTCGCTCAGGGCAGGGGATGATGGCCGCCCTGACTCGGGAAAGGAGAAGGCAGGTACGAGAAGAGATGGAGCGGCCTAGTAGCCACCCCTGACGTTTGTTCAGCACTTTGACTTTCGGGCTTATGATGTATATACTATGATCTGGTGCACAAAGCAGTTGGGGGGAGGTAGTCAGGGCAGATACCCTGTTACAAATGCAGACACCGAGGCTCAAAGACATGCGTCACTGGCCCCAGGTGGCACAAATAGAATCGGATGTCATGAGAACTTGAACTGAGATCCTCTGATTTCCCGCTGGCGGGGCCTCTCCTTGTCACACCAAGGTGGCGCTTAACAGCCTGAACACAGCGAGCAGCAGCCACCAAAACTCGACCCTTGTACGCTGTGTAGATGCCTTGAAGCCTGAGGAGGTTGTCTTGGGAGAGTGACCCGTGTCTCCTTTTCAGTGGTGGGGTAGACAGCCCTCGTTTTAATGGATGACAGCTGGCTTGTAAGGCACCACACAGCTGCTGTGATTGTGAGCACAAATATGAGTGACGGTGGGTGGGAGACAGGCCGCTAAACAGTGTATTCGAGGTTGATTCCGATGGGAACGCATGCCATGCAGCTTTCAGAAACGCGTATCAAAGCACAGTCTTGGGTTACAGTATCAGCACTGAATGGATTTTGAGGTCCTGATTTCCTATGGTAAATGTTCCGACTTTCTTGATTAAAAATTTAAAGATGATTTGTGTTGGCGCTCTCCTAATTTTTTTTCTGCTGTAAACAATCGGTTTTGCCCTCGGAAAGCCAACATCACTGAGCGAGCCTCCTTGTACACGGGACTCGCCGGCTAGCAGGCCCCCGCCGCGGGCACCATCCTGCGGAAGAATTTGTGGCCTCGGGAATTTGTGTTTTCGTAGACGTAGCCCGGGGGAGACGGGAAGCTGGCAGGGCAGACCTCCGGTTTCTTCGGGGCATACTCAGTGGAGTACATGGTCACGTCATCGAATGGACCGGAACTCCGAAAGGACGTGTTTACGGGCTTACAGCTCTCTGTCGGAACGAGCTCGTGCGGCACGTAGTGAGATCTGAAAGTGCTTAAACCGTCGAATTTTCCAGACGGGTGGGGAATCTGCTGCTGCTTTTTAATGAGCCCTCGGCGACAACTTTCCCACGCGGGGAAATCGTCCTTCGTGGTGCTTCTTCCTTGGAAAGGACACTTGTTACTCCTCCTGTGGGATGCGGGCCTGATGGGGACAACACGCGCCGCCTGGTAGGGGACGTAGTCGAGCTGGCTGGTGCTCTGCAACTGCATGGCCCCTGTAGGGGGGACGTACTCGGGTACTTTCTTGACTCCGGGGGGTGGGATCTCCCAAGGCTGGAAACTTTCCCGGAATTCAGTGCTTCCCTCAAACGGGGCATTTCGGGTCACTCCGGCGTGGGCAGGCCTGCAGATTTTTGCACTTTCACCAACAAGCCCCTGGAAGGCACATCGGTGAGTTGTGAGGCCCTCAAAGGGTTGGTTGGGTGGCCTGTAAGCTTCTTTGGGCCGAGCAGACTTGGCTTCGAGCTGATAAGGCACATAATCGAGGCGATGGCTCGTGTCACCATGAAAAGGGGCCGTGGGCACTTGGACCACAGAGACGGGTTTAAAATTTTGCCTTGGCTGCACGTCCTGGGGAACGTAGTCATCCTGAAATGTAGTGGAATTTCCAAATTTCACAGTTGGGGGATAGTAAGTTTGTTCTGGTTTACTAAGTTCACTTCTCTGAATGTCCCAAGGTCTGTAATCGTCTTTGGGGGGGGAAGAAAAAAGAGAGAGAGAATTTTTAGATACTTAGGAAAAACCACGATCTTGTCAGTATCCTGACCTAATTCTTTCACTGCCAAATACCCGGCCCCTTTGGAAACCCAAACACTAGCCCAGCGCGGGGCTCCCCTGCTATCCTGCAGCCTTGTTCTTCGGGTCCCTCTCCTCTGCTCTGCCCATCCCCCCCCCGAACCCCCTTAGCACGTGCGGCTTTCCATTCGATCCATCTGATCGCACCGCCAGGAAAGGAACGCCAGAGTCTGTGTGTTGACAGTTTTTGAAAGCCCAAAGGATCGTGTTTTGGGTGGAGACAAGTTAGGAGATATGGTTGTGTACCCAGGAGCTGGTTGGGATTTTTGCTCTAACTCATAAAATGCTAGAGGAAACCTTATATAAAACCCAGCATTAGGTAGGAGCAAGGGCCGGCTGCGTGGCAAAGGCGAGGTGGGTGTTGCTGTGTGCTCTGGAGGGACCCCTCAGAGGAGAGAGAATTCCAGCGCCTTCGTGCAGCAGGAATCATCGGGCCCCCTTGGGCAGACGTAGGGTGACTCGTCCTATCCCCCAAAGATCACTGGTCTCCGTGTACCTCCTCAGGAAACGGACTTCAAGGCGCCCTCCAAAGACACGGCCAACCAGAGGCCAGGGACCTGCACTGTGTACGTTTGGAAGTGTTAGAAGTTGTGTGTACAACTCGGAAGTGACATGTAAGAGCTTGCTGTGAGATTTAGTGTTAAACATCTTAATTCTACTCCTGCCTGCTGACCTGGGTCCTGGGTGGGAAACAAGTGCTCACACTTCAGCTGAGGGTCATTTGGGATTTCTATTTTTAGATGAGAAAGGCGGAAAGCTGAGAACTACTATCGAATTGACTTCACCCCAAAATTTGTACTTCTAAATAGCAAACATTGATTTATAAAGAAGAGAAGTTATACAAGATAAAGCATTAGAGTCTCAAGCCCATTGCCTTGTTTACGTGAAAGGCCAAAATGCAAATGTTTATTATTATACCTCATCTGAAGAGAAAAATTCCTCATCTATAAGATATTTCTGCTGAAATGGCCAAGTTTGGGACCGAACGGTTACTCCCACCTCAAGCTACTGAGGTTTGGGTGAGAGCAGATGCCTGAGCCAAGGACAGGCAATCGCTGGCCTACAGACACCTGTGAGACAGCCTGGCAGGGGAAGGTGAGTTGGGTCAGCACATTCTCATTTTTGTGAACCTCGATTTGGTGAGAGAGAGGCAACAGGTCTTTGAATCCTTAGCTAATGTCCCTCTTAATCCCCGGTAATATTACTATTTCCGAAGGCCACATTTTCTGATACTAATATAGTCCATCCTACATCTTGCTTTAACTAGAGTTTGCATGGCATACGTTTTTGTATTCTTTTAACTTAGCTATATCTTTGCATTTCACATAGGTTTTATGTAGACAGCATGTAGTTGGTTCTTTTTTTTCTTCATGTACTATGACAATCTTTGTGTTTTAATTACCATGGTTAGGTCGCGTCCCTTTAATGTTGTTATGATATCATTGAATTAAAATCTATACTCTTGTTGGCTTTGGAGACGGTTGCTAGCATACCCGGTGTGGGATGGAAGGAAAGGAACGGTACCGACTAAATGTGGACTCACGTGGCAAATATGACACAATGCGTGTTCAAGGGCATCCTTCGTTTTTGTATGTTTTGAGGTAGAGAAAACTAAGGAAGTGGCTGCATTTGGCTGCATTTGGGGGGAGGAATCCAGGTCTCTTAACACTCAATCAGGCATGTGGTGTTTTGTTCACTATACAATATTATTTTGACCAAAGAGAAAAATTTTTTTCCTAAGCCATGAGGACGAAGTTTGGCAATGCACCAAAATAATGATTTGATGTTATTTTGAGGTCAAAGCTGGAAATGAGTTCTAGGTTTTTGGTTGCCTTCTTTTTGAAATGACAAGTTACCTTTATAGGTTGGGACAGTGTCCAACTTCCCTTTCTTAACTTGTGGTCTCTCCAAAGGCCGCACTATTGCCACAGGCTGCACTTTATAAGAATTAAAATCCCGCTTGTAGGTGGTGTCCAGATCAATCTCCCCCTGTTTTGGTTTATATTCTTCTGGTACGTGGCGAGGCTGTTGGACCGTTTCATAAGGACGATAGTCTGATCTGAAATATATAAATTTCAAACATAGCTTCATAGATTCTTTTACTTCTAATTATTTCAATGCAGTATTGGAATTTTCCAGTGTTTTACTGGAAAGGTTTAAGAAGACATTAAAATAGTGATAGGTGACAAGCGATTTGAAAGAAAGAAATGAATTCCTTCATGTCCTATCCAGTGACTAAATGCCTCAAGAAATAAATATATCAAAAATCCTAGTTTTCAAGACATCGTTATAACGGGTCCCTAGTTTACTAGATCTTACATACATAAAATCTTTCTGTAATTGATTTTTTTCCTAACCTGGAAGGAAATCTCAAGTGAGAAGCTTAATGAACTTAAAAAAACTTTGAAGGTATCCCCCGGGTCCGCTTTGTCAACATCCTTACTCATCCTACTCGGAGACTCCAGGAGGCCGTGGGGCATCCCTTCTGCTCGTGGAAGCCATGCTGTCTTCCTGCTCGTCTTTCATCAGCTCTGGCCTCGCGACAGAACTCGCACTCCTGCCACGGACGTGAGTCTGGCTCATCCTTGGTTCCCCCGAAGCCCTGGCCGTGAACGGGGCCGCCTGGTAATGCTGCTGCACTAGGCCTTGTGTGGCATCGTGCGGCAGGGCTGGGGCTGCAGCCGCCACGGTTGGCGGGGGCCGGGGGCCAGCGGGGGGCACCGCAGCCTGAGGGCTCACACTGCCTGGGCCCAGACCCTGCCTCTGCTGTACATGAGGTGCGTGAACAACATCTTAGTTAACCTGCCCAGGCCCCAGTTTCCTCGAATATAAAAAGTAGGACAACGATACCACCTACTTCACGGGCGGTTTCAAGGGTTGACGCCCACAGACACAGGTGCTTGGAGCACAGGAAGGGCCGTGTGTGAGCTGCGACTCCTATGACCACAACTCTTCAGAATTGCTTTTTTTTTTTTTCCTTCTGGACTCTCCTGACTGTGTCTCTCATTTTATGATTTGTTTAAACCACCTTGAATTAATCAGTATTTTCTCTCTCTGTCCATAAGCTCCAAAAAACAAAACCAGACTCACTGAATGCTCTCTCCTGTTCACAGCGCACCTTGTGGGCTCCAGTTCCTCGCCCCAGTGACGCACTTCCGCCTGGTGCCCAGCACGGTGGCCGGACACAGACGTCTGCGTGAGTAAGTCCCGCAGGCAGCTCTCGCCCTTGCCGCACTCCGCCTCTCCAGCAGTAGCTGCCACTGCAGCCCGCCCCCTCTGTTCCCAGGAAATCCTCTCTTCATCTCCTTTCCTCTTCTCGCCCCACGTTCACTCCCGAGGACAAGTCGTCTACTTCCCCCCTGTATAGAAATGACGCTCAGATTTCTACCTCAGCTCCGACCTCTTCTCTGAGCTCCATACCAGCGCTTACAATGGCCTCTCGGATAGTCAGTGGCACCTTAAAACTTAATAGGCCCCTCGTCAAGTGCACGGTTTTCCTCCAACAACCGTGGCCCTTTCGCCTGTTCCTAAGTTAGTGAATGCACTGCCATCCCTCCAGCTGCACCGCCAGAAACCTAGGACTCACCTGCACACCTCACTCCCTTCCTGCGTCTAGTTCACCACCAACTCCTCTTGCTTTTCGCCCCCTGAGCAGCTCTAAAACCTAACCACGTCCCTGTCTCATCACCAGCATAGCATCCCGAGCTTTCATCATAGCTCGTTCCATCCAGCCGTTTCCTGAACGCACTCGCCTGCACGCCCTCTAGGCTTCTCCCCAGTCCTTTCTCACATTGCACCCAGAGTTATCCTGTCCCATGTAAGTTTTTGCAGATCATTCTTACTCTCCTCTCCCTAGTCTCTTCTTTAACTCCCTTATATCCCACTCCCCCCCAAATAAACACACACACAAACCGAGAAGGAAAGGCCCCCGTGGCCTCCCTCACGCGCCTCATGCGCACTGTGCTCCCCGGCTCTTGCTGCTCCCGCTGCAGCAGGTCCTCCTTTCCCGGCTCCTCCTGCCTCGTGCTGCTCTCTGCCTGGGACGTGCTTCCTTACCCACTTCATCCAGGTCATTGTTTCACGTCCTTCATGCTTTAGCTCATTCTTTGCATTTCCCTGATAACGTCAAACCTCTTTTATTCTGGCTCTCAAGCGACCTTGTGCTAGCCTTCATAGGTTTTACCATCGTTGGAAGTTTATACTTATTTGGAGGGGTGTTTCTGATTGCCACCTTCACCAGATGCGACCTCTGCAAGCACAGAGCGCTCGGGGCCATGTTGCTTTTGTTCACTCCTGTGTTCCCAGGTGCCTAGTACAGTGCCTGGAGCTTCATAAATGTTATTTAGTGGATGAGTAGTAGTTGGGATCACATACCTCTGCCTCTCCAGACTTGTGTGTTGTTCTTTGCTCTTCCCAAATGCCAGCTAGAGGGCAACAGGCTAAAATGCAGTGGGGGAGTAGAAGAACAGGGAGAGGACAGAGAAAGTTTAGAAAGTCCGGGTTTCTCTAGGCAGGTCAGTTAACAGTTAAAAAGCGCATCTCCAACGCCAGAGCAGCTTTCTAAAAAGAAGCAGTGAAGGGTCAGTGCACTTTTATTCACCCGCCATGTCCCAAAACATCTGACGAGTCCAGAGCCACACTTTCAGGGCAGATGTCCTGCCCGACTTTGCCGTCACCCGTGCTATGTAAGCAGAATGAGCTCTGGTGGAAAGGAAAAGAAAATGGATAAGGCTAAAAGTGGAAGTCGTCGTCGAGAACATTTTTTAAATCCGCAACTGGGGAAATCTCAAGTATGAGTTCCTTGTAAGTAGGAACCTCTTACTGATGCTTTTGTACTTAATGCCTACGACTGTGCTGGGAATCTAATGCGCCCATTAGCAGAGTAAAGAAAATAATGAACCCATTGCACTGGCAAATATATAAAGAGATCAAAAAGGCTAGGTCCGAATGAAAGGTTTCGGCCTAGGAGGACTTTTTTTTTCTTTTTTTCATCACCCGCTGAATAACTATCGAGTGCCTACTACGTGTTGGTTTGTACTAGGTTTCTGGAAACGGAATGCTGAGATGAGATTGGACGTAGTCCCTGCTTTCCGGGAGCAGAAGGCTGATCTAACGATAATGGGAAGCTGCTTTGGGAGCTGACACAGGGGACTTTGACCAGCTGGAAACGGGTGTGTGCGGCAGGCTTTGCAGAGCGGTAACGGAGATCTGCAGGCTGCCACTGGAAAAAAGATGGCGTTTGATTTTTCTAAAATACATACATAAATAAGTACAATGGGAAAGTATAAGAGTATTTTAAGCAGGGAGGTGAAAGGATTAGATTTGCATGTTACAAGGTCACCTTGGCCGATGTGTAGAACCAGCTCAGTGCCCGCAAAAGCAGAGGAGACGCAGACAGAAGTTAGGAAGCTCCGCGCTCCCTAGGTCAGGCTGACCGTAGGAAACAGGCGAATACCAGAGATTGTAGCAGGGGGAAAAAAAATCAATAGAACTTTTCATTTCCCTCTTCACTGTCTGTTATTCAAACTTAATTCTCATCATTCTGTTTTTCTCAAGTTGTAACTCAACTAGTTTCTTGCTTCTGAGGTTGGTTCAACTTAAATCCACGAAAGCGTTCAACTTGAAGAGTTAAACAACTTTATTCAGAGCAGAAGACTCGGGAGAAAAATAAGTAAAGCAAGTAGTTTCTCAATATTTACTTAAATGTTGTTATTCCTTCCATTTTACCACGGTATGCTCGAAGTTCTTGCTTGGGTTTGAGACTCTGAGCTGGAAGAACATGGCCATATGTAGGATATTTTTCCAAGTACTCAGTGGTTGGGCAGTACACGCCAGAATTTTCATAAATCCTCGTGGTCCCATGTGGACAATGATGTCGCCTGCAAACATAAATAAGTTGAAAAATTATTTTCAACCTCAAAACCACTTTGTGTGATAATTACATGGTACTCAGAGACCTTCCATAAACTCAGTATCTCTAAATTTAAGAGCAGGGTTACAAAAAACAAACACAAAAACAAAATCCTTCCGTTTTCTCTTTTCTCTGCAGTGGCATTCACAAACACAGTGCGAAAGTTAACGTGTATCCTTATGTGGCGAAAACCCTGGCTTCCCTCTGACAAGAGTTTGGTGTGTCTTCTGCTGCAGAAGCTGAAAAACTAACAAGCGAATTTCCGGGGCCGCTTGCCCACCTGCCGCAGGTGCTCACATGGGAGTCTAACTGAGAGCGCTGCCTGGGGACATCCCGTGTGCCTGCGCGGGTGGGCTGCGGCAGACAGCCTGCAGCCAGCAGTGGGCAGCTGGTGTCCTGGTGTGCAGAGCGGCTTCCTGACGTGGCAGCTCCCCTGGCAGCCTGGTTATGCGGTGCGATTTTTGGGAGTTTTTCCTGAAAGCTTAGGTCAAAAACTGTTTCTTTGGTTCTTCCCACAATTCTGTGAGCTACAGCTACTCCTTCATAAAGTCCGTTATGCCTAAACTAGCCAGAGTAGATTATAGTGCCCATAACTGAGAACCCTGACCCATACTGGCTGACAGTGTGTGGTTGTGAACAAGGATGAGGTTGATCCTTCCAACTGCTGGAAGATGGGCAGATGGTAAACAATGAAAAAGCGGGTTGTAGAATAGTGTGTATGGTATGCTCTTTCGCTCTCCCTTTTAAAAGGAGATGTGAAACAACTCTTAAAGAACATTGGTTACTTATGGGGAGTAGGATGAGGAGGGATTTTCACTATACTATAGATTTTGTTTCTTGAGTTTTTATACTATGCCTCATGTTATTTATAATCACAAAAAAACATTTTTTGAAAAGTTGTAAAGCTAGCACACAGTGTTGACATTGCAGTGACTGTGATATTTTGTTCACACGCAGGCTGCTCAGTGAGTGCAGGGGGAGCCTTTTCTGTGGGTTCAACACTGTGCCCCTCAGAGCGTTCAGAGTAAGAGGCTGCTACCTTCGAGATTGAATTGTCTTTCGTGCTTTCAACTTTTCATGCTTAAAAACCAGTCTAAACTTTACTTCATGTTTGAACCATATAGCTTTTTATTTTCCTGAAGTGTCTACGACCTTTATTGCTTTTATATTCTTTGCGTTTCACATACACTCACAATTTTCAGTCTGTTTTATTGCATCCTCTTTTTTTCATGGCAGGTGTCCAGTCTGGAGCGTTAACTGTTCCTAGACCCTCAATTTAAATTCCTTGCAGAAGCATTCATCCCCCCTGCTCTTGGGGGTGGGTGTCAGCTGCCTGACAGGGGAAGGCTCAGCAATATCGGTGTTTTGGATTCAGCCCTCCCATTCTTTCTTAATACACCCTACCCTTCTATGTGTCCTCTGTTAACCTTATAGACTTAGAGCAGAGTCTGTCTCGGGCCCTGTTTGACAGACAAGTACCCATGTCTACTTCAGAATATTTACTTCAATTTATCTCTTTATGTTTTATCTGTCAGCATTTCTGCCATCTTTCTATATGGCAAAAATTTGTTAAAATTTTGTCTGTTAGTAAGTCCTTTTTCTATTCTCTTCAATAATATGGGTTTACTTCTACCTTGGGTTCTATAATTTTCTTTCAGTAGATTCTAGGGATGTACTGAATAAAGAAATATGTTCTTTTAATCTTCCATTGGGAGCTTGAGGTATACATAAGTCAAATAATTTCCTATCCTGTGAACATCATCTGTTCTCTCCTCTCTCCAAATCTCATTCAGACCAAGTTTGCAAAGAGAGTTGGTTGTTGTCACCACTTCTCAATGTTTTCTAGCATCCTCCCACTTTGTTTTCCAACAGAAAAATAACTCCATCACAGTTTCACTCACACGAGCAATTGTATATACACACTGCAGAGGAAATTATGTTAGGAGATGGTTTGTGTTGACTGGTAAGAGTGAAAAAAGTAGAATTTTGAAAATATTTAGTTACATGGTATGAAAAAAAAAGATTCAAATAGCAAGATGAAAAAGTAGCAGCAGCAGTTTCCTTGAAGAGGTCTTGAGACAAATCTTGATCCTTCTAGAGACAGGCAACATATTGACTTATTACTGTTTGTTCTCCTTGTTTCCACCCGCCCCCCTTTATTTCAAGCAGTTAGTCGGGACCTTTGTACTTCCTTGTTGCCAGGCAGAGAATAGACGCTATCTGAAGTCAAAATATTTATTCTATCTTTTTAAAAAACAATCCATGGAAGAGATGAAAACAGGTGTCCCTCTAGAGATGAAAGAGAGTGTTTCTTAGGTTTCCAAGGGGAAGGAGATGGTCTTGGACTGAAAAAAAAAAAAAAAGGAAGGGGGAAAGATTCCCCCCAAAACAGGAGGAAGGTAAAAAGAGGAGAGGGAGGGGTTCATAGGAAAGTGGGGGGATCTTCGCAGCACTTGGTATGAGTGTGCCAGGAGGTTGCCAGACCTCAGAAGGCCCGGCTGAAAGGAACCAGTCATGGCTCCCAGCTTTGCCAGGGAACCTTGTGTCTCAAGCATTAACCTGAAAGCGAGGGTGGCACCACTCTTGAAGGGTCACGGGAAGAGCCATTCAGTGGGAACCTGGCCAGTGTTCATAGTCCAGAGAGGACGCTTACACTGGCAACGCCTCGGCTCCCGGGTCCCGGCCCTGCTGGGGGAAGGACAAACCCCCACAGTCATGAAGACCGAATTTCCTGACAGCTGTGCAGGAAAGGGTGTGGGATTGGGTATAAACATTAGGAAAAATGTAAGCAGTTTCTGCACGTCACATCTTTTGGATTCATGCCCCAAGTGTTAATTTATCTTGTCATGTACATCTTCTTGTTCATTGTAAACAACATTTATCATGAAACTAGGGCGAGGACTGCATTCCATCAACATACAGTGATTCTCCTCTGGAGGGGATTACAATATGAAGGGAGCGACATATTCATGATATTTACTTGGCCAGTATTGGTCTAATCCCTGGGTCAACAGTGAAGCCGAGGAAGAAGACTGTTGACCGCGTTGGGAGGTTGCTAGGAAGGACTCACAGACAAATCCTGGGTCTCAAGGTGGCGACCACTACCTTTCCCGTGACTCAGATCCCAAAGGAGCGCTGCCTGGGTGGGAACAGGATGAGTGTAAGGTTGGGACTGAAAGCTGGAGGAGGAAATAAACCTAACACGAGCTGAAAACTCAGGGACTGCACACCATTCTGTCGCATCCTTTTTCTCGACCTTTTCCTTCCTTAAAAAAAAAAAAAAGGGTGCATCCAGTCCCCCAGTTGGATCCGATCGCACCACTTTATCAGCCTTAAATCTGGCCGCACCTTCCTATCTACCTGCCTGGCCAGATGGCAGGTCAGTGCGCACCCTGGACAAGGAGCCTACACAGCAGAAACGAGTAAAACCCAGTAGACGGCGGTGCCAAGCGAGCCGCACCCGCGTCCCCTGCCCTCCCGGCGACCACCTGAGGCTCCGGCCGCCGCCCCCCGGCCGCGTCTCACCCGCAGGTGCAGATCTGACACAAGCACCAGCTCTTCATGCTCCCCGCCCGCAGGGTCCACTCCGCGGCGCCTCAGAGCGCAGCAGCTTTCGCAGTGCCCACGCGCCTGCCGTCGTCAAGGCAACGCGGCCTCCCCGGAGACCGACGCGGCGCCAGCTTCCGGTGGCGTCAGCACGCGCGGGTCAGAGGTCGTGCGTCCGCCCCGCCCCGCCCCGCCCCGCGCTCTGGCATTCTGCACCCGCCGAGCTGTGGGCGCCTCGGACACGCGCGTGTTACCCGACGAGGTGTCCGAGCGGGGCGGCGGGCGGCCGAGCGCGTGAGTGCGGGCAGCCCTGGGCTTCGGCGTACTGGTGGGCCGAAGGGTGTTCGAGGCGGGGTGGGGCCCACGGCGCCTAGGCGGCGGCGGCGGCGGCGGCAGACGGGCGGGGCGGGGACGAGCCGCTGCCCCGTGCGGACCGGGGACCTGCGCGCTGAGGTGAAGGGGTGTAGCGTTGAGGTGTTTCCCTTGGAAGCGGGGATGGAGGACCTCAGTGCGGCGTGGGGTTAGTGAGCACGTGGCCCCAAACTTTCCTCAGGCTCCGCGGGCGGTCCCGAGCCGGGGACTTCTCACCTCGCGGAGCGCGCAACGGGGCGAGTGAGGGGGGCGGGAGGGACGTCCGCGAGCCTGGCCCGCGGCGTCCCCTCGCCGCGTCCCGGCCGGCGCGCTCAGCCGACTCCCGGGGCGCCGTCGTGATCGGGTGTCGGCTTCACTGCTCCGGTTGGACGTGAGCCCCGGGGGTGTCGCCGTCCCGGAAACGTCCGTGCGTCCCCGTGGGACGCACGTGAGGAGTCTCGTCAGCTCCCAGCATTTTTTTTTTTTTAATTATTTTAACGCCGCGCCCTTCATCCCAGGTGCCCTTCGTGACCCCCTTTTCAATTGTCAGTCCCAGGAAATAAGGAACCATGGTGCTCAACAGTTTGGATAAGATGGTCCAGCTCCAGAAAAACACCGCCAACATCAGAAATATCTGTGTGTTGGCTCACGTTGACCACGGTAAGAACCCCCTTTGAAGGTCTTGCGGTCCGTACCTAAGGGGCTGTGCCTCCCCGGTGTGTCCGCGGAGGGACACCCGCTGAGAAGCAAGTCCGACCTCCTGTGACGGGCGACGTCACACCTGTGCCGGGACGGCAGCTCCCTGGGGGTCTGCCCGCTGGTGTGTTGCTAGCTATCTATTTATCTATCTATCTATCTATTTATTTGGAGGGCTTGAGTATTAAAATGCGAATAATGCCATTTATTTATTTATTTATTTTGAAGGAGGGCTTGAGTATTAAAATGCGAATAATGCCATTTATTTATTTATTTTGAAGGAGGGCTTGAGTATTAAAATGCGAATAATGCCATTTATTTATTTATTTTGAAGGAGGGCTTGGGTATTAAAATATGAATAATGCCATTTATTTATTTATTTTGAAGGAGGGCTTGAGTATTAAAATGCGAATAATGCCATTTATTTATTTTGAAGGAGAGCTTGAGTATTAAAATGCGAATAATGCCTTTATTTATTTATTTATTTATTTAGAAGGAGAGCTTGAGTATTAAAATGGGAATAATGCCATTTATTTATTTAGAAGGAGGGCTTGAGTATTAAAATGCGAATAATGCCATTATTTGTTTGGTTGTTTATTTATTTATTTATTGAAGGAGGGCTTGAGTATTAAAATGCGAATAATGCCATTTATTTGTTTGTTTGTTTGTTTATTTATGTATTTATTCTGAAGGAGGGCTTGAGTATTAAAATGCGAATAATGCCATTTATTTGTTTGTTTGTTTGTTTGTTTATGTATTTATTCTGAAGGAGGGCTTGAGTATTAAAATGCGAATAATGCCATTTATTTGTTTGTTTGTTTATTTATTTATTTATTCTGAAGGAGGGCTTGAGTATTAAAATGCGAAGCCTGTTTCCCGTGCCTTTGTAAAGTGAAAAACCTGTCGTCTTGACCCAGTGTTACTCAGAGAAAATAAAATGGAAAAGGTTGCCGAGCTCCGGTTCGTCATTTTGCGCAGTTATGCGCTGACGATCCGAGGCATTGTCGCTGTCAAAGACGCTGGACGAGGGATGGAATGATTGCGACGTAAACTTGGTTCAAGCCGTGTAGGGCGGGCGCGCGTACCTACATGAAAGTTGTCCGGCAGAGGCATTTTGCGTCGCATGGCGGTTTGTCTCATCACTGTCTAAGAGTCTGGGCGTTTTTACCGCATGTAAATTCCGCGTCAATGCAAAAAGACGTTCTGCACTTTAAAACAAGTTGCCTGGTGGCGTTTCAGGTAGAGCGACGTGACCGACAGGGTTGGGCCCTGGACAGGGCTCCGTAGTGCTAGGATGTGTGTCCTTGCAGGTGACGACTGTGTTCCAAACGGTAGTTAAACTCTTCAGGGTGCCCCCATGTCTTGCTTCATTCAGTCCAGGTAAACAGGAAAGGTTTGCGGAGTCAGTTCTTGTGGTTAAATGTTAAATCTGTTAGAGATACAATTAATGCTGTCGTTTTAACAGGAAAAACTACTCTGGCTGACTGTCTCATATCTAGCAATGGAATCATCTCCAGCCGCCTGGCAGGCAAGGTACGTTGTTACATTTGACAAGTACTTGTACGTGTTGGCTCTTTGCAATGCGATGAACCGTTTGCTGTGTTCTTAGAGGTCCTCTAAGTGAAACGAGTCGGATGATACCCTGGCATAATTGTGGGAGTTTTCACAGAGGAAGAGATTCTTCGCAGGTGGATGAGTTGGGTGGTTTGAGGAGAAGGCACAGAAACCATCAGCTGGGGGGAAATAAGGCGGATGGAGTGGGAAAAGGCTGACTTGTGAGTGGTGCTTGATTTGAGTGGACGATTTGCGAGTAAACTGCGGAGACAGAACACACGCTGGTGTAGAGGAGGTGTCAGGTTATCAGAGACCTTGGAGGCTAAGCCAGGTACCAAAGGAAGGCTTCTGTGCATCATGATGAAAATCATGTTTTAGGAAATGAAGTTAAGAACATCTTCATTTCCAGCTGTGCTTTGAAAGGACTTGGAATAATTTACTTGCAGTACAAAACTAGAGATGTTCCTCCCCTTAATGAATTGAGAATATAATCAGCAGGCTTTGTGCCTGGGAACAGAGAAGAGAGGAGATAGAGAAGCAAAATGGAATCAAAAAAATACACATAGGATACTGAACTAAGAAACATACAGCTATAGAATAACAGGAGACTGAGGCCTTGGGAAGAAGGCCTTTCCGAGAGGTGAAGAGGAGCCAGCGGTGGGACCTAAGGAGAGACAGGAACCCAGGAGATTTTCGACTCCTGGAAGAATTTCACATACGAGCATGAGCTTGCTCACACACACGCAAAGGGTGACGAACGCAGAGTGTCTCATGCCACGCTGACCAGAAGGGCACGGACTGAGTGCATTGTTGTGCTGGGCCAGAGGTTGTTGGTGGCTTTGAGGAGTTTGGTTCGCCAGAGCTGTGCGAATGGAAGCGGCTCTGAAAAATTAATGTGGGATCAATCAGTGTGGCAGTCCCATGACAGTAAGTTATTCTCAAGGCTTTTGAATGAAAGAAATGACTAAATATAAAGGTTAAGAAGTTTTCAAAAGTGCGACAGAGAAGCAGGGCAGGGCAGGGGCCAGCCCGCTCTGCAGAGGCCAGAGGGAGGTCAGTGGGGGCCGGGGCCGAGGCCGAGGAGCTGGAGCAGGGAGCTCTCCAGGTGGGCGAAGCCACCCTCCGCACCAGTGCTCTGCAACGCCCTTCCTGTGGCCATTAACACTGCGTGAAAGCCGTCAGCTAAATGGCGATGTTAAAAATATCTTCTACTCTATCATTCTTTTTTTAAAAAAAAAAAAGTGTTTAAAATCTAATCTGGGGCAAGGAATGAAGATTTGTCTTGCTTCTAGAGAACTCTGTTTGAATCTCTGTTCAAACTTTGTTAAAGGGCCTATGAATAAGAAAAGAATGGCTCTGTTCTTGATGAATGGAAGAAAATTACCCCCAATACCACCTTCTGTAAATTGTTTGTGGACTGCCCAGTCATTCACAGCTGAAATTTGAACGAGCAACTTTTGGGGGAGGGTATGTGGTGTTTGAATGCATTTGGGAAGTGGTAATGTATTTGAATTTGTCTGTGTCTCTTCCCCATGACAACTTTCATTCTCTGACCCCTCTCTCCTTAAAACACAAATGGCATTTAAATAGTTTAAAAGGTAAGCATTTAAAACAAAAGTCCAAATCATTCCATTTTAACTTTACACTTTAATTCACTGGGAAGTAAAGATGCATGTGTTGCATTCTTACAGTTACGGTACATGGACAGCAGAGAAGATGAGCAGGTCCGGGGCATCACCATGAAATCCAGTGCCATTTCACTGCATTATGCAAAAGGTAAATCGAGCTGTCTTTTAAAGAGAAATAGTTTTGAATCTTCCATGTTCTTTTCTCTTTTCCTGTATTAATTGCATGCTTCAGTTTCTTTGCTTTATATTCTGCGAATTGCATTCTGGCCTCTCCAAACGATTTGTTGTCAGAGGTAGGCTGCCCAGACGTGGATGTACTTGGGAACCTCTGGGTGGCTTATAGGCAGAAAAACTGCCTCTTCACAGCTGCGCCCCGCCCCGCCCCATCTGCCCAGGTGACTGTGGATTTTTTTCAGAAGGAAAGTCAGGAGTCCTGGGACTGCGCCAGCTCAGCCTTAGTGTCCCATCCCCTGGCTGGGTCCTTGTTCTGTTCTGCCGCCTGTGTATTAGGTTTAGAGTCTTACTTACATAACTTTGGGTTGCCGTGATTGTTACAGCTTGCTCTCCCCAAATAAGGATGTCATTTTGACAGTAACTCTTCTAGGGATTGAGAAGGAGTTATGTGTTTGTCCAGAGGTCATGGGTAGGTTTTAGGAGTTTGGTTGGGCCAGAGCTGTGGGAATGGAAACCTTTCCGAAAATTAAGGAATTAACGTGGGATGAATGAGTGTGACAATCCCATGATAGCAAGTTATTAGCAAGGCCCACTGCACCTTGAAATCCTTAACTTGCCGTTCAGGAATCCACTCCCAGGGGCATCTTGGCTTTTGCAATGAAATGCATGCCGTCTTGAGTAGAATGGTTAACGGTATGTCTTTGGAGTTTGATGGGTTTGAACCTCCATTCTGCCATTTTGCGTTGTTTGATCTTAGGCAGTTTTCCTTAGAGTCGGGTTCCGGCTGAATGTCCTGGAGAAAGATATTTAACGTTTTGTTCTGTCCTGTTCTGCTCTATAAAATCGGGTTAATAGTTGTAACTACCACCAAGGATTGTTGTAAGCAGACACTAAATGTCTGTAAAATGCTTAGAATGATACCAGGCACAAATAGGCGGCCTACAGATGTGAGCCCTGATCTTGGTTATTGTTGCTGTTTCATCATTATCAGTATGTTTAGGGCACAAGTCATCAGGCTGTTAAAACTGCATTGGGGAAAGTCCTTTAAGTGGCTCTAAGTTAGGATGGTCAGCCCTGTGGTCATTTTGGAGCCCACAGAAGCTGAAAAGCAGAGGTAAGAGGAGGAGCAAAAGCAAAGTATATATGCAGGTGTTCGAGCATTCAGATACTTATGTTGCCTTTGAAAAGAGAATTATGGCAAATTAGCAGTAAGTGGGGAACAAGCATAGAATTCTCATGAATGACTCTTTCTCTGCGTGGTATACTTGCTTATGTTTCATTGTGAAGGCTCTGTAACCTGGGGGGCCGGTTCTGGTTTGCCTGGGACTGACGTGGGCTTAGCGCCGTGGGGGGCTTTCCGGGCTACGACAGAGCAGGTCGGCATGTGTGGTCTCCCTGCTCTAAGCCTCATACGTTTTTCTGTTGCAAGGATTGAAGGAGATAGTGTGTGCGAGAACACGTAGCGCACTGCTTGGCACATAGAAGCTACTCCTTAAACTTTTGTGGAATTGACTAAATCATGATGGAGCAGATTCACACATGCTCTTTGAGAATTTATGGGGAAATGATTGGCCAACTGCTTTGTGTCTTTTCAAAGTGGCTTTTCCTGTTTTGGTCTCTTTGAACAGCCTTCCCTCTCAGGCACTGACTTGTTTTAGTCTCAGCTTCCTAATGTGTAAAGCAAGGACAGTAATACGTATTTATCTAATGGGGTATTACAAGGATTCAGTAAGGTGCAGTTAGCACATTAAAAGTGCTTGCTTAGCACTGTGCCTGGTCGCAGGAGGCTCTTAGTAAGTGGTAACGATTAGAATAATCAAGTCTTTGAACGTTTTCTATAAATGCTATTTGGAATCAATAGTTCCATCGATGGGAATTCTAGATTGGAATGACAGCTGTTGATGGAGCCTTTGCCTTCTTTAGCTTACAGTCGTTTCTTAGAAACTTCCTTTCTCTGCAGTGCCTGAGGAAGAGTATTGTTTACCTACACAACTGACAATGTCTTTCTTCCAACTTCATTTCAGATAATGAGGAGTACTTGATCAATCTGATAGACTCTCCAGGACATGTGGACTTCTCCTCCGAAGTATCGACGGCTGTTCGCCTTTGTGACGGGTGCATCATTGTGGTCGATGCTGTGGAAGGAGTTTGTCCACAGGTAAGTGGGCTCTGCATTGTGATGTGAAAATATTTAACTGGTTAAGGAAGGTGGGAAAGAGGAGGAACTGACTGTTGATTACTCTGTGCACTTAGACATTTCACTGATATTCAGAAAATTGGTTTTACATTTTATGTTCGATAATGTTCCGGTCTGTGATGGAGTTAAATCATCCAAGTTTTAAAGGGATATTAGAGAGGGTGACTTTAACTTTAGAAACTTAAAGTGTCTTGGTATTCTCTTGTATAGGGGCTCAGCAAAAGCGGGAATGTTGAATTTTGGGACGATATGGTGGTTCTACTCCAATGGAAAAGATTTCTTAATTCTGAGAGGTTACTGAGCGCTAGCTGTCCCCTCGATAAGAGAAATTCTCTGTTGGGTCCTCAGTCTACAGTTGTGCCCCCACCCACCAACACACCCTCCTCCCTCTCTCCCCTTCCCGCTCCTCGTCCATCACCTTAATCTAGTGCTTCTCATCTTCTCCATCAGAGTTGGGAAAGTTACACCCTTAAGGCCAACGTGAACATTTAGCTCCTGTGGACATGGAGTTCAGACTGGCTCTCTAATCTCAGTTCTTCTAATAATTTTTTCTCGAAACCTTATGTTTTATCTTAAAAATGTTGTCATCTTATATCTTATTTCTTAATACACCCTTTATTTAATGTTTATTTATAATATTTTGTAGAAACAATAATAAAAGTTTAAATTACTCAAATGGAGGAAAGTTGATAATTCTAAGAATTAGTATTGCATAATTATCCTGTAGCTTCCCTTCTGATTTCCCCTAAGGGCATAGGTACCTTAATTTGAGAAGCTAGTGTATATACAGTGTCTTTGGTATCCTGACAAGGTAAGTGAAATGAACACACTTGACTTCAGAGTAGTGATCAATGCTAAGAGATGGGATTACGATCGGTAAGGTATACGGAGTGACTTGTGGGGACATGTCCTATCTTTTGGCCTGTGTGTTGACAACGTGTTTGTATTATATGTATTCAGTGATCTTTGTGTATGTGTAAAATTCCACCAAACTGTCTTTTACAGTTTTATTTATCCTTCTTAAATAAATTCCATGAAGGCAAGGACGATTTTTAGCCTGTAGTTCTTTGCTGATGTGTTCTGTACTTGGGGATGTCCAGTGAGCACTTTGGTCTGAGTGGCATAGTCTGAGTTGTGATAAAGGAATATGGAAATGAGCTGATAATAATCAAGAGTTTTAAATGTGCTTTAATTACTTCCAATCATGCGTTTTCTATTTTCCTTTCTGTTTTAATCAGACACAGGCAGTTCTGCGACAAGCTTGGCTCGAAAACATCCGTCCAGTCTTAGTGATTAACAAGATAGATCGCTTGATAGTGGAACTGAAATTCACCCCACAGGAGGCCTATTCTCACCTCAAGAATATTTTAGAACAGGTATTTTATTCTTCTCTTTAGAATTTTAAGAATCAGCGTTCAAAGAGGAGTTGTAAGGAAATTGCTAGGTTGAGTATGAGGCATTGCTACAGAAAATTCCTTTATTCAGAACTTTTCTGCTTAAGATTCCTATGCTCTGGGATCATCAAACCACAACAGAGGCAGTGAGACAAGCATCCTCTTAGGAGTCCCCTCCTTCGGAAGCATCCTTGAGGGCAAAGCTTGGACAATAGGTTTTAATGCTGTCTGGTGTAAAAGCTTGTCATTTGGTTCCAAAGGGAAGCGATATTAGGAAGTTCTTTGGTTTTTTTTATGACCTGTCTTGAGGTGAAATTTTACCCAAGCATTCATCCATTTTATTCAGTGAATATTTACACAGTTATATGTTGAATAAATGAATTCTTGGGTGTCTGTTGTGTGCTAGAGATTGTGAATGTCATGACAGACAGGTCAGAGCCCCTCTTTCCAAAGATCTCAGAGTGTGGCTGGGGAGATAGACAGTCAAAAGAGACACTTGGAGAACGATGAGGTGATGAGGCCTGGTGTGGTTGGAGAGCACAGGTGAGGGCCGCCTCACCCCGATCTGGTCCGGAGGGAAGAGAGAGTTCGGAAAAGTTTTTGCCATGGAAGCCTTGAGATTAGAGAAGGACGGGCTTCTCCAGGTAGAGAATTGTGGCAGAGACATTCGAGACAGGAGTAAGATGCGTAGTCTCGAACGCAGGGGAAAGCATAGCACAGTGTTTTATTCGAAGACTGCAGATTATTTATTACAGCTGAAGAATCGGATCGTGCTGCGCGATGACAAGAGTGGGAGTAGAAAGGAATATAGGGCTTAGATTATGCGAACCTTGTATGCTGTGTGTTGAGGTTTAACTTTCTTCTTCAAGACAGTGGGGCACCATTGTTGAGGCCAACTTGAGAAGATTTGCTGAAGGGAGGGAATGTTGAAGGTAGAGCAGTGAACAAGGCCGGGTCAGCGGGTCTGCCGCCCGCCAGAGGCAGACGGGGTGGGCGCAGGTGAGACACTGCTGCTTACAGCGCGAGGGGAGGGGCCGGTGGCGCTTGCAGGGTTTCTGCCGAATAGGACCCATTTTCTCTCTGAGATAAGAACTATGGCTACTTACTTGAGAGGGGCAGGAGTTGGGAGTTCGAGGTCGGGAAGAGGGCCCAAAGACAGTAGTGACGAGTTCAAATAGCTGATGTGAGCAACGGCCAAGGAGTTGGCTGAATTGCAAACTAGGATTGTGTGGGTTGAAAACCACGAGTTCTAGGGGTGGCAGGCCTCAGTCCTGACAAACAAGTTAAAGATCCAGCACATTAGTGTTTGCGTGAAAACAGTGATCCCAGAAGTGACCTTCAAAAGCCTTAGGATTTAGTTTTGCTGGGTTTAGGAAGAATGGGCTGATGGCATGGAAGTTATTTCTTGTTATAAGTGTCAACTTAATCGGAGCCCAGACTGACTGATGGATGATTCCAGGCTTAACAAGCGTTCGTCGCAGGGTCTCCTGCCGCAGGCGCGCCAAGCATCATAATGACATTCTGCCGTTCCCCCATCTCTCCTAGATCAATGCGCTCACGGGAACTCTTTTCACTTCTAAAGTCCTGGAGGAGCGAGCAGAGAGAGCGAGCGAGTCCCAGGGCAACCCGCCCTCGGACTCGGGAGAGCAGGTGTACGACTGGAGCACAGGCCTGGAGGACACGGACGACTCGCACCTGTACTTCTCCCCCGACCAGGGCAGCGTGGTGTTCGCCAGTGCCATAGACGGCTGGGGCTTCGGGTGAGTCGGCCGCGTCGCGGTGAGTGGGCGTCCTCTGTGGACATCCTGCTCCGCTGGCTTTTTCAGTTGAACTTTGTAGTTTGAGGTGGTTATAGATGAACTACAGTTGTAAGAAAGAATACAGAGCTCTCCTTTTGCTGGTCCCTGGAGCAGGTAACAAGACAGCGCCTGTTTCCTTTGTCAGGCACAGGAACTGTGCCCCGGGAGGTCCCCCACTGACCTCCTGTCCTCCCCTGGGGAGCAGAGGTTGAAGGTGGGAGACCAGGGTGGCTCCCTTCAGCCCGCCCTTTTCTGGGGGAAGCTGTAGGTTTGTGGAGAAGGGCCCCTCCTTCAGAAAGACAAGAAAAGTTACAAATTAATAATAGAGTAATAATAACAATTTACAGTCACATAGATTATCATGTACAAATAAATAACACATAGCCCTTATAAGTACAAGTAAAATAATATAATAGTAAAATTTTGGAAAGTTAAAAGAAAAAGTCTTCTAAATAAAGAACTGTTGGATCAAATGGGAAATAAAGGTTACTGGAGTGAATTACTTTGAAAGGAGTGGACACTTGAGGCCCCTCCAGAATGTCTAAGCGGAAGCAGGTGAATTTGGGTTCTTGAATGGCTGTTTTTCTGTCTCTTGGCCTTCAGTGAAACATGGGTATTCATCTGTGGCTGTTTCTTATAGTGCCTCCTTCGCATCTAGGCTACTGCCTGATGCCTTTCCCGGCTCTGGGTCCGACCATACTTGATCTTCCACTCTCCCAGCGTCTTGTTGCTCCCCCAGTGTCATCAGAGAATGTCAGCTCCTTGGACCCGGTTGCAGGTGACCGCTGGATTCCGGCAGTCCCCCAGCGGACCGGCATGCAAAAAATTAGTGTGTTAATGTTGGGTTCCTTCGGCAGTGGGCGAAATAGCAGGTGTCTTTCACGATGCTGGTACTTGGAGAGTTGGACTCAGACCTTAGGTTAAACACACTATTCCCTGCAGAAAAATTTTTTTCCAGGTCCTTTATCCTGCACTGTACTCAGCACCTGCATTTGCCAGGTGGCTGCCTCGTTTCTCTGAGGGCTGAGGAGAGTTGAGTAAGTGTGGGTGTGAGCTTCCTCTGCGACCCGGGGTGCAAAGAATCCCTTTTGGCAGGTCCCGGCTGTGAAGTTTGCTTTCCTCAGGAGCGAACGGCACCTGTAGCGGTGAAGGGCTGAAGCAGTCTTTTGTCGGCAGAGTTGCCATGAGCAGCTGGAGCCTGTATCCTGGTGTCTCCACTGTTTACACACAGAGAATTAAGAAAGGAGCCACGGCAGGGCTTCGATTCACAGGGGCAGAGAGGGATGGGGATGGGGATGTGCGCTCTGGGGCCAGGCTGCCAGGGCTTGGGTCCTAACCTCACTCGTCACCTGTGTAATCCCTCTGTACGAGGGGGGAGATGGTCAGTACCCCTGCGTAAGAGATGAAAGGACTACATTTAGTAACATATTGAAGCACTTGGAACAGTACATAGCACAGGAATCCTCAGGTGTTGGCTATATTCATACTTACTGTTGTTGCTAGTAACATAAACACTTGTTTTTCTTTCAGAATTGAGCACTTTGCCAAAATCTACAGTCAAAAAATTGGTATAAAAAAGGAAGTTCTTTTGAAAACATTGTGGGGAGATTATTATATAAATATGAAGGCTAAGAAGATTATGAAGGTTGATCAGGTAATGTCACGTATGTCCCCTTTGAATGTCGGTGACAGGCCTGCCTTAGGAAACACCTTTGAGAAAGGCGTGCTTTGGCTTTGGTTTGTGTGGGTCAGGACGGGAAGGATTTTTTTCACTGTATATATTTGGTTAAAGTTCATGAATCTTATATCCAGGTATTCCTTACATAGAGTCCTTTACATATAGGGGACAAAGAATTGCTTTTTTTTTTTTTTTTTAAGAGGAGAAAAACCTCAGACCCTGGTCACTTGAAGACATGCATTTTGCATCCCACAATTGTGTGTCGCCTTCCCCGTAGGGAGACAATTCTTCCACGCACCTCCGCCTGGCCCGCCCTGGGGTCCTGGCGTCGGCCAAGGCCTTCTGCCGTCCAGCGCCAGCCCCGTGAGTGCTCTGGGAGCGGGGTGCTCCCTGGGCCCCACCTTTGCAGACAGAGGCGGTGCTGGGCTGATGGGTCCGTGGCCTCAGGATCCGTTTCCGGAAGCTTTTTCCCTCATTGTGAAATTCAGGGTTTTATAAATTTACTGTCATTGATGAGTGTATAGATTCTTTCTACAAAGTACTCCTAAAGACACAGGAAAGGAAAAAATCAGAGGCCAACACTGCTTACACTATGGTTTTAATTTGTTTTATTCTTTTTGGATAAATATATATATTTCCGTTGAGATTATACTGTTTGTCTAATGGAGCTGTTTTTTGCTTGACATTATGTCTGGAAAAAGCCACCGTGAGCATCGTCCCCAGCCACCCAAAGCTTTAAATAAACAGTGTCTGTGAAAAGCAGCTTGGGCAGTGAGCTGGGGAAGCGCGTGGCTTGAGTCTGGCCTTGTGTCTGAGCTCAGCTCCAGCTCTTGCCAGCTTTGTCCCCTGTGACCTGGTTTTTTCATCTGTGAAATGGAGGGAGCAGGACATTCCTTTTCGGGTGGTTGTGATGAGTATGTGAAATCATCCAAGAAAAGCCGTGAGGATAGTTCCTGTCGCGCAAGTACCCTGCTGTTAGTGTATGTAGTGACTGCATCAGCCTTTACGTCATCGCCCTCCTGAGACTGGACATAGTTTCTATTTCTAATTTTCAAATGTTTTGATATTATAAGTAAAGCTATGGAGGGCATCTTTGCATAAATGTTTGTCTCATGTTGTCTTTTTTATTTTTTTTTAACCAAACGTTCAAAGGTAGTGGCTTAATTTTCTAATGCCTTGCCACTAGCTCTTCAAAAAGGAGGTTGCAGTTCATGGTCCCTCTGACTTGTGTGAGGGTGTCCATTGGAAGGGGCTCTTGCTATTATTTGCATGGTCTGTGAGAGCAGTGGTAGGTTTTTTTGTTTTTCATTTTCTCTCCCTTGAAATTGAGTACTCTTCATGTTCAAGAACATTCTTGAGCACGAAGTTCATGGAAAGTCCTGTCCGTGCAGAGTCAAGTTTTCGCTCAGCCTGGGTGTTGCGTGGTTTTTTTGAGGACGAAAGTGATACGTCCCCCAAGTGGTCTCACTGTTTGTGAAGTCCATAGTTCCCAGAGGAAGAGAACAATGTATTACTATAACTATTTTCCTGTACTTTACTGTTGAATAAATGTTTTCTACTAGAAATGAAACTTATAATAAAACATGTCAATAATGAATATTTAAGATACCTATTAAATACTCGGGAACTAAGCATGTATATTCCTTTTTACAGGCAAAAGGAAAGAAACCATTATTTGTACAGTTAATCCTGGAAAATATATGGAGTTTGTATGACGCTGTCTTGAAACGGTAAGACTATTTGTCTTGGGACAGTATAGTTTGCCTCAGCTCCCATGCTGGGACGGCCGAGAGAGGCGGAGAGGAGAAGAGAGCCTTTACAGACGAGCTGGTCACAGGGCTCGAAGACAACGTGTACAGGAGCGCGCGTAGCCCAAGTCAGGGGTGGCAGGAGGGGTGGAATGGGAGTATTTCATAGAGTGCCAAGGTGCAGAGATAAAAGGGTGGGAAGAGACACTGGACCTTTCTGTCTACAACCCCGGTTTAAAATAAAATGGTGATGGTAGTAGGAAAGGTGCTTGATACCTAGGATCCCTACTGGGGACCTTGGGCAAACACTTGCTCGATACAAGTGGAAAAGAAAATTTGCTGTAGTAAGTTTAGTTTCTCGGTTATTGTGGAGTTAGATTCATACCTTTTTGAGCATGTCTTTGTAAAGCAGCGTCGCCAGTTGGCATGGCCTGTGTAAGGAGGCTGCGGGGCGGCGCTTCGTGGACGGCCCTGAAGAAAGGTTCGTTTGCGAGTGCGCAAGCAGAGAGGGAGCAGCCCCTCCGTCTGTGCCGGGGGCCCTGCCCCTCGTTTTCCGTTTTTGTAGAAGAGGAATGCATAAGCGATAAACGTGTCAAGTAACGAGTTTGTTTTCATCACTGCTCCTTTATGTACGTATGTGACCTTCCCCGCCATGTTGTGTGTTTACTGTAGGGACAAAGAAAAAATTGATAAAATAGTGACTTCCTTAGGATTAAAAATTGGAGCCCGCGAGGCACGACACTCAGACCCTAAAGTCCAGATCAGTGCCATCTGCAGCCAGTGGCTGCCCATATCCCACGCTGTTCTCGGTATCCTTTATTTTAGTGGTTGTTTAATGAAGTCCCAGTTTTGACAAAACAGGAAAAAAAAGTTACTGGCCACCAAGAAATCCTTTGGAAATGATGCATTCCAATCCAAAATAAGGCTTCTGTGGTTTTTTAGTGTGTGAAACCATATTTAATAGTTAATACGAATTAGTATTTATACCAATACCAGCCTAACTGAACATATTTCTAAAAAGATATTTTTATTTTTGTTTAGTAAAAATATAAACTTTTTATTTTACTAAGTTTTACATGTAATTAGATAAGTTAGGTGTTTGTATGAGGTCACTGTTTTATGTAGTACCGTATTTTCTTTAGTGTGTTGATACTGCTCATCGTGTTAGTGATTCCAAAAAGACTTACTTTGAAATGGCTTACATTACATGAAGTAATTTCATAGGTGAATTTAAACTCTCTTCCTTCCATTGATCTGCGTGTATCAATCGTGCCCCTGTGGTGGGCAGAGGGGGCTGGTCCTGGGAGTGGACCAGCGTGTGCTCTCAGCCCAGGGCTCTGATGAGGACACTCACCCCACAGTGACACAGGCTCGGATAACGGGCTTTCTGCTGTCACAGCTGGTGGCCGATGGTGGTTTCATGAAAAGCTTATGTAGACCTAAACCCTGTGAAAAACCATTAGGATTTCGAGGTCACAGGTAGCTAAGATACCAAGCAGGCTCTGTTGTCCTCACTTGTTCGTGGATCATCAGCATATTAGGGTGTCTGTCGTAAGAACCCTCTGGGCTTGGTGAGTCCGTGAGCTCCCTGGAGGGGTAGCCATGTGTTGAGAGACGATGCACAGTGATGCAGCCGTGCGGCCGAGGCGTTCCTTGTAGAGACCTGCATGGTGACCTCGGTGTGTAGCCCGTATCGTGCGTCTGCCTTGGTGAGTGCCCTCACTCAGGTTTTTGAGTCCTTAACGACAGGCTGCAGCTATGGTGTGTCGGAAACTTCCTAGTCCCCTTGATGTCACTCCGGAGAGAGTGGAGAGACTGATGTGCGCGGGGTCGCAGGCGTTCGACTCTCTTCCACCAGAAACCCAGGCGCTGAAAGCAGGTGAGGCCCAAACGAATGCAGCGCGCGCACTCGGTTCAGTCGTCCCAGGTCAGGGCTGCTGTAGACCCCACTGCCACAGGCAGCCAACTGCATTTTCTCCCAGGGTTTCAGTTTTGCTGTCGCCGTTTTCTCTGCCAGAGGGGTGGGGGACCGGAGGCTTGGAGACCCCTTCAGCGCCGATCTCATGCCATAGTCTCGTAAGGAGGCTGCATCCCGTATTCCTAAATAGCCAGGCCTGTATCCTGAGCTGCCACATCATGCTGGGGGCCGCAGAAAAGTGGTCCCAGGGGTTGTGCTCCCCTCGGTAGCCCTGCATCTAGGCTCCCCGCGCGAAGGGCGCCCCTCTTCCAAGCTCGGTGAGGCCCTATGAACCCCGTGGCGTGCACTCACTTCTCCACTTCTTTTCTCCCCATTCGGTTGAATTTGCGATCTCTAGCCCCCAGATCCCTCCGCTGCTATTACCAGGGCCCCTCCTGACTCTCCTTCGTCCGATCATCTGACGAGATCTGTCACTGTCATTTAACACAGGTGGTCACTCCTTTCTCCGTGAGACTTTCTTCCCTTGACTTCTAGGCTTCCATGTGCTTCTGCTTTTCTCCCCGTCTCCCTGGCTCCTTATTCTTAATCTCTGTTTCTTTGGTCTCCACTTTTGTGATTTGGTGACTGTGGGGTGCCCCGAAGCAAGGGTGGTCTTTGGACCTCATCTGTTCGGCACCTGCATTCACTGTCCTGGCTTTGTCTGACAACATTGTACTTACAACTGCCACGTCTGTGGCTCCGCTGCAGCCCTGCTCCCTGAACTGCGCACGCCGTGTCCAGCTGCACACGTCCTCTCCGCCCTCGGCTGAGCAGCACTGCCACCGGGCAGCGCTCTGTATCCCGACCGGGGCTGCTGCTCCTGCTGGTCCCCTCTCCGTCACACGGACCTCCGCCCTTTCGTTGGCTCAGTCGAAAAGCCTGGGGGTCACTGATGGCTCCTACAGTCCTGCCTTTAGTCCATCTGCAAATCCTCTTTATTTTCCCCTTGAAATACACCCAGAGTTCACTGCTTCCCAGTGTTTCCACCTCTGCCTCCGTGGGCCTCGCATGGCCGCTCACCTGGCTGCTGTAATGGCTTCCCAGCTGGTGCCCCAGCTCCTGCGCTTGGCCCCCTTAGTGCTCTGGCAGCCGGCAGCAGGGATGCTGGGACAAGGCCGGGTCAGGCGGACACCCCGCAAACCTCTCACAGCCTTCCCAGGCGAGGCTACGGCCGCACGTTCAGTTCTGACTTGGGGGATTTCTTTCTTGTTTGAGTTTTACTGGTGGGTTCTTTAACTTAACGTGTAAAATATTTTGATTTTGAAAATTTTTTCAAAACATTACTAACCAATGTTATATCTCTAGTGTAGGCTAAGAAAAATGTCCATACGTGCTATGAAATGGTATAAAATTTATAGATTTAGGGAAAATTGACATCTTTGTAATAATGGATATTTCTAAGATTTTTCATTGCTGTCATGACAATATATTTTTGCCCATTTTCTACCTTGGTATCATGGGGCTTGGAAATCTCTTTGATTTTTTTGCATTTTATTGACAAGTGTCCTTATTGACTGCTGACCTTTGGTAACATTCCTCACCTCGATACCTTCTGCACTGGAAACAGGGGAGCACTTATTCGGGCTGTGCTGGGTGGTGAACCCATTTCCTAGGTTTGGCTCTGTATAGGAGGTCGCTCAGCCCTCCTCCCACTCTGCTAATTTTCCTTTTCTTTCCTCATTTTTGCCAATTCTACTTGTTCTTGCTCTCCTTTTCTAGCAATTTTATAGTATTCTAAGTGGAATTTTTATTGTAGTTATAAAAGATAATAAGCTGCTTACATATTTAGATGATGCCATAAGCGGAACACCTTAATTGTTTTCCAGGAAAAGTTTGGATTTTTAATAAGGAAAAAGATAGTGACATGTTTACTCTCCTTTTGTTTAGCTTTTATGAAATGTGGAAGTGAAGATACTGCTCCAGTTATTATCTTTGTTTCCAAAATGTTTGCAGTTGATGCAAAGGCTTTGCCTCAGAATAGGCCAAGGTAAGGCCAGGGGGGCGCTGGGCTTTGGGAATGGTGTGTGTCTCGTGGCAGGCGCGTATCTGAGGAAGGTCCCTGCTGTTGTGTGCAGCTCTGTGTGGGGCTTCGGCCCGTTGGTTTGTAAGCTCAGAATAGCTGGGGCCGCAGCATTCTCAGAGCAAGCCTGCTAGGCCTTCCCGCCTGCTGTCCAGCTGGGGAGAGACTGGGAGGAACCTTCTGCCGGCAGGGGGGACCTGGCACCAATTGTCATCTTATCCAGCCAGATTAATGCCTGCTGTTATCCTACCTGAGCCAGCTGAGAGGTGCCTGATGTTGCCAGATGGTAACATATTTCTGATACCCTTTAGACCTCTCACTCAGGAAGAAATCGCACAGAGGCGTGAGCGCGCGAGGCAGAGGCATGCGGAGAAGCTCGCAGCAGCACAGGGCCAGGCACCTTCGGGGTTGCCCTCAGACGGAAGCACCCAGGACACGAGTCCAGAGGGAGAGGAGCCAAAAGGTACCGCTGTTCTGCACAGGCTTTGCTGCAGAACTTGTTCTTGCTCGATTTGGGGCACTCCGCCTCTAGCTCTTGAGCTTCTAGCTGCAATTATAGCTTTTATCAATATTCCTTGGTTCCTGGTGCTTCTTTCCTGAAACTGGGCCAAGTATGTATCTTATAGTTATGTTCCGCCTGCTTCCAGGCAGTTCTGAGACAGGAGAGCGCGTTCTGGGCCCTCATCATCCTTTGTCTCCGGCAGGTGAGGAGCAGCAGGTGGAGAGCGGAACCCCTAAACCTGCACCACAGGAGGAAAACAGCCAGGAGGCTTTCATTGCGTTTGCTCGGGTGTTCAGTGGCGTGGCTCGAAGAGGAAAGAAAATTTTTGTCTTGGGGCCCAAATACAGCCCTGTTGAGTTTTTGCAGCGGGTAAGAATTGGAAGAAAAACGTTAGTAATATTGTTTCAAGGTTTTGGTGTCTTTGAAATTAGTGACATTGGTGATTACCTTATTGGTAGCTTTATTTCGTCTCAAGGAAGGCACATTCAGATGATCCCCGTATCTCCTCTTGTGTTGCCTTAGAGTAACATTTGGTAAACCTGCCTCATGTAGTAGCATTTAGGAAGCTAAAGTAGTATATGAACTAAGTTTTCAGGCCTTAATAATTTTAAGGCTGTCTCTTTAAGGCGAGAAGAAAAAATAGTAAGAACAGATGTCATGCGAGAGCCAGGGCAAGGGCAGATATTCAAGAAATAGGGAGATCCAGAATCGTGGTGGCGCAGGTCCAACGCGTGGGCAGTCAGCAGGTGACCAGCAACAGCTGCGTGGAAGGCCGGTCCCAGGAATTGATCAGGCGGGTCTGTAAGCAGATGAGCAGCATCCAAACACACCTGAGCCAAAGGGCCGAAGGAAACTACCAGCCAGAGCTGTGGCAGGACGTCTGTGGACATAAGCAAGTTGTCTGCAGGGTCACTTCACAACAGCTGTGGTCACAGGAGGGTGGCGATGCCAGGGGCCCAGGGAGCCTGTCGGGACCCGCAGGAAGCAGCAGACGGCACTTCCTGGCCAGGTTCCCTGAGAGGCCCTGCGGGGCTCTGGTTGGCGTCGCTTCCGGTCACTGCCTGCGTTCGTCGCGAGTCAGCGTTTTCAGTGTGTTAGCTCTATCTGTCTACTTAGGTTATTTTAAATGTTTTTCATTGATGTTTTACTATTTTCTCCATAAAGATCATTAATCATGTCTATTAGACTTATTCCTAACTACCTTATATTTTGTTGCTATTCTAAAAGGTAATGATTTTAAAAATGCATATTTTCTACTGCTGATCTGTAGATATACAGTTAACTTTTGTATATTGATCTTGTGTCTAGCGACCTTGTTAAACGGTCTTACTGATTATAATTTATGTGTAGTTTAAGTGAATGTTCGTAGTGTCTGTACGTCATTCTGTTTTTTCCTATTTAATGCTGCTTTTTAATACCTCTTTCCAGACTACCTGTAGAGTACCCTGCAGAGTTGTCGTTGAATCAGAGCGTGCACTCTTCAGTGAAAGGCTATCATTTTTATGACGTTTCTGAGCTTCACCTAACTTAGTAGCTTCTCCCTCCTCTGAGCTTTAATGAGCATATGTGCTGTCTTGCTTTGTTTGTCCCCCACTTTGTGTTTGTGACAGTAGTTATAGCCTAACATTCTTTTCTCTTCGTCGCATTTTCACAGCACCTCCGCCCTGTGGGTGCCAGAGATAAGCTGGTGATTGAGATGCTTGCGGGGTGCGCGCATTCATAGGGAGGTCACTGAGGAACTGAAGACAGTACCTTGAATACTCTTCAAGATACTGAATAATTCTTGACCACACTTGAGTAATTTGAGATGCTATCTCCACAAGAATAAGTATAATGTACAGGGAGCTCCTCAATCTATTATCCTTATAGCATATTTATATCTTAAATAAAAGTTACTCCTTTCCTTGTGTTCCTGAGCACTGGCATCAGCCGTTGCTGGATATGTGGAGGACGTTATAATAAAATTAAAACAATGTAACGTGAGAAGAGTAGTGATGACTTGAAATAATGGCCCAGTTGTCACCAGAACTGGTGTGTGAGTGTTCACGTAAACACCTGCAGGGGGTTGTGTCTGGGGGTTTTTGTGTATTAGCTTATGTGATGCGACCAGGTTACAACAGAATTTATATTAACTGAGCCATATAGCTTATGATTATTTGGGATTCTAGACTCTTTTTAAATATATGAAAGGTTTCACTATTTCAGAGTTTATTCATAAAGTGAGACTTATTTTCATATAACACCATTTCAAATTTGTGTGTTTTAGATTTGCATAAAATGTGACTGTACCACATCTTATTTTAGAACAAAAGTAACTTTATAGACATTAATTTTTTTCACTTAAATTTAATCATTTTTCTTCTCCCAGGTGCCATTAGGCTTCTCAGCTCCCCTGGATGACCTCCCCCCAGTCCCCCACATGGCGTGCTGCACGCTGGACCACCTGTACCTCCTGATGGGACGGGAGCTGCAAGATCTCGAGGAGGTGCCACCAGGCAACGTGCTGGGTAGGACGGTGCTGTGTGTCACGTGTGTCTGCTCTGAGGGTTACATGTCACAGACTTGGTGACGCCTTTGAAGGAAAGGGCTGATCTCCCTTTTTGTTTGGTTCTTCTTTTCTGGTGTGCTTAGACTTTAACTTAGTGCTTTTGAGTAATCAGTAACTTGCTGTGAGTTATGGTAGTTGTTTTAAAAGGAAACGAGTGCTGTTCAGGTAATCTGTGAGTGCTCCAAACGATGGTGTTTTTGTTTGGTAGCAAGAATTCCCGCTAACGTAAAAGTCAGCCCAGATGACTAAGGCTCTTCTGGTTCTAAATCATTGGAATCTGTTAAGGCTTGTGTGTCTTGGAGAACAATCTTACTTCAGTAATTAGGATATTTCTCTTCCTCATGTTCATTAGAAGGAACAGTAAATTTTTAATTTGGTTACTTCGTTGGATTGGTAACCTATTTGAATGGCTCCATCAAAACATCTGGAACTAGTTACCAGCCTTACAGTCAGAATTACCTTTTTAGGCACATTTCATTTGTTCATTGATTTAAAAACTGGAGTATATGTAGCAGTAGCAGCATTCGTATGCCAGTTTCACAAGCCAGGTGTTAAATGATAGCAGCTTTTCAAAGCTAGGAGTGAGTTGAAGGCAGGACAGAGAAAGCCAAGGATTCTGTTTGGTAATACGTGAAAAGCAAACAGCCCAAGAGGAAGTTTGCGATGCTGGCATCCCGGCTGTCGGGTTGCCAGGCTGAGCTGACTGAGACCAGGCTTGTCGGCACAGCTTTTTAAAATTTTAGGACTGGCTTGTCTTCTTACGGGGAGTTTGGTAGAGGCGGGGAGTGAAATGAAAAGCATAAGATGGGTGGCTGATGGAGTGAACCAGTCCGCACGTTCCCATTGTCCGCTGCACAGTAAACCCCCCGCGGCCTTGTGGCTGAACGCACAGACAGCCTTACTTTCTCATGAGTCTGCCGCTGAGCAGGGTTTGGTCGGACGTCACTCACATGGCTGGTGGTTGACACTGTTTGTCTCCCCGGTCATCTGTTGGGAGTGGGACTGGGTCTGGGACGTGTGGCCTTTCCACCTGGCTGCTAGGCTTCCGCACAGCACGGTGGTTGGGTTCTGCCCACAGCGGGTGAGCATCTCAGTAGGAGGAGGAAGGAGGAAGCTTTATCAGCTTTTATGACCCAGCCTCCAGAACCTTCTGTCACATCGTCTTTGTTAGATAGAAGTGAGTCACTGAAGCTGGCCTATATCCAAAGGGAGAGAACCAACTCCACCTTTTAATGGGAGACGTTTCAAAGAATTTGTGGACATGTTTTAAAACGGCCCTACCACTAATCATGGGTAACCTCATGTTTTCTTTTATATGTTAGCAGACCCATGATAGGACCCAGATCACAAAGTAAAACATAGTGATGTTTATAGTGATCAGGGCAATTTCATTTTGTTTTTTTTTTTTACTCTTGTTAGCTTATAGGGAAAGTTATAATTCCTGTTTAATAGGAAGATAGTAGCAGAGTGACGGACTGATAGCCATATGCTTTCCATCAGACACGATCAAGTCAGTTATCAAATGCAGATGAAAATCTTTGTTAGGGGAGGAAATGAAAACATTGTACGGAATTCTTGGACGAGTCCGTGCGATGTCAGGGTCTTCAGGAGAGTCCGGCTATTGGCGCTGGAGCAGCGCAGATTGCAGTTTTGAACTTGGCCATAACTCACTTGGAGAGTTTATACTGACCGGTAAGTATGGAATACATTTTGTGGTCTGGAAATAGTTAAAGTTTAAAATTATTTAATTCTAACCTGATGTTTGAGAAGTTGGTATAGATGGGACCAGGGAGACCTCACATGTTTAAACACAATAGCTTTTTGTTCAGTTCCCTACTGAGAATATCTCTAAAAGTAAATGTTTGCTACAGACGCCTGTTAAAATGTGAGGGGAAATTGAATTAGTATTCCAAATCCTTTGCCTTTTCTTATACACTTTCCGATCTCTTCCATATGGTTAAATCTTTAAAATTTCAGGGGCTTATTTTAAGAGGAAATATGATAGTCCCCTTTTTACAACATGAGGAAAATAATGAATACTACTTAGCGTTTTTCTGAACTGGTTTTGGTTCTGCCATGGTAGGTTTCTGGGTTGATAAGAAGTCGGTGTGGTTTGAATGCGTGTCTGTGTGTTTCCTTAGCAAGTGGGGTTTTACCAACAGATTTGATTTGATTTATTTAAAGGAAAATCTCAGCAGTTTGTGATTATTAAACCTTGTCATAGATTTATAATACTAAATTCACTAACTAGTGAATTTCTTTTAAATATACTTTATTAGCAGCCTCACCAATTGGAAAGAATTTAACCAATAAACAACTAGAGGCCTTACTAGTAACTTCTTAACATTTACTTAGTTTCAACTGAGTTTAATAATTTTTCCTTTACCGGGATGATAATGATTTTATTCTCCTGATATCTAACACTTGTGTGTCTTACTTCTTTTTACTTTTATATTGCCTATAAAAATATGGTCATTAATAGTAGTTACAGCAGTTATTCTTTCTGGTTCCTCCCTGACTTTAATGAAACTGTCCCAAGTATTTTAGTTTCAGGTTTGCTGATACCTATTGATTCATATTGCTTACTTAACATGCTAAAAAAATATTTTTATTTAATTTAGGTGTAAATACTGAGTTTTATTGATGCATTCTCAGCATCTGAAGGCAGTTATAGAGCTTCTCCTTGCTAAAATTCATGTCCTGAATTATATTTAATTATTTCCTGATTATTAAGATACCCTTTTATTCCTAGAGGAAAAAGAAAACAGCACTTGATTGTTGCCTCATCTCTTCATACAGTGTTAGATTTTATTTACTATTATTCGATGCTAATTTTTCTTGGATAATAAGTAAAATTGGTCATATTGTCTTGGTATCATGGTCATTCCAAAGTGCGAAGCTTCCATCTCCTCACCCTATGGACCTGCACTGTCTGTTGGAAGCCACGAGCCACAGATTTTCAGTACAGTGTAGTCATGATACAGGTCCGTTTGAAAAATGCAGACACCAAATAAGAGTTATCCCTTACCATGGGGATCAGCACCGGCCTTTTTATATTCATATATGTACATAATACTTTTTGAAAAATTGTGATAAGAAACACAGGGTGTGACCTTGACCGATGTGGCTCTGTGGGTTGGGCGTCCATCGTCCCACAAACTGAAAGGTCTCCAGTTCGATACCTGGTCGGGTCACATGCCTGGGTTGTGGGTTCTGCCACCAGTCAGGGAGCGTACAAGAGGCCACCAAGTGACGTTTCTCTCTCTCTCTCTTTCTAAAAATAAATAAAATCTTTAAAAAAAAAAGTATGGCAAAAGTAGGTTTACAGTTCATATGGAAATTAACAACATAAATCATAATACAAGAATAAACTCTGTGTTGCATACTCACAACTGTGAACCTACTTTTGCCCCACCCTATATAATACCAAATTTGGTACTTTAACTATTTTGAGTATGGTTCAGTGGTATTGATATGTTTTGAATACCAAAAATTTATACTTTGTGTTGTAACCTATATGTTTTTCCCTTAGAGACAATCTTTCCTCCCAGAGTTTCCATCCCTTGTTGAAGTGCACCTGCTGTGACCCCAGGACAGTGTCAAGTAGCAGCGTAATAACGGTGCCTCTTTCTTCCATTACAGGAATTCCCATGTCCTTCGTAGTGTGTTTCCCTGCGATTTGATCTAGATAGTTCTTACAATAAAAATAAAGTATCCTCCTCTTTCTGTTTTTTAGATTAATTGTTAAAATGTGTGTAGATGTGTAGCTTTATCAAATGGTCTTCCCCACAATTTTAGGTGACACATGTTTCTTTCTTTTGACCCACTTTGTGGATCATTTTAGTACATTTTTTAATATCAAACCAGTTTCGTCTCCCTCGAATACACTATTTGCTGAGTGTATTTCAGTACATGAATAGAGCAATGAGTTCAATTTGTTGAGTTTTTTTACGTGAAGTGTTTGTAAATTTGCCTGATTTGAAGTTTTTTGTATATATTTTATATTTGTGGAGTTTAGGTATCAGTATTATACTAATTACATGAAACAACAAATTAGGGGATGGTTTTTACTGTTTTTTATTTTGTGAAACAGTTTAAATGGCACAGGAATTTTCTAGTCCTTAAAAAAGTTGATATTAACATGACACCAGCTGTTCCTGATTGGTGATCAGGGTTGTGATTTGATAAAGTTATAATCAGTTGTTATTCCTGTCAGGTTCTTTTTATTGTTCCTTATGTCGATTTTGGTACTCGATATTCTCACAGATAATTACACATTTCAGATTGATTATCCAGTTCATTTGCATGGAGACTAGTGTTAATATTGATTATAATACTGACATCAAAGTTAACAAATATTAGGACTTTGTGTCAGAAACTATGAGTTACATATTCAAGAGTGATTACCTCCTTGCAATTGAGATAGACACTTTTTTTTTTTTTAAGATTTATTTGGTTTTTAGAGGGAGGGGAAGGGAGGAAGAAAGTGAAGGAGAGAAACATTGATGTGCCAGAGAAACATTTTGATTGGTTGCCTCTCGCATGCCCCCAACTCAGGACTTGGCCCACAACCTAGGCATGTGCCCTAACTGGGAATCGAACCCATGACATTTCAGCTCTTAGGCTGGCACTCAGTCCACCGAGCCATACTAGCCAGGGCAAGATAGATACATTTTACCATGTCTTTGCATTTCATTGCTTCTGGTGAAGATCTCTTGGATGTTCAGTGAATATTGGTGGAATGAAAGAAACAATTAGTAAGATCACTGGGAGAACATAGGACTAGCCAGAGCTACCTAGTGTTCATCATTTATTTTTTCAAAGTTTAAATACTCTTAAGTATTTTAAAGGAAGTTAGAAGGTGTGGAAAACATTTTTTTAAGTGAACATATTTTGTTTTCATTATAACCATTCTGGAATTTCGTAGGTGAGAGCAAAATCCTTTTAGTCTGAACATTT